CGCACCTCAGTGTCCCCCTCTGCGAAGTAGGGTAACAGCACGCCTCCCCGTGATGTATGCTGAGTCAGGTGTCTCGGGGGCCTGGCGCTCAGCCCCTGTGTCCTCCCCGTTCCTCTGCACCCCGCCACCTGCTGTCTTCTTTGGGGCCCCCCCAAGAGTCACCCACCCAGGGCCCAGGAGCTGTTTCCAGGGAGAAGGCGCAGTACCCCCGAGAGGGGTGCTCATCTCCCTCCAGTGTGATCTGGGGGCCAGGAGCCGCCCGCCGGGAGCGCGGCCAGGGGAACCCCGTGCGGCCAGCAGGGAGAAGGCCACGCGGGGCCTGGGAGGAGCGCAAGGCGGGAGGAACGTGTGGGCCCCCCAGCAGGAGTTCCAGGAGCTGCGCCAGGGTTGCGGGACCCTTGGCCAGGCCGCCCGGCCCTTCGGCCACTCAGAAGCTTTGCTTTGGCGGAAGGGGTCCGGGGCTCTCCGCGTCGATCCTCAGAAGCCAAGCAGGAGGGTGGGCTCTGCGGGGTGGGCACCCAGGGCCACCTTCTGCCCAGGGCTCCTCGGCTCCCAAGCAGGCCTGAAGGCCTGATGAGGCCGGACCCCAGGCGGGAGGTGTGGGGAAAGGCAGACGGCGGGGTCCCGCGGGGGAGGGGTCCTCCACTCCCCTCCCCCGGTCCCCTGCCCCTCCCCCACTCCCCTCCCCCGTCCCTCCCCGGCCCTGGTCCGGCCTGCGCGGGGGCGGGTCGGCGGAAGGGGCGCCCCGGGCGCCGCTCAAAGGGCCGCTAATGTTCGCTAATCCGGGCCTTTCAGGCGGCCGCGGCCCCGGCTGTTGGCCCAACAACAGGCGTCTGAAAGGGGGGCGCGGGGGCCACTGCCCCGGCCGCCCCGCCCCCGACCCCGGCGGCCCCGGGACCCCGGGCCGCAGGACGGGCCGCAGGTGCGCCCGCGCCCCCGGGGGAGAAGCGCCATCCCGGGGAGGCCGAGGCGGGCCTGGCCCGTCCGCCCCCTTCGGCGGCGCGGCGGTTCCCAGGCCCCGGGCCGGGCGCGGGGGCCTCCCGTCGCAGACGGGCCGGGCCCCTCCGGAGCGTGACCCCGGCTTTCAGCGCCGCCCCTGGCCCGGCCCCAGCGCCTCGTTAGGGATTTAATTAAGGAGCCGCCGGGGATTTGCATAATCTCCGAGCCGGGCTGGGAAGCCCCGGGTTTGGCGGGGGCGAGGGCGGGGAGGAGCCGGCCGAGCTCCTCTGCGGGCTGGGGTCTCCCAGTCCGACGGGCGCACAGAAGGGGCCTGGACCTGGCGAGGGGACAGGTCAAGGCAGGAGGACGCTGTTGTATTGGAGCCGCCCTGGAATTCCCCATCTCAGCCAGAGGGTCCCTCCTCCTCCCCAGCTGATCCGAGAGCTGTGGACTCAGCTGGGCCTGGGCCCCCAGGCCAGGCCTGCGGAGGGAGGGCGCCCCAGGAGGGGCCGGGCACCCCCCGCCCTGCCCCCAGGCAAACAGCGAGTGCAAACATTCCAGCCCCTGCCGGGCCCTGGGGAGCAACAGGGCCCGCGCCTTCCCACAGGTCCTTGGCGCCCGCCCCCGCGGCTGGTGGCTGCCTGGTTCTGGGGTTCTGGCCGTCGGTGGGGGAGGGGTCAGAGCAGAGTGGTGGCAGACGCTGGGCATGCCCTCCTGGTCACAGTGCCTGTCTTGCAGAGAGGGCAGGGACCGGCCCAACACCCCCTTTATGGCTGGAGCGTGTGCTCACCACTAAGAGGTGGTAGGGGTGGGAGCGGCCCCAGGCAGGTCCTTGGACCCTGGCCCTGAGTGCAGAGATTAGAGAGAAGCCTGCCTGCCCGGCCGGCCTGCGCTTAGGCCCTCGGGGTCAGCAAGGCCAGCCCTGCAGGGCTGTGTTCCCAGAGCCTCTGTCTCTCCGGGCAGTCCCGATCCGGGAGACTGAGGCTCTGGCAAGGGGTCAAGGAGGGTGATACGGCCTGACCCCGCTGCCCGCTGTCACGGCAGGCGGCACAGGAGCGCCATAGTGTGGCCACGGGAGGGTGGCCAGGCCTCAACCACGGCACCAGCAGCTCCCCTCCCAGCGCCTGGCACCTGACTGCCCTGTGGGCATTCCCACAGCCTTCAAAGGGCACTGTGGGGCCTGCACGGGCAGGGCCTTTCATCTCGTGGGTGGCCAGCTGGGGGCTGGCTGATGCCGGGGGTTAGAGCCACCTCCCAGGCCCTTTCCCTGGCACCCTCCTGGCACTTGGCCCGGCCTGGGGTCTGCCCTCTGCTGATGCCCAAAGCTCTGCTCCTCTGCACACCGGGGTGCCGAATCCAATCTCGGAGACAAGAGTTCTGGGTGAAGTAGAACAGGACAGCTTTATGCCTTTGCCAGGCGAAGGGGGCCACAGCAGACCAACGCCCCGAAAACCATGCGTCCCAGCAGGGGGGAGGTACTGAGCAGTTTTACAGGGATTGTGCAGAGAGGACGTGGTCAGCGGGTGGACGCTCTTCTGGTGGTCAGTGGCGGGGCGCGTAGGCGTCAGCATCGTCGACCCTGACGTCTAGTTCCTGGGGTCTGCATGCCTGTGGGCAGCTCACCGCGGTTAAACGTGAACTCCACCTGGAGGGGGTTCCGTGTCTGCGAAATAGCTCACAGATACCGTTGCGTGGACCTGCTGGTGGGGAGACAGGCTGTCACCTCACGTCTGCTCTTGCCTGTTCGTTTCTCCCTGGTCTCACGGCAGCTCCCTCCCTAATGAACTGCTCGGACCTGCCCACTGGACCTCAGGAAAGGGGACTGGAGGCTGAGTGAAGGCTGGTTCCTGTCATCGGAGGCCCGGGAGCCCCGCAGGCCCTGGCTCCCAGGGTCTCTGCATCAAGAGCCCGAAGTGCCTGTGAGGCTGGAGCCCCTGGAGCCCTGTGCCTCGATCCCCGCTGCTCCTGAGCCCTCGGGCCAGTTCCTGCTCCTCATCCACAGCCCCACGGCCCTCCCCGAGCCCTCACTGGCGCGCCCTTCTGCCCTCACCGGGGGTCTTTTTTGCATGCTGTGGTCTGTCCTCACTGGGTGGCTGGCCCCACCCTGGCCTGTCTCATTCTGGGACCCCACTCTAAGTTGCAGGGCAGGTGTGATGAGTGGTCGATGCCCCAGGGGGTTGCCATCTGCAAAGGGCTGTGTTGACCCCCGGGGAGCCCGTTTCTGCAGCTGGGAACCACCCCCAACCCCACCCTGCTTCCAGATCCCCAGAGAGGACCGGTGACCCCTGGGTGAGCCAGGCACACAGGTGCTCGCTCGGACACTGGGCTGCCCCGTGCTGGCCTAGGCCTGGACCCCAGGGGCTGCACTGTGAGGACCCCGCCCAGGCCCACTGTGGGGCATGCCTGCGAGTGACCTCCCCTCTGTCGCCTCCCAGAAGGACAGCAGGGGGCAGGACTCCGGGGCGGGGGGGGGCTGTGGTCGGTCTGAGCCTTGGTGCCCCATTTCAGCCTGGTCAGTTCCAGGGGGCATCCTCTGGGCTGGGTGTGAGACTGGGAGCAAGGGGCAGTGTGAACCAAGCCTGGCAGGTGGGCTTGGGGACACTGGCTTTGCCAGGGCCCCCGGAGACGAGGTGCTGCCTGGGTACAAGTTGGGGTCCCGCAGGGCACCTTCTTCCAGCTTTTGGTGCCCCTGAGAACCTACACTCACCTGAGGGGGGCTGGGGTCAGGAGGGTGCCGGCTGCCAGGACTAGAGGGGCCGGGTGCTGGACGGGACCTGGTAGGGGACAGCCCTGGGCCAGTCTGCCGGGCACACTGGAGCAAGGGGGGTGCCAGTTCACAAGGAAGCCCGCCGGGCCCTGTGTCCAGCCAAGGTGCCTGGAAGGCCCAGAGTAGCCTTCGCCCTGCCCCAGAGACAAGCCAGGCGCTGTCCTGCGGGGAACACGGACAGATGGGCGGGCGGCTGTCACCCGGCAGCGTGCAGGCAACGCGGGGCTCCAGCTGCGATGCCCACTGTGGCTTTATGGGGCTCGGAGTGATGAGGGGGGCGCTCTGGAGGAACCGGGCAGCCCAGGACCCCTTTTGGGGAGCCCCTGCAGGGTCAAGCACCTGGGGCGGCAGGGCCAGAGACCACGAAGGGCCACCCTGGAGGGGTGACTCGTGGGAGCAGCCCGCCCACTGCCCCGGGGTTGCCTCTCGCCCAGCAAGCCTGGCCCTGCAGGGAATGGAGATGAGCCCACTCACTTCCACTTAAACTGTCTAAATATTATCCCAAGCTGCTCCAAGGCCCCCTCCCCGGAGCTGGAGCCGCCAGCAGTGGGTGGAGGCCTGGCTGGGCTGGGGGACCCCGGAGGGCAGCCTGAGGTTGTGTCCCTGGGCGCCACTGCTCTGAGGGTCAGAGGGGTCTGACCCGGGGCTGAGCCAGGGCAGGGGTCTCCCTGCTCGGTTCTGGGTGCAGACCCCGTGGGCTCTGGGAGCAGCGGGGGCCTGGCCGCATCTCAGGCTCTGGGGGGCTCGGGCGAGGCTGCCGCATGCCCCCTGGGCTGGGGCTTGCCCCTCTTGAAGGGGCCTTTCTCTCGGCCCGGGTGCGGCGGAGCCCCCCGGCCGCCCAGTGCCCAGGCTGGCTGCCGGCGCCTCGCGGCCAGCCGGCCACAACCCTGATGTTGCTTTAATAAAACAGAGTTTTTCTTTCGTGCGCGGCCTCCAGTGGTGAAAGGGCCGATTTACGGAGCGCCGCGCCCCCCTGCCCCTCCCGCCGCGGTGGCGCGGGCCGGCCGGGTAATTTATAGCTTCTTCGACGCGCACTCGCCGCGGCCGCATGACTGGGGCCATTTATCCCGGCCCCCCCGCCGGCGGCCGCGAGCACGCCCTCCCGTCCGGCCCGGCGCCTTCCCTGTGAGGGCGGTGGAAACCCCGCGGAACCCCAGGTGGAAACAGGCCGCCCGTCGGTGCCCAGCGGCCCGCGGCCACCGCCCGGATGGCCAGCCCTGACAGCTTCTCCGTCCAGTCAGCCGGACGTCAGGTCCCCCCGGGAGGACCGCCAGCCTGCAGGAGGGGGCCTTGATCACATCCTGGTAGCGACGTCCTGCCTGGAGGCTTCCAGGTCCAGGACAGGCCTGTGGCCAGGACGTGGCTTCACCCACTGAGACGGCCGGTGTGCGCGGGGCGCCCTGCTCAACCGGACCCCCAGCCCAAGGAAGACAGGGTGAGGGTGCCCATTCGGGGCCAGGCCTTCTCCGAGAGGCACTGGGGTCCCTGAAGAGAGGCTGAAAGTCAGGACCCCAGGCAGGGGCTTGCTGTCGTGGGCAGGACTTGGGGGGTTCCCATGGAGGCTCCGGGCTGTGACCAGTTCTCTTAGAGGGGCGGATGTGGACATGACTGCCACACACGAGTCTGGGGGCGTTTGTAGGCCCAGGCCCTGCTCTGGGTCGGCACACACAGGCCTGCAGGCACGCACGAGGCGTGAGCGCAGAGGAACACGGACGGGATGTGGGGACGTGGGGACGCACAGGAATGCGGACACGGACGGCATGCTGCTTGCGCGTCCGCGCCGTGATGGACATCCTGGTCCGTGCCCTGAGACAGCGAGGGTCACGCCGGCTTCTGGTCCCAGCCCCCACCCAGCCCCCACCCAGCCCCTGCCCCTGCTCTCAGGCCCACCCCTGGAGTCCTCCTTGAGTCTGGTCACCCTGTGAACACCGGGGCGCCCCCGATGGACCTCGGCCTTCTCTCCCACACTCCAGGGCCATTGCAGGGGCTCCTCGCTTGTGTCCACCTGGCCCCTGTGGTCCATTCAGTGGCCGAGCCCCTGGGAGGCGTGGGCAGCTTCTCTGCCAAACTCCAGGCCCTCCTGGGCAGGACCGCAGGCAGGATGGTCAGGGTGCCCCCAGACCCCCACTCCATCACTCACTGAAGAGTGTGGCAGACGCCCGCCCACACCCGGCCTCCTCCCCAGGGTGCGCCCATCTTGGAGAGACGGAGGCGAGGTGGCCGAGAGGCCCCTGAATGGTGCGGAGGGAGGCGGCCACTGGCCTTCCGACTGGCTCACGCTGCGGCTTGGGCCCGCAGAGGGCTCTGGTTTCCCTCGGCCTGGGTGGGCTGCGGGCGCTTTGCGTAGGAGGGGGCGGTCCCCCCGCTGCAGGTGATACTTGGCGGGCGGGGTCACAGGCCAGGCAGCAGGGAAGATTGTCCACAGTGCGGGGCAGGCCGGGTTGGGCTGCCGTAGGTGGGTGTCTGGGGCCTCTGTCTCACCCAGTGCCGCGGGCAGGGGCCTGGGCGTGGGCTGCCCAGGCTGGGGGTATCCGAGACCTGGGTCTCATTGGAGGAGAGGCTTTGCCCTTCATTCCCAGCCTGTTGGCTTGTTGGGGTCAGTGGTGGGACCTGGTGGCGTGGGCAGCCCCAGGCGAGGGCACGACGGGGTTAAGCGGCTGCCTGCGCCCCCACCGTTACAGTCGGTCATTAAAACCTCATCTCCCGCCTGTGTCCCGGCCCTCCTGGGGCCTCCCGGGCCTTTGTCTCACTTTCTAAGAGTCTGACAGGATCGGCCAGGTGGGGGCCCAGGAAGCGAGGGGCATGGCGCACAAAGACCCCCAGCCCTGGCGCCTCTTCTGCCAGGGTGCCAGCCCGGAGCCGCTCCCAGGACGCCCTCCCCGGGGGCTGGCACGGGCCAGGCCGGGCGGGTGGCCCCCCAAGCCCAGCCTGGGGTGGATCCGCCCCAGCCGCACCCCCCGGCCACCCCTGGGCTGTTCCCAGGCCCGTGGCGGCAAGCCCCCAGTCCCCCGCATTTGCCCACACTCGGCTGAAGGTTGCTAGGAGCCGGGCGGGAGTGGGGGCGTGCGGCAGGCGGAGGACCCGGGCGGGGGGCGGACGCCCAGGGACAAAGCCAGCCTGTGATTAAGTCATCTGCCCGTTGGCGCCCCGTGCGTCCCTCCGGCCAACAGAGGGCCACTCCTGCCACGCCCTGCGGTCACTGCGAACCGCCCCCCGGCCCTATGCCCCCTGGCCAGGCTCAAAGCCCCCGCCGAGGCCCAGGGGTCTGCCCCTGTCCACCCTCCCCTGCCATGGAGCTTCCAGTGCCCAGGTGTCCCTGGCACTCTCCTGAGGGCGACCGCAGCCAGGACCCCGGGCCTGGGACCCCCAGGGGTTCCGCAGGCGGAAGGCCCCGGGCTGGGCCGCCCCGTCCATGCACCCCCAGCCCTCTTCCGGCCCCGCAGCCTGAGCTCTGTTCTGAGCTGGGGGTGCTGCTGCAGGGCCCGAGGAGTGGGCCGGTGTGGGTGGAGGGCCCCCTCACCTAGAGAAGGCCGTGGGGGTCGGTCCACAAGCCCCCCGCTGACCTTTCTTCTGCTCCCAGTGTCTCCCCGTCCCCAACCCCGGGGCCTCGCCCTCCTCGGGGGCTCCTGGGGGGCTGGTCTCTGTCCCACGTCCAGTGAGGGGGCTCTGCCTTCAGGGCCCTGTGCTCTTTCTGCAAAGCCCCCCACCACTTCAAAGGGGGAGTCCAGCCTGGGGGGGATCCTGGGAGGGCACCAGGGCAGAGGGGGCACAGGAAACCACGAATCCACGTCTTCACTGCCTCTCACCACTGGGCACCTGCGGGGCGCTGAGCCTCACCACCGGGCACCTGCGGGGCGCTGCTCTAGCCACACCAGGACCTGGGACCCCCCCTTTGGTCTCCAGTTAGCAGGTGTCCTCAGGGAAGCTTTTGCTTTTCCAGAGCCAACTCGGAGTGGGGGCGCCGTGGGCATTGCAGGCACCCCACCCCTGAAGTGGGCACCGTTCCCTCTGGGCCTGCCCCGGATGGGTGGGATCTCCGCCTGGGCTGAGCCCGGTCAGATGGGGTTTCAGGATGGGGCGGAGACTTCCTGGGATTTGCTGCTAATCAGGGCCTTGGGCGGGGAAGTTCACATGTGGCTCCAACAGGTTATCTCTGCCTGGAAAAGGGGCAGGGTGGGGCCCCGGGGGGGGAGGGGGCACCGAGGGCCTCAGGTGGCCTGGGGGCGAAAAGGTCTGTGGGGCGGCTCCACAGGTCGGGGACCCCCGGAGGGCCTGCCAGCTGGGAGGGCTCCCGTGTGTGACCCCTTCTCCCCAGGAGGCCCCTCTGCCTGGGGGACGTGTGAGGTGGGGGCAGCCGGCTCCATCTTGTGCCGGCCGGGCGTCAGGGAGGCCGAGAAGAGCCTGCCGCCCTGCCTGCCCCCATCCAGCATGTGTCCACTCTGCAGCCCCCAGGGTGCCCCGCGGTCACGGACAGGCGGCCCCCTTAACAGGTGTGTCCCAGGGTGGGGGAGCCCCAGGTGTCCGGCCCTCCCCCGGCCTCTGAGTGCTCCCGAGGGGAGGACAGTAGGCAGCCGTCCTTAGCCAGCCGCCTCGAAATCCATCTCGTGGGGGACAGCTTCAAATTGAGTCTCCCTCGCGGCCTGGCTGGAGCGGGTGGCGGTGGCAGGGCTGGCAGAGGCTGGAGGCCTGCGGTGCAGGGGCAGCGGGCTGTGGGTGGAGATGTCGGCCCTCGAGCCCCTGGGGGTGGGGCGCGGGGTGGGGGGAGGGGGATGCTCTCGAGACACTCAGCCCGCGCCTGCTGCTACCTCTATCCTGCCGAGGCCTGTCCCGGCCCGGCCTTCCCGGAACCCCAGGCTGCAGGGCTGGGGGGGGGGTGTCTGTGCTCCCCCCTTGTTCTGGCAGGAGCCTTCTGTGAGGTTCCCCCACCCCGTGGGCCTGAGGCAGGCCCAGGCCAGAGGGGTTCGTTTAGGCCTGCCCCAGGGCCCCGCGACACAGAGGGATGCGTCCCCTTCCCTGATGCTGCCTGGCCGTTCCAAGGTGAGCCTCCCTCAGCCTTGGGGTCCCAGGCTCTCCCCGTGTGTGTGGGCACGTCCCGGGACTGGCTCTCACCACGATCCCCCCTGGTCTTGGCCCCCAAGTCTCACCTGACACCTGCCATCTGCCTGGGGAGGCCCCCAGCCCGCCTCCCCCCAGGGCAGAAGCACTGGTCCCCAGCGGTGCCTGGGACCCTGTGGGGCAAGGTCAGAGAATGAAAGTGAAAGTGAAAGTCGCTCTGTCGTGTCCAGCTCCTCAAAGCTCCTGGGACAGCACGGAGCGCGGTCAGCAGGTGTTTGTCAGGTGGGCCGAGGGCCCCAGGAAGCCCTCGATGGGCGCTGGGTCCTGCGGTGAGGTGGGGTATGGTGGGCAGAGGAGGGGTGTGGGGCTGGGGGACTCAGTGGGTCCGCGAGGCCGTGGTGGGGGCGCGGAGAGGCCGGTGCAGGCAGCTGCTGCAGGTGAGGAGACAGGAGCGGCTGGTGGGCACGCAGTGCAGTGGGTGGACGGTTGGATGGTGGGTGGAGGGCTGAGTCCCTGGAGGACGAGCACGGAAACGGAAGCGTGTCTCCCAGAATCCTGGAGCCCCGCGTGGGGCGAGGGTGGTGTTCGGAGCTGCCACAGAGGCAGCGGGAGTCCCAGGGGAGAGAGCACCTGGCCCGAGCCACCCGCCTGCAGAGAGGGTGGCCGGGCACCTGCCTGGGCCTGGCGGCCTTGGGGGTGGGGCGCGGGGGTCCCGGGGAGGGAAGTGCTGGGAGGGGAGAGTTTCCAGGCTGGCTGGGGCTTCCGGTCCCAGGAGTCCAGGCCCTACCCGGGGGCCTGCAGCAGAGTTGGGACCATCGGCGGGGTGGGGAGCACCTGGCCTGCCTCAGTGGGTCCCGAGGACTCCCCTTCTGTTCCTGCTCCCAGCGGGCCCAAGGCTGAAGGATGATGTCACGTCTGCAGCGGGGGCCCCGGGGCCTGGCATGGGCCCCCCACCTCAACCCTGCCAGCGTCTGCAGCCCCAGGTCACCCGGGGTCACTGAGTGGGTGGGCACCATCTCCTGGGCAGCCTCACGTGGCCTCCCTGAGTCCCTGGCCTCCTGCTGGGCAGGGGCAGCCTGGCCCGGGGCCGAGCCCGCCCACCCTCTGGAGTTTGGGGTGGTTTGTGAGGAGACGGGCCAGGCTGGGGGGCAGACATTGAGGGTCAGGGTGGCGCCTCCCCCCGGGAGCAGGAGCAGGGAGGCCGAGGCAGGAGCCCAGGATGCCGGGGTCCCACGGGATGCCGCCAGCCCTCCGTGCCCTGGACACTCTGGAGGGGACCGTCTGCTCAGTGCCCACTTTGCCGGCAGGCGGGGCACTGAGGCTGGGCACTAACAGGGCCAGGGGAAACCCGCGGCGCTGGCTCCAGGCCCCGGGGTTTGATGGGTGGCTTGCCCCCCAGCGCCAGCCAGCCTGGCCGTCAGCAGCGCCCCAGAGGCACAGGGCTGCCCCTCACAGCCTCCTCCCACCATCTCCTCCTCAGAGGTAATGGGGTCCCCAGGTGGATGCAGAGGCAGACATAAGATTGCGGCCCCTCAAGGCCCCTTGCCGTCTGGCCCATCCCACCTCGCTACGCGGGGGCCTGTGGCCACCTCGCTTTCTGAGCAGGGCTGAGCTGGGTGGGGGTGCGCCAGAGGGCAGAGGAAGTCCCAGGCAGACGTGACTGCTGCGTCCGCAGGCAGAGCCAGGGAGGCTGAGCGGGCAGACCTCATCAGAGGTGGACTTCCGAAGCTGCGTTGCTGACCGCCCACCGACCTTCCTCATCCGTGGTCCGCCCTGTGCCTGCCCTGCTCCTGGGGGCTGGGTCTCTGTGTGCGTGCGTGTGTTGGGGGGGAAACCAGGGCCCCCGGCTGCCCATTGGTGCCCTCAGCCACGTCCTGACCACCCCAGGCCTCGGCCAGCCGCTGCTGGGTGTGTCCCTGCCTGGAAGGGGCCAGGCAGGGCCTAGGAGATGGGCCTCTCCTGGGCAGCGTGGTCCAGGCCCCTCCTGATCCAGGCCCTTGGTGAGTGGCACACGGGCTCCTGCTGGCCCCCTCTGGGGCCTGGGCTGGCCACCCTTGCAGCTTGGGAGGGCCCCCAGGCCAGGGAACTGGCCATTGCGTCAGGCTTGCGACCCAGCAGGTCCAAGCCCCAGCCTTCGCATTTGCAGAATGGAAGTCACGACCGCCGATGGCTGCTCCCGGCCGGGCAGGGAGTGGGCAGTGAGCCCTGGGCTGCGGGGGCCACTGTCACCCCAGAGGGGCCCGGCCCCCCTCCCCAGGCCCAGCGTGGAGCGGCTGTCAGCGGGGTCCCCATCTGGAAATGATTGCGCCCGTGGCCCTCAAAGATATAATTAAAATATATTGGGTTTTTATGCTCCTTCCTCGGCCGGGGAGGAATCCAGCCTGGTTATGAAACTGGATCGCTCTGACGTGGGGCTGGGGCATCGCACACACGGATGGCTGCCTTGAGCCCACTGGGTCGTGGCTGCCCCGGGCCGCTGCCCCCAGCCGGAGGGGCCCTGTCCTCCTCGGGGAGGGTGGCCTGCTGGGCGGTGGACACGTGGCCCCGGCTTCGTCCTCCCCTCCTCCCGGGAGCACCCCTTCCCTTCTGCTTCTTCATCCTCCAGACCTCATCCCTCGCCCCCGGGAACCTCCCTGGCGGGATGGGGCCCTTCTCCCCCAAGCAGCCCACCTGGGCGATTCAAGGGGCATCTTGGCCCCCAGGGAGGGTGTGTGGCCCAGGGTGGGTCTGGGGTGTGTAGTGCCAGCCCCTCCCGCAGCCCAGGTGCCTCAGTCAAACCACAGGCTCCAGGCGTCCCGGGCCTGAGACCTGCCCAGTGAGGCCCCCAGAGGTGCCGGCCCCTGCTGGTGGCACTCACGGGGCAGGTGTGTGCTGGGTGGGCCCTGGAGGCCCTTCCTTCTCCAAGGAGCCTCTCTGACCCTCCCTCTGCTGTTCCCCTCAGGAAGGCAAGGGAGCCACAGGGCCCTGCCCCCCCTCCCCATCACAGCCCCTCAGGGAGGGGAAGGGGCAGCAGGCCGGCCCCCCAGACCCGACCTGGGACCCCGGCATAGGCCCCAGGTCGGGTGGGCCCCAGGGTGCACCACAGGCTCCGGCCCAACGGGGCCCCTGCCCGCCCGCCCCAAGGCAGCTCTTCCGTCTGGAGGAGCCCTTGTCCCAGCAGGGCAGGCCGGATGCGGGCGGGACGGACGGCCTGTCCAGGTCTGGTGGGCCATGTCACCCCGCCCCTAACCCAGGGCCGTGGGGGTCAGGACCCCAGCCCCCTCCTATCCACCTTGCGGCCACCACCCCTCCCTGCCCAACGCGGGCACCTGGGGCCTCCCTGCAGGGTCCCTGTGGCCCTGTCCCCGTCTCGCGTGGCCCTGGGGGCCACCGTCCTGGCTGGCACCTGCTGAGAAGCCTCCCCGCCCCCCACCCCAGGCTCCCCGGAAAGTGAAGCTGCGGGGGCAGCACTCGGGGTTGGGGGGTGCTCCTCGGAGAACTGCAGCCCCAGGGCAGCAGGGCCTCTTCGCGCAGGGGCTGGAGGCAGGAACTGGCCTGCTGGCTGTCCTGTCAGCCCAGTGGGTCGAGGGGCTCTGTGAGCAGGTGGAGGTCAGGAGCCAGGGGGCCAGGTTTGAGGGGGGCCCACAGCCTGCGTGACGGAGAAGCTGGCTGGGGAAGCCCTGGCAGCCTGTCACCCGGCTCCAGCCCCCACCCGGCCCCAGTGCGGCCCCCACCCAGCCCCCACCCAGCCCCAGTGCGGCCCCCACCCGGCCCCAGTGCGGCCCCCACCCAGCCTCAGTGTGGCCCCAGTGCGGCCCCAGTGCGGCCCCCACGCAGCCCCAGTGCGGCCCCAGTGCAGCCCCCACCCGCCCCAGTTCGTCCCCACCCAGCCCCAGTGCGGCCCCCACCCACCCCAGTGCGTCCCCCACCTGGCCCCAGTGCGGCCCCCACCCGGACCCCACCCGGCCCCAGTGCGGCCCCCACCCCACCCCCACCCGCCCCAGTGCGTCCCCACCCGGCCCCCACCTGGCCCCCACCGGCCCCAGTGCGGCCCCCAGTGTGGCCCCCACCCGCCGCAGTGCGTCCTGGCCTCAGGCCTCCCCCTGGTCTGGCTGCTGGCAAGGCCCAAGGCAACTTCCTCCAGGAAGCGGGCCGTCCCTGGCCGGGGAGGGTGTGTCGGGCCTCCGGTGGGGCGCTGGGGGGCCAGACAAGCCTGGGCCGGGGCGAGGGTGCATTCCTGCTCCCCGAGCCTGCGGGGAGGGGGTTCCCAGAAGCGCGGGGAGGCCTGGCCAGCAGCCTGCGGGGAGAGCCCCCGGCACTTCCTGCTTGGCAGGAGGGCGTGGGGCAGCAACAACAATCATGCGTGCCTGCCCTCCTGGGCACCCCCCGGTTCCCCCGCTGGCCTCCCTCCGCCCAGGCCCCGCGGCCTGCCCTCCAGGACGCAGACCAGACAAGGCCAGTCCCCCCACTCGCCGGCCCTGGCACCGCCGGGCGCCCGGTCTCCGCTACCCACTATGTCCACCCTCGGCTCCCCCGTCGGGCCGTCTGTGTGAGGACGCGTGGGCCTGGAGCCCGCCCCCCCAGGAAGCAGAGGAGGGCGGGTGACCAGGGCAGGGTGGGGGCGTGGCCGTGGGCGAGTCTCCTCGCCACGGGGTGGGCCCTGTGGGGTGGGCCCCATGCGGCCTGCCCTGCAGGGTCGGGGGATGAGATCACGCTCCGTGCGGGCGGGCTCGCAGGTTGGGACAGGTACCCGGCCGCACCCGCCCGGCCTGGCGGCCCTTGGGCTGGGCTTGGCTGCCCCAGGGCACACCGAGACCCTCCTGGCATGGGGTAGGCGGGGCTTCAGGTGCCGCCTTCAGGAGAGAGGCCCCCGCCTGGCATACCTGCTCCTCTAGGAAGTCCCCAGACCCCCCAGGCCAGCCCACAGCGGCGCCCTCACGGAGGGGAGGGGGCGTGGCAGGCCCGACGCAGAGGCCTAGGCTTCTCGGGCAGCGTGGGTAGGCCGGGCCTGGACGCTGTTCCTGGCTCTCTGCTCTTGGGGGGTGAGCAGAAGCCCCCTCTTGCCCCCCGAGGCCTGTACTGTGAAGGTAGAGGCGTTGACTCTTTCCTCCTTGGGTCCTCTAGATGCTGGCCCGGGGGTGGGAGTGGCACGCTCCTGAGAGAAGCCCCCACGTCCAGCTCCCACCTCGACTGGAGAAGCTGGGCGTGCGGGCCTGAGCCTCCAGGCAGCGGAAGCAAGCAAGCCTGGCTGTGTGATGGTGGGGCAGAGACCTGGAGGCAGGGCCCCGGTGGGGCAGGCTGGTGAGGATGGGTGTCTCAAGGATCCTGCCGTCGGGGTCCCGTCCTGGCTCAGCTCCGTGGTGAGCCGCCCGAGGACTGGATGCAGGATGCAGGAACGCGGGGACCCTGAGTTGGCTGGACGTGTGTTTCTGGTTTCTTGATGTCTGCCCGGCGTGGAGCTCGTGCGAGAGGCACCCCCTTCCCAGGGGCAGGAGGACCTGCCTGTGGCCCCGGCCCGTGGCGTGGGGCTGGATCCCAGTGGGAGGACCCACTTGCAGCCCTGGCCTGTGGCGTGGGGCTGGACCCCGGTGGAAGGTTGTCTTCCAGGCTCAGAGAAGCCTACGGGTCATTGGCCCGTGACCTCCTGCGGCTGGGAGAGGCTGAGAGGTCTGCCTGTTATTCGGGAAGGGACAAAGCCTGGCCAGGGTACGGGTCTGGCCCCTCCCTGGGTCACCCCCGGTGCCCCGGCCTCTGGCCCTCGGGCACCAAGGACTCTCTATCTAGCTGTCCTGTGTGGGCAGCAGGCACCCCAGGCCGGGAAGCCTGGTGGGTGGGGAGCCAGCATGTTGTGCAGGGGTGAGCAGGGTGCTGTGAGGACGTGGCCTGACCTTGCTGGCCGGAGGGGCCCCCGGGAACTCCCTCAAGCAGCTGCAGCCCTGCCTCCCTGCCCACCTCTGCCGCGGTCAACCCACCGACGAGCTCTGCGTTTGCCCATTCATTCTTTCATTCCCCACTCCCCCACCCGACTCCCAGCCAGAAAGCTGAGTCCACCAGGGCAGCGACTAGACGGGTTGTCCGCGCTGACCCCAGGGCCGGGAAGAGGGCGTGGAGCTGGGAAGATGCTAGTGAACTAAAGAACCAATAGCTGAGGGTGTGGAGCAGCTGTTGGATCTCGGGATCACACGCCTGCTGATGGCTGGGGAGCAAGGGCTGAGCGTGAGTAGGGGTCTGGACAGGGGTCTACCCAGAGTTCGCGGCCCCCAGCACCCCTGCTACCTGCTGGAGCTGTCGGGGACCCAGCCCTGGGCCCTGGGAGGGGGTGGGTGTGGACAGACAGGAGCCCTGGGGCCCCACCCCGTCTGGGAATCACCCCTGGGCCAGGCACACGGGCAAGGGCGGTCGTCTGGGGGAACCCCTCGGGCCCACTCGCTGTGACCCCAGGGCTCTGGGGGACCCTCACCCTCGCTGCCCCACCCACCCCCCAGCTTCTGCCCACACTGTGGCACCTGCCAGGACAGGCCCTCACTGATGCCCTGTCCTGGCGAAGACCTGGTGGGCAGACAGCAGGTCAGGTCGGTGTCCCGCCCTGCGCTCCCATGGACGTCCACGGTGGCCACTCTGCCAGGCCTGGCCGGGCTCTGGGGCTCAGGCTCCTGCTCCCTTCATGATCCAGCTGCTCTGCCCCCGTCCCAGCCCTGCAGCCGGCTGGGCCTGTCAGTGGCCCCGCTCGGGAGTGGGCACATGGGGGGTGGACAGACGGGAAGCAGGGCATGAGGAAGGAGGACAGGACAGGGCACCCCTTGTGGGGACCAGGCCGCCACCACGTGGGGCACAGCTTCACCCACCCACTCACTGAAATGGGAGGGAAGGGGCTGAGCCACAGCAGTTTAAAGAACAACGGAGCCCAAGGACAGGAGATAAACTGATTGGAAACAATAGGTCCAAGATGGCAGAAGAGCTGGCTTCCACTAGACCTTCAGCCTCAGAGCTCATTGTGATGTATCAGCAAGCTAACTGACACGCCCGCAGGGCAGTTGCAGGCCCACCATGAAGGGTCAAAAAGTGGGCAGTGGCCCAATTCCTGGAAATCCCCAGCCCTTCCCCAAGCTAGCCGGAATACTCCGCCCACTCATTAGCCTATGCAATGCATAAGTGCATCCTCAGTCGCCTTTCCCGCTGCACCACCTGAAATAACCCACCCCTATAAACTCTGATAGCTCAGTTTGGTAAAGAATCTGCCTGCAATGCAGGAGACCCCGGCTTGATTCGTGGGGTGGGAAGATACCCTGGAGAAGGGAAAGGCTGCCCTCTCCAGCATTCTTGGGCTTTCCTGGTGGCTCAGCTGGTAAAGAATCCACCTGCAATGCGGGAGACCTGGGTTCAATCCCTGGTTGGGCAGATCCCCTGGAGAAGGGAAAGGCTGCCCACTCCAGCATTCTGGCCTGGAGAATCCCATGGAGTGGATAGTCCCTGGGGTTGCAAAGAGTCAGACGTGTTACTGAGCGCCTTTCCCTTTCAGTATAAGCACTGACAACCCCCGCACCCTAAGGCTGCTCTAGCCCTCTGAGATGACCTGGAGTCTGCAGGGCTTGTTTCTCTTTGAATAAATCCACTTCTTAGCTATCACTTTGTAGCTCACTGCATTCTTTCTGCCGTGAAACATCTTTAGCTTCATTAAGTCTTGAGACCAGGTGTGTGATCTCAGTTAAAAGGGGGACTTCTCTGTGGCCCGGTGGCCAAGACTCTGAGCTCCCAATGCAGGGGCCCAGATTCGACCCCTGGTTGGTAAGCTAGATCCCACGTGCTATGGCAGAAACTAACCAGGCACCCCGTATCGCTAGCCCTGATCCATCCTGTTCTCCCCACCCATTTTACCCGCAGATGTTTGTCCTCTGACTTTCTTGCTTAACTGCACTCTGAAAATAAGTGCCCTCTAGCTACACCTGACATTTACCCTTCCAAGACAACACTCCCTAACTCTCCCTTCCTCTGCGAGGAGTCTTTGTTGCAGAAAGAATGTCACAGTGATGGTGACCCTGAGGACCCCCAAACCTGCCCTGGAATCACCCGATGCCAGCCCTAATGATCTCAGTGCTGCCAGGAGGAGGAGAACACCCAACCACACCAACAACCCTCCTTATCTTCAGCCTGTTTTCCATCCTAAACCATAAGACCTCTTCCAGCTTCCCAGGAACGGGGGCATGGTCTTGGAAGCGTCAGCTTGCTGTGATCCCCTCTGCCTGGCAAAGTAACAAAGGCACTCATTTCAGTGTAGTCGATAAGTCGTGTCTGACTCTTTGCAGCCCTGTGGACTGTAGCACGCCAGGCTCCCCTGTCCACAGGAGTCTCCAGGCAAGAACACTGGAGTGGGTTGCCATTTCCTCCTTTCTACTCCTCCAAAACTCTGTCTCCATATTTACATTTAGCATCAGAGAACAGAGGCCGGTTTTTCAGCAACACACATGCTAAAGCTAAGCGTTCCCATGCCGCCACTAAAGATCCCATGTGCTGCAGCGGAAATCAAGATCCTGTGTGTCACGGCGAAGCAGGTGCCCAGCCAAGAGAGAGAACGGGGTGGGGGGGACTGCAGGGCGAGCCCCAGGCCGAGTCTCGCGGCTCTACTCCTCCCCAACCCGTCACTCACTCACTCGCTCATTCATTTATTCACTCGTGCTCTTATTCACTCACTCACTCACTTGCTCATTCATTCACCCATTCACTAGCTCACTCATTCATTCACTCACTCATTTATTCACTCATTCACTCACTCTCTTGCTCATTCATTCACTCACGCTTATTCACTCAGTCACTCACTTGCTCACTCATTCACTCACTCAGTTGATCACTCATTCACTGACTCACTCATTTATTCACTCACTCGTTCACTTGCTCACTCATTCATTACTATTTATTTACTCACTTATTCACTCGCTCACTTATTCATTCATTCACTCATTCATTAGCTCACTATTCACTCACTCATTCATTCACTCACTTGCTCACTTATTCATTCATTCACTCACGCTCTTATTCACTCACTCATTCACTCACTCACTCATTCATTTGCTCACTCATTCATTCATTCATTCAGTCACTCAGTCACTCACGTGTCAGGTCATCCCAGCCACTGTCTACGGGAGCCAGGACTCATCCTTTCTCTCTGCTCTGGATCCAGGTAGGCTGCAGGGGGTCTCTGGGTGCCTGCCCACCCATCCACTCATTCCCTCTACCAACACTCTTTTGAACTGTCCGTTGGTGCCCAGCACCAGGTCTGGGACAAAGGCTGTGTCCACACCTCTGCCCAGCCCACTGCTGGGCATTGCAGACGTGAAGGCCGTGAGTCTAGCACTTCGTGTGCCCGTGTGTCTGGCTGGGGTCGGGGCAGGGGGGTGGCAGCACCCACCCCTCTACGAGGGAGCCCAGAAAAGTCACTGGACGAGGCTGGGCTGCGGAGGAAGGTGGGGGGCCCTGCTGTGGACGGCCCCACGGCCCAACCCTGGGCTTGCTCAGACCCTCGGTGGCGATGGTGTCGGTCAGCTCCCCGCCTTCCCTGGGCCTGGGCTCTGCCCACTGGCCCCTGTGTAGCGGGTGGGCCTGCCCTCCACAAACGAGGGGCTGGGCCAGGCACAGGGGTCTGAAGAACAGGGGGGACTGTGGAAGGGCAGGACCACGCCCCAGACAGCCGGGCAGGGGACCAGGGAGGCGGCCCCTTGACTCCCTGCGGTGAGAGTCCCAGAGACCCGGGGCCAGGGGCCGGGCTTGACCCTCGATGTGGCGCGGACCGCCCGCGGCGTCTCAGGCCGGCCCAACACTGCCCCCTGCAGGTCGCCTGCGCTCCCGACTCAAGTGGCCATAGCAACCCGGTCAGTGCCTGGGGGGCTGGGCACCTCAGGGTCCGGAGAGCGGCGGCCGGGGGGCGCACGGGGGCCTGAGACCCGGGACCGGGCGCCAGGGCCAGAAAGGGCATGTCTGTCCTGACACGGACAGCCCCGCGGACACGCCCCACACATAGACCCGGGGACACGCCCCCACGCGGCCCCGGGACACGCCCCACACGGCCCCCGAGGACACGCCCCCACGCGGCCCCGGGACACGCCCCACACACCCAGGCTCCCCCGCCTCCCCCCGCATCCCACCCCAGGAAGCCCCCAGACAAGCCCCGGCTAAGTCAGGAGGGCCCTGCTCATGCCCTGCCCAGGCGGCTCCAGCTGCTCCCCACCAGCTCCTGTCTCCCAGTGACCCGGGTGCCGCTGGGCCCTCCCTTCTGGACCCCCACCCCAGACTCAGGAACAGGAGCCCTGCACCGGGGCAGCCAGGGGCAGGGAGGGAGCTCTGGGGGCATGCCCGGGTCGCACGGGCACAGACAGACGCCAACCGTGGGTTCTTCGCTGAGGGCAGGCGGCGCGGAGGGGTGGCCAGCCCCAGGGAGAGCTGTGTGCCGCTGCCTGGCTGCGCAGCAGTCTCCACTTACTTGGACTGTGAGGGGCTGAGGGGGTTTGGGGTTTGGCCTCCGCTGGGGGTCGCTATGCATGCAGGCAGCACTTGACTGCGGGGGGGAACCCATGGCTGGAGAGAGCTGGGGTCACCCCCGGGAGTGTGTGGCAGGGTGGGGACATAGAGGCTCAGCGGGGAGCCCTGTGGTCAGCCTACTCTGGCCAGCCCCCCAGTGAGAGGGCTGAGACGGCCCAGGCGGGCCCTCTTGGGGGGCAGGGGCTGGCGGTGATACCCATGGACCTGGGCGTCTCTGTGAGGCGGGTGCCAGCCCGTGGTGGGTGCGGCCACAGCTGCCTGGAGGACAGGCGGCAGCAGGGGGCCTTGGGTGAGACGGCACCCCTCATGGTGGGGTCGTGAACTGCTCCGGCCTCCACTGCAGGGGACACTGATCCCACAGCCCCTGAGGCTGGAGGGTCACGATCCGGCTGCTGTTGCTGGGCTTCGGGATGCGGGGCTGTGTCCCGCCAACCTGCAGACGCTGCCTTCTTGCCGTGTCCTCGCGGTGGAGGCAGAGAGGCCTCGACGTGAGGACACTCGTCCATCCCATCACAGGAACCAGCCCTCAGCTTCCCCCAAAGGGCCCACCGCCTCCTGATTCCATCGCCTTGGCCTTAGGGCTCCAGCCCCTGAATCTGGGGGGCACGAACGTCTGTTCTGTAAGTGGGGTTCTGGGTCCCACCGCCAGGAGGAGCTCACTGACTGTGCATCCAGAGGTGGCTGCCAGGGCTGGGCCCACGCAGCCTCTGCGGCCTCCTCGCTGGCTGACCCCTTCCCGCCCGGCAGAGGCCCCTGGCCATGGTGATGGTGTGCTGGGCGCAGGGGTGCGGAAGCCGGGGCTGGGGCTGCGTGCCCGGCTCAGGTCATGTTTACCCACAGGAGCCCGGTGCCAGGCCCCCGCCCGGCCTCTCGGCCCTGAGTTGACTCGGGCCCCAGGATAAACACCCATTCAACTGCACAAGGCCCCTTTGTCCAGGGCAAGGCTGCCGGCCCAGGACGCTGTCCGGTGGCCCGTGTCCTCAGCGTGGCCAGCCGCCCCTTGTGGCCTTGTCCGGGCCCTGCTCAGAGGCCCCAGCTGGGGACAGGGCCCTGGGTGGCTTATGGAGTGGCAAGCAGCAGGGGGCAAGACTGCGGGCCTTCTCAGAGCGGCTGAGACCCCACCGAGCCATGTTGCTACAGCTTCGGGGCCCCCCGCCCTCGCCAGGCATGCGTGGGAGGCGGGGGTGGGGGGGGGCCCAGCGCTGCAGGCGTCCCTTGCCCACCCCAGCCCCTGCAGGTGGGCCCACAGACCCCTGGGCAAGGCGCAGCCAGCGAGGGCAGGGCCTGGGGTTGGAGGTGGCCAGCTTGGGCCTCAAAGGCTCAGTCTTGGGGCCAGCCGGGGTAACTCCTGGTGGGAGACCTGGGACCCTGCAGCCCTGCTCCTGGCTGGGTTCGGGTGCCGAGGACGGCCCCCAGGAGTTAAGCGGGGAGTGGCCTGCCTGGGCCAGGGTCCCGCAGGCCCAGCCCAGCGGCTTGGCCCCGACGTGGGAGCCACGACAGCTTCTTGAGCACGGGAGGGCTGTGTGTGACTCAGGTCAGGAGAGGCCTGCTGGCGGCTTCACTGAAGACGGGGGAGTTGGGGGACCCACAGGGGTCCCTGCAGGCTGGACAGGAGGGACTCGAGTATAGGCCCCGGGAAGCCTGGGGCTGGGAGGAGTGGCCCCCTGGTCCCCGCGGCTCTGGCCCCTGTTGGCCCCTCTGGGGGCCGCAGGGGCGCCCCAGGGTGGGGGTTGGGGGTGGGGGGTGGGCATCGCCAGGGTCTTGTCCTCCTGCAGCTTGTGGCCAGCAGCGACCCCTGGTGGCGGCCAGCATGCCACTGAGGGTGTCGGCGGCCTGCTGCCCTTCTGTGGGGACTGATGCTCTGTGTGCTGGTGGCCCCCTCCTCAGGCCAGCACCCTGGGGTCGGGGTGGACGTGCAGACCCTGGGAGTGCCCTGCAGCCGTTCCCGGGTCCCAGAGGTCGAGCTTCCGTGACGGGTATCCAGCCAGCGGTCTGGCTGCCTCCTGCGTGGTCCCGCTGCCCTGAAGGCTGGGCCTGCTAGGTTCAGAAGGGCCCCTGCGGGCCGCCCGGCCCTTGCTGCCCTCAGGCCAGGAACGCCCGACCCCGTCCCTGCCCCGTGGGAAGGGGCCCAGGAGGAAGACGCACTCTGCGCTGGTGACCAGGGTCTGGTTGGGGGGGACAGCCTCGCCTGGGGAGCAGGCCGCTGGCACTGGGGGTGGACTCTGAGCCCCACTTTCAGACTGTACTTCTCAGCCTTTCGTCTGTCAGGAGTGGCGGATGTCTGTCTGGCAGGGCTCTGCAGGGAAACCGCTGTGGAGACCCCCTGCCCGTGTTGCCATACACGGCATCTTCCTGGGTCTCGGGACTGGGGGCTTCCAGCCGGGAGGGGGGCAGGTGGGAACTGCTGGTTGCGCGACAGACCCCTCACCCCGTGAGTGTCGCACTGCGGGCCTGCAGCCCTCCACGGGACAGAGAGCCGACCTCCGCCACGGCTGCCGTGGTTTCCTTTCTTCCACAAAGGCATTGGTCTGCGAGATCCGTGGTCGATGCAGGCAGCGTCTCCTCCAGCACCACGTGGCTGACCAGGCAGACCGGGGGGACCGGGGCCCACTCAGTTGACACTCAGGCGGCGATGGCGGCCAATCAGGCGGCTGCGAGGTGCAGGGCAGGGACAGGTCGAAGGTACCCGAGGGACAGCAGCTGTGGTCAGGTCAGCAGAAACTGCCCCTTTAATGAAGATCAGGACAGCTCTATTGCTTAGATTTAAGGGAAACTTTATTTTTTTCCTAAAGCAACCTAGTTTAAAAACGAATTGAAGAAAGAATTGACATCAATAGAGAAGAAAACCCTGGACAGACAGACAGACAGGCAGGCAGACACAGGGAGACGGCAAGGCCAGGCCGCCGCATCAGATCCTCTTCATCTTGGAGATGAGGTCGTCGCAGATCCTGCTCAGCTCCTCGTTCTCCTTACTCTGCGGAGGAGAAGTGGCCCCTGGATTCCTCACAGGGCTCAGAACCCGGAGCCCCCCGAGGCTTCCCGAGCCGCGAGGCCTGCCCGCCCCTGCCCCCTGCTCCATCCGGCCTAGGGCCCTGCACCCACCTTCTGCTCCACCACCTTCTCCAGGGAGTGGACACGCATCTGCTCCTTCCTTAGGACCGCCTGCAGCGCCAGAGCGTCTGTCTGGGCCTTGCTCCGGACCTGGGCGATCTCCTCGCTTGCCCTGGAGCAGCAGAGGATCCGGCTGAGCCGTGGGCGGGGCCAGCCGCCCCCCCGCCCGGCTCCTGCCCCCCCGAGCCCCACGCACTGCTGGAGCTTCTCCTCCGCCTGGGCCTTCAGCGCCTGGTACTTCTGCGCCTCCTTCTCCACCCTTCCTATGTAATCCTCCACACACTTCTTCAGCGACTCTTCATTCTGGGAGGAAGATGGACGCTGAGCCCCGAGCGGAGGCCCAGCTCTCTGGGGGGTTCGTGGAGCAGCCGTGGTCGAGGCCACGTGGGAGCAGCCTGCCTGTTCCCCTGCAGACAGCCCAGGCCCCCCCGACCCCCACCCGGGACCCTGAGCGCCCCTCAGGGCCCTGCCACGAGGTTCTGTCCAGGCACCGTGGGGGAAACTGGTTCAGGCACCAGGCCCACGGAACAGCCTGTCCTGTTCCCCCAGCCCTGGGCTCTGGGGGCCGAGTGCCCTGCCACCCCAGCTGTGGGGGTGGGGAATAGCCCAGCGGCCAGCACAGACCCGCAGTCTCTGCGCAGGCCCACACGGAACCCTCGCAGGCACCCGTGTCCAGTTGCAGGTAACAAGCTGAGAGCCCAGGGTGTGGGCAGAGGCATGGCTGAGCCTGGCCCCACCTGCGGGCCTGCCTTCTCCCTTCTCGCCAGGCTCCACACCAGGGCGGGGCTCAGCCCCTCCTCCTGTAGGGCCCCCACCGCCCCCGCCCCCGCCCCCAGGCTGGCCTAGCACCCACCTTGCGGTAGCCTTCGATCACCACCTTCTGTTTCTCAAACCGCTTGAAAAGGTCGGAGAACGACTTCTCCATGGAGTGCAGGTCTGCCGTCAGCTGCGCCTTCTCCTTCAGGACCTTCTGCATCTCGGCCTTGGAGAGCTCCTTCTGTTTCTGAGCCTCCTCTGGAGGAGAGACCAGCACCTCGGATCGGCGGGTGGCAGGGGGTCTGCCTCTCTCGGGACATCCCAGGGCGGACCCTTGGGGCTCCAAACGCTCAGAAAACAGCTGTCTCCACACCAGTTGCGCCCGGAAACCGAGGCAGCTGGCAGTGAGCCCAGACCTGTCCCAAACTCGGGGCTTCCAGGCCAGACATGGCTGGTGCCCAACATCCACGGAGGCCACAGGGGGACGCACAGCCCCCAAGGTAGGGTGGACACTGCAGCGTCAGGGAAGGGACCCAACCTGCCCACCGCCTCGCCCCGGAAGGAGGGGAGGGGGAGGGGGAGGGGAGGGGGAGGGGGAGGGGCACTCACCCATCACCTGGTACACAGTCCCCTCATAGCTGTCCATGATCTTCCTGTGGGAGGGGAGGAGAGCAGAGGCGTGAGCCGAGCACCGCACGGACGGACGGACGGACGCATGCACGCACACACACGGCGGGGCCGGCCGCACTCACCCCATCTCCAGGAGCCTTCCCTCCAGCGCCGTGCACTTGCCCTGCAGCGCCTTGTTCTCTTTCTGCGTGGCCTCCACCTGCGTGGGCACATGCCTGCGTTGGCCCAGGTCCCCCCACCCCCACCCCCCGCTTGGTGGATGTCCTGCGCTGGGGACACCTCCCGGCATGGGCGGGGCGGGGCGGCCTGGGCGGGTGGGAGGTGCTGGGCGCCGCAGGGTCCAGCCCCGGCCTTGTGCCATCACCCAGTGAGGAGGCCGGGGGGGCGTTCCCCCGGGACAGCGCAGACCCTCATGCCACGGGTTCTGTGACACATGTGGGACGGAAACAGGACGCCTGGCTGCGAACCAGCCCCGTTCGGGCGCAGCCTGTGACTCTGCCCGCCCCAGCCCCGCGCTCACTGCCGCGTCCAGGTCCTTCTGGCTGTACTGTAGCACATCGACGATCGGCCCCACAGGCAGCAGTGGGGCCCCGGGCCTGAGGTCACACGGAGCAGGGCCGGGCGTCTGCGGGAGAGACCGGCAGGGCTGTGAGCGCCCCCACGCGGCCCTCCGCCCCACCGGCTCCCCACAGCACAGCGTGGCCAGAGGCGGCCCCTCGGCCCCCACCCGCCCCCTGAAGCCTTCAGATGTGCAGCTCATGAGAGCCGGGCCCTTGGAACGCGCGTGTCTCTGGCGCAGCCGGGACGGCGCACTTACGGGGAGGCCCGGGGCCCCCGGGAAGTCCAGGTCAAGCAGCGGGGCCTCCGGGGGGCTGCCGGAGGGGGGCGCGTCCACACCGCGAGCACCGAGACCAGGAGAGAGGCCGCCTGCCGTCCGCGCGCGGCCGGGGCTCTCCTCGGAGGCCAGGGGGCCCGTGCTTCGGACAGCTGGGCCCCAGGGCCCGTCAGGCGGCCTGCCTCTGCTGTGGGCACACAGGAGCACGCCGTCTCACTAGCCAGGCCCCGGGGCAGGCCGGCCCCGTCCCCGCCAGTCCTTGCTGCTGGCTGGGCATACCTGCTGGGTGCCAGCGCCCAAGGACTGTCCTGCAGGAGCGGGTCGAAGTTGAGGTACAGTGACTGCTTCCTCAGGGCTGACTCTTTAAACTGAGAGGGAGGGAGCAGGGTCAGCAGCGTCCCCAGCGTGCCTGCCTGCCCTGTCCCTCGGGGAGCCCAGCACACAGGTGATGCCTCTGGGGCCTGAGCCAAGTGGGCTGGGGCGGGGGGTGGGGTGCACTGACAGAGTGGCCGCAGCAGGGCCTGGGGTGACCGCCTCCAGGGATGCAAAGCCTGCCCCTGGTCAGCGGGGCTGCGGTGACGCTGGGTACTCACCGAGGACGCCCCGAACTGCTCCAGGTAGTCCACCTCGGCCCCTGCGCCTAGGACTGAGAGGGGGTCAGCAGCCGCCCCCCATGGGCCTCGGGTGAGACACGGCCAGGTCAGCCATGTGCCCCCCAGCCTTGGCCGCGCACAGCACCCCTTCCTGGGCTCCTGGACCAAGCACCCTTTGCTATAGAGCAAGGTTGCTCAGGGTGCCTGGGGCTGGAGGGTTCTGGGGGCGTGCTGTGCACCCCGGGGGTGTCATAGAAATGTTACTTGGGGACCAGGTTGCCCTAGTTGAGAACCACCATGGCATGGCCTTTAATATTTGATAATCCAAACTCTGCTTAAAAAAAACGCAAGGGTGACTCATGCCATAGACAAAAAATTTAAATTGACACCAAAAGCCCAAGCAGCAATAGAACAAATTGGGTTTGAAAGTGGACATATGTGCTTCTGAAGACACCATCAAGAAAGTGAAGACAGTTTTTGCAAATCATGTACCTGACAAGCAATTCTTATCTGGATTATATTAGAAATCAGTATAGCATAATAAAAAAAACAGTCCGAGTAAAACCAGGCAAAGAACCTGAGCAGATGAAGGTCAGGAGCACGCACACTGCTCAACATCAGGGAGCAAAGCCCCAGGCAGCCACCCTGGAGGGCGGCACAGGCTGGGCCTGGACGCCCGGGCCGGGCGGCGGCTCCATAAGCACACGGGGTGGGCCCCCGGGCCTCCACCCAGAGGCAGACACGAGAGCACCTCTCGGGTAGCCCGCTCCTGAAGGCCAGAGCAGCTGGCAGGAGGAGACCAGGCGCCGTCCACAGTGGGGACGCTGCTCGGCCAGGAGAGAAGCCCTGACTCACCCTGACCTGAGGCAGAGAGTCACACACAGTGACATGTGACGGCAGGGCCCCTGGGGCAGAGGGAGGCGCCTTCCCGCTCCCAGCCCTGAGGGCACGGTGAGGACCCCACAGAGACCCCCGAGCGGCCGCGCTAGGGCGGCTCAGCCTGCACCCCGGGACAGGTGGGCGGCCCCCCCCTCCAGGGGCCTTGGTTCTCACAGCCCCTCCTAGCTCGGCGGCCCGCCACCCCCTACGCCCGCGCTGAGGGTGGCGACCACGTACCCTCCACAGGGTCCCGGAACTGCTCCCCACTCAGGTCCAGGGTGGGCTCCGGCCCCCTCTCGGTGGGGGGCGTGGGGTTGGTGGGTGCAGTCGGTGGCTCGCTGCGTGGGCTGCCGAGGGGCGCCGACCCCCCCGAAGAGCCTGCGGTCCCCTCCTGAAAGGGAGGCCGGGATCACTGTGGGGCTGGCCAAGACAAGGGGGTGCGGGGGAGCATGGGCAGCGGCGTGCCTCCTCCTCCCAGCCAGCTTCCCTCTGCCTGCAATGCCCCGCAGACGTGGTGCCCGCGCCCGTACCTCACCCGCTGCTCCTGGGGTCCTTGTCCCGGGTGTGTCATCTGGGCACGCCTGCCTGAAGAGACGGGGTCAGCAGGGCCTGAGCCCACCCCCAGCTCTGTGCTGCCAGGGTCATGCGACCCCTCCCCTAGAAGCCAGGCTCAGGGCCGCATCGGGGGCCCCACAAAGCCACCCCCACAACCTTGCCTGCACAAGAATAGCTCCTCAGAAGTGGGCAAAGCACCCTGAGTTCATTTCAACTCAAGTAAAAGCAAAAATAAGTGAATCCTGTGGTTACTAGGAAATGGCAACAGCAGCCAGCTTGGGAGGCTGGGGCCCAGGCTTGGCACTGCACACCCCTGGGAGTGGGCGGCGGGAGGCAGGTTCACTCTGGGAGGGAGACGCGGCGCTGGGGGTATTCCTGGACCTTCCAGAGGCGCAGACAGCCCTCCTGGACTGCATGACCACCCTGCCCATCCCCGGGGGCCCCGCAGCAGAGGGATACTTCCCCGCTGGTCCCCAGGGACTGCAGTCGTTTCCCCCCCCCCCCCCCCCCAGGGAACACATGGCACCTCTGGTCTCACATCTGCCCTGAAGCAGACGACCCGCCACTGCCAGCCCGTGCTCACCGTCTCAGTGACAAGGCCTCTGCAGTCTGGCCGCTCTGGGGGTGCTCCGGGGGCTGGGCCTCTCCACTGTCCGTGGCCGGGTTACAGTCTGGGTCATCTGGCCTGTCCCAGCTTGGGCCGTTGGACTCATGGAGAGCGAGCTCGAAACCCTTGCCCACCTCCTGGGGGGCCTTTCCAGGCCTCGCCTCTGGTCTCCTCGAGGGGGGCTTGAGACCCAGGGTCTTCCCTCGCTTCCGCAGTGGGGGCGGCCTTCTGCTGGTGGCGTCAGAGAAGTCAAACTCCAGCCGGACGGGTCCGCTCCTCAGAGAGCCGGCGGCCTCCTCCCTCTGAGCACCAGCGTGTGTGTCCCCTGCAGCCTCTCCGGGGCTGGTCAGGGCCTGGTTCTCGCTGCCAGCAGCATCCGTGGGGCCCGTGGGGCCCTCTCTAGGCAGGCCCATGAGGGGCTTTTCTCCAGGGTGGGCACCAGAGGGCGAGGCGGGCCCGGCGGGGGGAGCAGGGACGCCCTCTGAGTCCCCTCCCGTAGTGCTGAGCAGGTCCTCTGCCGTGTCCTGGAATGCCACCCTGGGGGGCTGTTCCGGAGCCGCGGGGCCGAGGGGCATGCTTTCCTCTGAGGGCTGAGGGTGGATGTGCTCCTCCCGGGCGCACTCGGGGCTGCCGGGCACTGGGCCTTGGGAGGCCTCGGGGCTTTCCACACTCTCTGGGATCTGGGAAGAGCTTGAGGGACCCAGGCTGACCAGGGGAGCTGAGGGGGGCCCACCAGGAGGCTGGTCTTCGGAGGCTGGTCTCACATCCTCTGAGGGGGGCTCGGCGTTGGCTGGTACTGGCTTCTGGAGAATTCCATGGGTCGTTTTGGTGTCTCTTTCCTTGGTGAACTGTTGGCTTTTCAGAAAACAAACTTAGTTAACACTAAGGAACCAGTTAGGACTTTAGATTTTAGTCCATGTGAAAACATTAAATACAGAAATAAGCATTCTGTCAATGCCCTCCTTGGGATCAGCTTTCACAAGAACATCCCCACAAGTCAGTGTTGGCGGGCCCTGGAGACACAGGTGACAAGAGCAGAAGCCTGACTGCTGACGGTCAGAGTTGAGCTTCCCCACACCAGCCCACTTCCCCCTTCCGGCTGGGGACCACCGGCTACGTGGTCAGGGACAGTGCACACGAGGGTCAGCCTTCCCACTGGAGAAAGGCCAGGTTGAGGCTGCGGCCTTCAGGAGGAGCAGGACCCCGCGGCTGAAGCCGCTCAGAGCCGGCGTCTCAGCAGCCTGGCCTCCCTCTCCTCTTTAGGCTCTGATGAAACGACAGTATTTGACTCACTCTAATCTCATTCAGCTGAATTTCAAACAGAAAAGTAAAAACCTGAAGTTGAAAAGCAGCAAGGAGACCTGGGTAGAGGGGAGTCAGGTGCAAGGCATTTCCACCCAAGGGGAGGTGGAAATGCTGCCTGGGGACATCTTGAGCAAGAGGTGAAGGGTATGCTAGAGATATTTTGCTTTTATACGTTTCTCTGCACATCTAAAATCTGTTTAAAAGAAAAAGCAAGCTTTAAACTGTGTAAGTCGGCAAAAGTCAGAATGAGGCTGACTTTTATGCCAGCGAGGCCCCTTCCCACTCTGGATTCAGTGGGTCCCTTGGGGGCACTTCGCTGGGTAAATTCAGCCAGATCTGGGGTGCAAAGCTGCCACCAGAGTCCCTGTCTTCAGACAGAGGCAGGAAAGCCCAGGTTTTCACTGAGCTGACCACCACACCCAGCCAAACACCTAATGCCAGGTGAGGCTGCAAAGACGCGCCTGCTGGTCAAAGCCAAGTGTTTCCAACCGGATTCGTCAGACTGGATGGCAGAACAGCCAGCTCCTGTGCCTTCAGCAGCAAGGCCTGTCCATGGTCCTCTCCCGGGCTCGCTGTGAGCACAGGAGGAGACTCCTGAAAGGTGCTGACACAGCAGCAGAGCCACAGAGCGTCCCTCTCTGGAGATTCGGCCAGGGCACTTCATGAAGTTAGAGGAACAAAAGCCCATGTCAATTCGCTGGCACGGGCACAGCAGAGAAGCAGAATGTGCAGTTCGCCCTTGCTCCGCTTCATCGCCCCCTTCTCCGTGGCAAGCGGCTTCGGAGGCGCTCTGGGCCGCGCAGGGCACAGAGCAGAGACCAGGAGGTGCCTAACCGGGTGTGGCGGACTCCGCGGGCAGAGCCATCCTGCCCGTCCCTGAGGCTATGGGCGGCAGCGTCGCAAGCCTCCCCACACTTACTTCTCTTTCTGGGGGCAGACTTGATGGCACTGTTCTGATCCAGCGGGGTCGCCCAGAGCAAAACAGGCTTCGAGCTTGCTGCCCGCGCTGGGACTTAAGATCCTGTGTGTCTGTGGGTCCCGCAGAGGTGTTTGAAACGTCACCTGTTGGGTGGAAAAGAGGGCACCTGTTCAATAATTCAAGTCTTCGACACCCCTCTGGCAGCACTGTGCCCTGCCCGAGCAGCTCCGTAAGTTGCCAGGAAAGCAGTGGCAGGGTGACCTCTCGAGGGACACACGGTAGATCAAACGCAGGGGCCCAACGTGCTTACCTTCACAGCTTTGGCTGTGCTCTTCGGTGGCACATTCTCTTTCTGTGACAGACGGAGAACAGATGATCTTCCGGTAAGTTCCGGTGGTGAAAACAGGAAGTCGCAATTTTCTGTACTTTTGTCACCAGTGACATTTTCGTCACTGAAGATATGCAGACTCATTCTGGAAAAGCAGATAGTTTGGTGTCAGGAGGAGGGCAGTGACCCTCTGTTATCTGGACACTCATAGGTGACAGTGACAGGGCTGGCCCCACGGTGCTGCCTTTGGCACAGGTGGGTCAGACCTCAGGCCGTGTGTCCTCTGCCAGGCAGTCCCCATCCTGCTCCGGGGAGCTGCCACCTCCCAGGAGTAATAGCCAGAGGAGCCTTCAGCTCACAGGGCAGGAGGGAAGGTTCAGGTGACTAAAACCACTTGAACTTTGTGGGTAAAAGTTCAGAGACAGATAAGGCCTGATCTGTGATGAAACTGAAGCAGCAGAGGAAGCCTGGGCCCCTTCATCAGGTGGAGCAGCTGCCAAGTTTGTGGAGAACAGAAATGCAATAGGGCCCGGCAGCACAGCTGAGGAGCTGGAGAAGGGAACAAGCAGCAGGTGTAGAGTCACCTGTGGGGAGTTGAGTTTCTCCATCAGAGGCCTCCAGTCAGGCCCAGGGGGTTCTAGGAGAGTCTCATTCCTCCTTCTGGAGGCCCTCATGATGGTCAGTGCCACGGCTTTCCCAATTTAGGAGTCACCAGAGAACTGGGCATTTGCCTCGCGGGGACACTACAGGTATTCGCTGGCGGTGGGGACCCTGGGGACTGTGGTTGAGGAGGCCAGGTGGCTGGGGCAGGGGGAGAAAGGATGGCTTGAAAAAGAGGTGAGGTCAGGGTGACAAGCCACCTCGAAAGGCTTGGGGGTAGGGGCTGCCTGTGGAGAACAAGAGGGGTGGGGGGGGCGGAGTCAGAGGCTCTGGCACTGGGCCAGGGGCAGCCTGGTCAGCTCCTCTTGGCAACAGGCTCACACACTGCATGGGGAGACGGGGAAAAATGAGCCTGAGCCAGGGGCCACTCACTGTGAGGTTTGGCCTGAACAACTGGGTAAACAGGGGAGGGGGCTGGATGGCTGCAGGACACAGGACGAATAGAAGACTTAGAGGATGGCTTTCCGGCAGACGCTCCTTGGCCTGGGGAAGGTGCGAGAAAAATGACGGTAGCCCTCCGCAGTTTGGCTTCTACTAATAATGAGGGCTTCTGCTCAAGAGAAGGAGTCTTTTGAGCAGAGGAGGGTTGGCCGGGGAGGCACTGGGGACCTAGGGTGAGCGGGGTCTGCGGAATCAGGTGCCTCAGGAGTCGACGATGGGTCCGGGTGGGGCTGCACCCAGAGGGGCGGGGATCGGGAGGCGAGCGCTGGACGCTGGGCAGCGAGCGCGCGTGTACTCAGGCTCGGAGTCACCGGGCATCTCGGGAGCTCATCTGCTCTGCTCCCGGTTGCGGCCGGGTCGGCGGGATGAGGGACGGCGGGAGGGGACCCTGAGGAAGCGGCGGGAGAACGGCCCAGACCGCGAGGAGGGCGGAGCCGGAGGCGGCAAAGGCCCCGGTCTAGGGGGGGGCTCGCCAGCGCGGCAGGCAGACCCAGGCCGACAGAGCCCTAAGGCCCGGCTAGAGGCATGTCCGGACCCCCGAGCCGGGAGCCCACCGCTGCCGCCGTCGCCCCCTTACCTGTCGGCCGGCACAGAGCCCAGTGTGGGAGGCGCCGAGTCCGCGAGCCCCTCTGCCCGCCGCCGATTCAAATACCGACGGTTGGCGAGAGCGGCCAATCAGCGCGCGGCTGAGGCGGGGCACGGGGCACCGACAGCCAATGGGAGGCAGAACGCCAGACCACGCCCACTAGGAGGTTTCGTTTCCGGGGCGAGGGCACGCTGGGCGAGGCGGACGCCGGATTCCTCAGTAAAGGCGGCCCGTCTGATGCGCCTAGAGGAAAGGCCGCACGCGGGTGGGTGGTGGCTGCGGAGCCCGCCGTCGCCCAAGAATCCTGGGCTTTGCTGCGGACGCGCCTGGGCTGCGCGGAAATCAGGGCCCGAGAGCCTCTCCCCTGAGTCTTAGTTTCCCCAGCTGGGCAATGGGATCGAGAGCAGCACCGCCCCCAAGCGGGTCGTGTGGAAGAGCCAAACCCTCGCGAGAACTGTAGCGGCGGCTCGCGAAGTGGGGGCCGAACGAGGGGCCCGGGAACTTCATTTCCCAAAATACTCCGCGGAGCTCCATCTCCCAGAGCGCCCCGCGAGTGCCCCGAGGGCAGGGACTGCGTTTCCCAGAGCCCCCCGCGCCACCGGGCGCCTACCGGACCCGGACGCTGTGACCGGTTCGCTGGGCTGGGTGGCGGGCCTCGCCTGGCCGGTTTCCCGGCGGCGACGGCGGCGCGATGGACAGCCCCGAGGTCACCTTCACGCTGGCCTACCTGGTGTTCGCCGTGTGCTTCGTGTTCACCCCCACCGAGTTCCACTCGGCCGGGCTCACGGTGCAGAACCTGCTGTCGGGGTGGCTGGGCAGCGAGGACGCCGCCTTCGTGCCGTATCACCTGCGCCGCACGGCCGCCACGCTGCTGTGCCACTCACTGCTGCCCCTCGGTAAGCCCGGGGCCGACCTCCGGGACCCGGAGCGGGAGGGACGGGGTGCGGCCTCCCGTGCTGGAGAGCCGAGGCAGCGGGCGGAGCGCCCGTGTGCTCGGGGAAGTGCTGCCCCTTGGAGCTACCCGGCAGAGAGGCGGGCTCAGAACGCTGGGGAAGGGGGTGCTCTGCTCACTGGGGCAGGTGGTGAGCTGGCTCTCGGGGGACAGGTCCCTAGAGTCGGGGTATGAGTTAACTGATGCCCCTAGGGGTGGCCTATCCCAATCCTTGGAAGGTGGGTGCGGGAATGGCAGGCAGAGAGGGTGACGGCAGTCGAGTGTAATTTCCGCCTCCAGGGGATCTTCCTGACCCAGGGATTGAACCTGTATCTCCTGCATTGGCAGGCTGGATCTTTGCCACTGAACACTAGGGAAGCCCCACCCCGCCCCCAGCCTTTTTTAAAAAATATAATTTTATTCATGGATGTGCTGGGTCTTCACTGTTGCGCGAGGTCTTTCTCTAGTTTCGGAGAGTGGGAGATGCTCTGTTGCAGGCCCTGGAGTACCCAGGTTTCAGTAGTTGTGGCTCCCGGGCTTAGTTGCTCCGCAGCATGTGGAATCTTCCTGGACCAGAAATCAAATCCATGTCCTCTGCATTGGCAGGCAGATTTTTATCCACTGCACCACCTGGGAAGTCCTAGAAAAGCCCTTTTATTTATTGCCACATGAGTTACTTATTATGTTTCAGTTTGATCAATAGCATTTATTACTATGTTCGCAACTCCAAACCTTTCCTGCAGGTCACTGTCTACTTTATTAATTTTGACATGCAAGTTGGCCCCCATCTGGCCACCAGGGGCCTGGAGCTGGCTCCTGTGTGCCTGTGACACGCTCTTGTCGGTCTTCGTTTACTGTCTGGTACAGGATGTCCCAGGTCTGGGATGGGCCAGACTCTGGTCTGCTTCCTCAGAGCAGGTGGGATCCGGAGGCTGAGATCCAGGCCTAGGACGGCCTGTGGGCAGCTCTGCATGAGGTGACACCAGATCCTTGTGCTTCTTTTTGCTTTTCTAGGATTTTCTCATTTTATTTCCTCTACTCGTATGTGGTTTGTAGAAAACTAAAGTAGTAAGATGAGAATGTTTTCTGCTCACTGCACAAGTACTCAGTTGAGTCAGCTATGGACCTGGGCAAGGCCCACCTGCCCTGGGGCACCATGGCCTTGCCCTGGGAGCTGGCCATGGCAGAGGACCAGACCCAAGGTTGGGGATTAAAGGAAGAGGCCTCCCCGGAACCCCCCCAAGGGACAGGGACAGCACTGTGGACATGACCTGGGGAGGCTGGCAGCCTGGCAGTCCCAACCTCTGCTGAAGCTTGCCCCATCCCTTTTAGGCTACTACGTGGGCATGTGCTTTGCAGCCTCGGAAAAGCAGCTCTACTACCCCAGCCAGACCCCGGAAACCTGGAGGGCCTTCCTCCTGCTAGCGTTGATGCTGCCCGCTATCGCCTGCACCCTGATCTACTACTGGTCCCGGGACCGGTGGGCCCGCCACCCCCTGGCCCGCACCCTGGCCCTCTATGCCCTTCCACGGTCGGGCTGGCGGGCGGTGGCTTCCTCCGTGAACACGGAGTTCCGGCGGATTGACAAGTTTGCCACGGGGGTGCCGGGTGCCCGCGTGATTGTGACGGACACGTGGGTGATGAAGGTGACCACGTACCGCGTGCACGTGGCCCAGCAGCAGGACGTGCATCTGACCGTGACGGAGTCCCAGCAGCACGACCTCTCCCCAGACTCGAACCTGCCCGTGCAGCTCCTCACCATCCGCGTGGCCAGTGCCAACCCTGCTGTGCAGGCCTTCAACATCCGGTAGGTGGGCCTGCGGCTGGGGTCACTGGGGTGGCTGCGCCCTTGGTCTGCTCTTTGTGTTGCTCCAGGGGGCTGGGTGGGTGGGAGCTGCTCCCTCTGGAGTGCCCCTCCCTCAGGTCCTCTGCGTTTCCCCTTTCTTCCCAGCCTGCCCTGAGCTGTCTTCCCGGTGTCTCGGGAGGAGCGCACTGGGGCTGTTTGGGGGCCACTGTATAGGACGGAGGCTTGGTGGCTCCCTAGGCCGGGGCCAAGGTGCTTCTGTCTAGTTCAGGCTGTGGCGGGTCTGCCCGCCCCTCCTGGACCCGACTTGGCCTGAACCTGCCGAGGGCCAAGCCCTCTGCCGTAGCTGCAGTTCTCCCACCCTCTGTGCCCCTCCCCACGTCCCGGGGAGAGGCCCGTGGGCAGTACTGGGTCAGTGGGAACTGGCCCCACGGCCATCTCTAGTGGTCCCCGCCCAGCAGCACCCACCTCTACAGGCTGAACTCCACGGAGTACGGCGAGCTGTGTGAGAAGCTCCGGGCGCCCATCCGCAGCGCGGCCAACGTGGTCATCCACCAGAGCCTGGGCGACCTCTTCCTGGAGACCTTCGCCTCCCTGGTGGAGGTCAACCCGGCCTATTCGGTCCCCAGCAGCCAGGTAGGGGGCTGGGCAGGGGAAGTGGGTTCCCACAGCTGGGCCGCCATGGACCGCCTCTCCTGGGGTGGGTCAGGAGCCCCATCCCCAGGGCGGCCCGACCGGGCTTCCTCTGACCACCTGCCTGCCTACAGGACCTGGAGGCATGCATCGGCTGCATGCAGACTCGGGCCAGCGTGAAGCTGGTGAAGACCTGCCAGGCGGCGGCCGAGGGCGAGTGCCAGCAGTGCTACTGCCGCCCCATGTGGTGTCTCACCTGCATGGGCAAGTGGTTTGCCAGCCGCCAGGACCCGCAGCGCCCCGACACCTGGCTGGCCAGCCGCGTGCCCTGCCCCACCTGCCGCGCTCGCTTCTGCATCCTGGACGTGTGCGCCGTGCGCTGAGCCCCCTGTGGGCACCCTGCGGCTGCCTGCAGGGGCAGATGGGCCTCTGGGCCCTCCTCGGTGCTGCTGTGGGTGGCTTCGGTGTGGCGACTCATTGGTGCCGCGAGGCTGCAGAAGGGCCCAGCTGCGGTTTCGGCAGAACCTTTCTGCTGAAGTTCAGTCCCTGCAGCGGGGTGGTCTTCAGCACCTCTGCCTCCTTCACTCTGTGTTCTTCCGACGAGGGGTCAGTGCTGGGCACGCAGAACATGGTGTTGGATCCATCTCCAGAGCATTCTGGGGCCGCCGAGCTGTGTTCTGGGCGACCCCTTTGTCTGCCCCAGATGACCCTAACCTAGCCACTTGCCTTAAATGTATGGGGCACAAAAGTCTTAACTGCTCCTCATTACACGACAGACCTGGATTTGTCTAAGACTGCAGCCTGTCATGCTTCTGTCCCCAGGCCGGCTGCTGGCCCTGTGGCATGGACGCCCTCCACTCCCCACGAGGCCGCTCTGAGGACCTGGTGCAGGGTCTGGTGGTGGAGGGCACGAGCATTGCCCAGGATCTCCTGGTGATCGCAGCCAGCCAAGGGCGCCCTCCTGGGGAGGGTGGCCCCTATCTGCCCCCTACCCAGGGCCGCCTCGGGCTTTCCATCAGGGGCTGTTTTCACCTGCCTTTCCCTTAGCCGAGTGCATGTGGAGCTGCCCACCCCTTTGAGGGGCCTGTGACCGTGTGCCTTCTGGTGCTCCCACGAGTCCAGGGAATGGGTGTCTCAGACTCCTGGTTGCACGGCAACATCTTGTGTCTAGACAGCAAGATGGTGGGGGCCCAGCACGAGGCTCCCCGCAGGCCCACCCACTTCAGAAGGGAAGTGCCCCGCAGTCAAGGCAATGACAGCCATCTTCCCAGTTCTTGGTGGTGAGGTGGGGTGCAGGGAGGAAAGTGTTAGGCTCCTGGGTACAACTCTGAATGTGGCTGTTGGCGGGGCCCTAAGCCTCCTAAACTTGGTCCTTCTAAGCAGGTTAGATGGAATCAGCTGGCTCAACTCGCCCGAGGCTACACCAAGCCCAGGGATTTGGAAGTGAGCAAGCCCAGATTTATGGTCTTCCGGGGGCACCCACAGGGGACAGCTATCAGAAGGGCAGCCAGGAGCCATGCCCGGCCTCAGCCTGGAATTTCAAACCCTGGCAAGGGAGAGCCAGGCCTGGGGTTGTCTTTTCTAGAAGAGAAGGTTACTTAGTTTTATAAAGATATATCTATTATAGCAAAGTGATATGCTATTGAATAAAATGTTAGTATGAAGTTATCAATATTTTGTTTTTCCTGGTATTCAAACAGTTGGGACAAGGCCATCTTAGAAGTGGCCACTTTAATGTGCATGTTTTTTCAGAATAAAGGGAGGCAGACTTCATGAATCTTCCCCTGATATTCTAGCTGGGGTCTTAAAAAGCTCACTTCCAGGGAACCTTTGTGGATGGGTCCTGGGGGGTGGGAGTGGGGGTTGGCATACACACGCTCCAGATGCAGGGGCCCACGTGAGGGACCCTGGTGATCCAAGGTGTGAGCCCTGCTGGGGGAGGCCTCCAGCTGTGTGCTTGCTGCTGTGTCCCACGCAGAGCCTGGTGGCCCAGCCGCTTGGCTGGGGGAGCTCCTCAACAGTGCAAGCTCCCTCTCCCTCATACTGCTGCTGGGCCCTAAACATGTCTATAAAGTACACACAGCCCACTGAAAGCCAGTGGGCTGGAATTGTTTATATCTTGGAGATACTTGATTTATTTTCACTATAGTCCTCTGATAGTTTAGTCACTAAGTCATGTCTGACTTTGCGACCTCATGTGTTATGGAGTCCGAGCTCGCTCTGCTCGCTGCACGGCAGGCCAGTGACTCAGAGACGAGCTGTTGAGGCAAGGAATACTTTATTCTGAGAGCCGGCTGAGCAGATAGCAGACTGTCTCAAAAGCACCATGTCATTGGGGTCTGGATGCCAGATTCTTTCATAGGTCAGAGACGGGGGAGGTGAGGGAATAGTAAAAAGGTAACCCTAATCTTGCAACTGTTTCCTAGAATTGCAAACCTCAGGCAGGGTATATGTTAATTTCTTCCTGCCATCTACAGGTGGACAGGGTTCCGAACAAAGGCACTTTAGATTCAGGCAGAGAAGCAGGATTCTCTGAGCCGGGATTTATGTATGATTGTCAAACAGTTCCAGCATGGAGTCAGAATTGGCTTTTCCCTAAAACGTGGACTGTAGCCCTCCAGGCTCCTCTGCCCATGGGATTTCCCAGGCAAGAATACAGGAGTGGGTTGCCATTGCCTTCTCTAGGAGATCTTCCCAACCCTGGGATTGAACCCAAGTCTCTTTTATCTTTATTTGCACACAAGCATCACCACCGAATGCATGGAGACTGGCCAAGGCTCCAGCCCAGTGGGGGGGGGGGAGGGAAGGGAAGGGGTATGTGTGTGTGTGAACAACGTGACATAAGCTCACGGCTCTGGCCATCTGACGCCGGCAGCGAGTTACCACAGACTTTTCGGGGCGCGAAGCCCGCAGCCCGAGGCCGCCTCCCCTTCCGGGTTCCGGGTTCCCGCCACCGCGGACAATGTCCCGCCATGCCGACCCATCGGAGAGCGCCCCAAACCTGGGCTAGGCCAATCCTTTGCTCCTCGGCGCGCCCGTGTCGCCTGCCTCCGAATCTCCCGCCAATACCCCTACCCCGCCCGCGAAGGCGCGGCCAATCAGCATCGAGCGTCCCGGCAGCCCGGCCGCCTCCATGGCGGAGGGGACAACCTTTTCTTAGGTCCTCGCCTCAGTCTCCCCGGCGGAACCCCTTCGCCGCCCGATGGCAGTGCGCGGGGCAGCGGTTTCACGGCGGCCGCCCCGGCCTGGGCAGCCTGCGCGGCGCGCGCTTCCGAGAGGCTCCCCCTGGGTCTCGGCCCGATGGTCTCGCCGGCGCGGCGCGCGCGGGAGCCCGGGGGCGGGGCGGTGCCTGATAAATGTGGTTGGGGGCGGGGCGCGCGCGTCAGTCTGCGCCGCGCTGAGAGGAGCTCGCGTCCGCTTCCCGCGCCGCCGGACCCCAGGAGCCCCCCCGCCGCGTCGCCATGGCCTACAGGCCGCGAAGCCCTGCCGGGTACGAGGGCCGTCGCGACAACGACGCCAGGTGAGGTCGGGCCGCGCGCCGGGTGCTCTCGGGCGGCCGCGCGGCGGGCGGGGTCTGGACGGGGGTCCCGGGCGGGAGTCCAGGCCACCTTGCTCTGACGCGGTCTCTCGTCGCCAGCCCTCCGCCTCCTGCGCGTTGGAGCCTCGGACGCAAGCGCACGGCCGACGGGAGGCGCCGGAAGCCCGAAGACGCCGAGGGCCTCGCCAGGCCGCCCAGCGGTCACAGACCCGACAGGTGGGCCCCTTGCGGCGGCTCAGGGGGCCTGGGCGGAGGTTCCCCTCGCCTGACTGACTCGGGGTTGCCGGTGGGTCACCAACAGCACTCAGCTAGTCGGGGCGCCCCTGGGTCACCAGCCTTGACTAGTCTGGCCGCTGTGCGTCACAACAGGACTGGGAGGCCCCTGAGGATCCGAGGAGGTGTCCCAGTGACGGGTGTCAACAAAAACTGGGCTCAGTCTCGGTCAGCGAGCCCTGCCGGGTTCCAGGGATGGCATTGAGGGCCACCACAAACTTTATAAAACGTTACAACACGGCGAGTCAGGCTCCCCCGTGAAAGTCAGGAAAGTTGGGTGTCGTAGCAGTCACAGAAGTGGGCGCCAGGATGCGAACCAAGGCTTAACCTCCAGGACCCTCTTTGCACCCGGGTGCTTCTGAGGCGCTTCCCTTCTGAGGAGCCTTGGCCGTACTTCTGCAGTCTGCAGTTTACTTGAGTGTTTTCTAGGCTGGGCAGTGTGTTGGGCAGGCCAAGACACCCTGCCAACCATGGTTTCTTTTTTGTTCTACTCTTGACACGGGTGGGTCAGCAAGTCAGACAAAGTATTTAGGGGAGACAGGAGTTTCTGAAGAGTACACGCAGCGGGTGTCGGGTGGTGAAGGCCGGCATGCTCTTCAGATCTGTGGTCTGGGAAGGTCTCGGTCCGGATGAGATGGGAGGTGGTCCCTTGCGGATCCACACACCAGGTCCCTCAGGTGGGGATGCATTTAGCTAGTATGAGGACTGGCTAGAGGAGGACAAAGGGTGGGGGACAGCTGCCAAGTCAGGTGAAAGGAGTGGTGAAGACCGAGCAGTGGGGACGGTATAAGGAGTGTGTAGCTTAGGGTAGATTTCTAAGGCAGGACTCTCAGTACTTGTTAATGGGTTAAGGGACTGGTGCAGGGAGGAGTCAGAGATGACTCTAGCTTTGAGACCTGGAGACCTTGGTCTCTTATGAAACTGTTACCAAGATGAAGAGGAAGGTGTGGACCAGACCTGGTCTGGGGAAGAAGTCAGTGATTAGGCTTTAAGTTTTTGAGATGAGTAAAGAAAAGATATTGAGAGAGCAGCATCTAACAGTCTGGGTGGGGAGGCATAAATTGAGTATCAGCATACCTGTGACTTTTAAAGATTTGAGATTACTTGGGGAAAGATGTGAGACCAGGAGAGGCTCTAATAGTCCTGGGGCTAGATGTGAGGAATAGGTTATTGTTAGTTGCTAAGTGGAGTTCAGGAATAGGTTATTGTTCACTTGCTAAGTGGAGTTCAGCTCTTTGTGACCCCATGGACTGTAGTACTCCAGGCTTCCCCTGTCCTTCACCATCTTGTGGAATTTGCTCAAACTCATGTCCATTGAGTCAGTGATGGCATCTAACCATCTCACCCTCTGTTGCCCCTTTCTCCTCCTGCCTTCCATCTTTCCCAGTGTTGGGAGTCTTTTCCAGTAAGTTGGCTCTTCACATCAGGTGGCTAAAGTACTGGAGCTTCAGCATCAGTCCTTGGAATGAATATTCAGATTTGATTTCCTTGCTGTCCAAGGGACTCTCAAGAGTTCTCCAGCACTACAATTTGAAAGGATCAGTTCTTTGGTGCTCAGCCTTTATGGTTCAACTCTAACATCCATGCATGATTACTGGAAAAACCACAGCTTTGACTATATAGACCTTTGTTGGCAAAGTGATGTCTATGATTTTTAATACAGTGTCTCGGTTTGTCATAGCTTTCCTTCCCAGGAGCAAGTGTCTATTAATTTCATGGCTGCAGTCACCATCCCCAGTGATTTTGGAGCCCAGAAAATAAAGTCTGTCACTGTTCCATTGTTTCCCCATCTATTTGCCATAAAGTGATGGGACCGGATGCCATGATCTTAGTTTTTTGAATGTCGAGTTTCAAGCCAGCTTTTTCACTCTCCTCTTTGATCCTCATCAAGAAGCTCTTTAGTTCCTCTTCACTTTCTGCCATTTAAGTGGTGGTACCTGCACATCTGAGGTTATTGATATTTCTCCTGGCAGTTGATTCCAGCTTGTGATTCATCCAGCCCAGCATTTCGCATGATGTATTGTGCATGTAAGTTAAATAAGCAGGGTGATGATACACAGCTTTATTGTACTCCTTTCCCAATTTGGAACCAGTCTGTTTTCCATATCCGGTTCTGACTGTTGCTTCTTGACCTGCATACAGGTTTCTCAGGAGGCAGGTAAGGTGGTGTGGTATTCCCATCTCTTAAGAATTTTCCACACAAAGTCTTTCAGGTAGTCAATGAAGCAGAAGTAGGTGTTTTTCTGGAATTTCGTTGCTTTCTCCGTGAGCCAGTCAGTGTTGACAATTTGATCTCTGGTTCCTCTGCCTTTTCTAAATCTAGCTTATACATCTGGAAGTTCTTGATTCACATACTTTTGAGGCTTAGCTTGAAGGATTTGAGCATTACCTTACCGGTATGTGAAGTGAGCAGAATTGTACAGTATTTTGAACATTCTTTGGCATTATCACAAAGCTATCTTTGAGATCAGGCTTTGACCCCTGCAGTGATCTCACTTTTGACTGAAGACAGAATGTTAAATCCTTAACTGCTTAATTGCTTTAAAATTCCTTTGTATCCTGGGATTCTGCCTGTGGCTCACAGCCACACAGGCCTCCTTGTTCCTGTGCCAGCAATGTTCCTGTCCTAGGTACATTGCCCCTGCCATGTGTTCTGTATGCTTTTATTCCCACAATCCCCTGTGGTGGCAGTGGAAAATGCATGTAGGTTCTTGGAGAGTGGAGCCATCCACATCTCCATGGATGCAAGAACTGATCCCTTTGGAGGGACGTTAGTTCAGTGTGTAAATAAACCTTTATCTTCCATTTGAGCGCTTTCCCTACAAGTACTCATCCCAAGCTAGGGTGAGGTGGTGAATGTAATTTGCCTAATCTAAAACATGAGTTTCAGTTCCACAAAAGGTAGTTTCAGTCGAGCTACCAAAATGTGAGGTGGAGTAAAAGGGCATTGTTGTTCAGTTGCCAAGTTGTGTCTGACTTTGCATCTCCTTGGACTGCAGCACGCCAGGCTTCCCTGTCCTTCATGATCTCCCTGAGTTTGCTCAAACTCATGTCCATTGAGTCAGTGGTGTCAACCAACCATCTCATCCTCTGTCGCCCCCTTCTCTTGTCCATAGTCTTTCCCAGCATCAGGGTCTTCTCCAGTGAGTCGGCTCTTCACATCAGGTGGCCACAGTGTTTGAGCTTCCACATCAGTCTTTCCAATGAATATTCAGGGTTGATTTCCTTTAGGATTGATGGTTTGATCTTGCTGTCCAAGGGACTCTCAAGAGTCTTTTCAGCACCTTTTAAAAGTTGAGGCACCTGTTACGGCTGGGAAATGCAGACCTGGATCTCTTGACACACTATTGAGAGTGTTGATGTCTAACCCTGGGCACACCTCCATTTGATTTTCCTCTGTGTCTGTGATACAATCTTGAGTCATTTTAACTTGTTCATTAATTTGATTTCAGACCCTGCCAACCATATTTATACTGTGGAAATTTGTTTTTAGGATTTGAGTTTTTCTGGTTGGGGTAACTAAGGGAAGAAATTATAATTATGTAAGGGGATTATTCTTTGGTTATTACTGTTGCATTTTCAAAGCATGCCATTGAGTTTTCAGCTAGAATATATAAAATTGCTTATTGTTGCAGTTGAAGTTCAGTTCTCTTTTTGATGTATCAGTAGTGACCAATAGAAAGTTCAGGAAGAAAGATAAAAATGTGAGTTTACATCTTATCTATAAATAACAGACATAACAATTCTAGCTGCCAGAATTCTTGGCATCAAGCCCCATGCTTTCAAATTGCCTGAACTTGACTGAAGATTTCCTTGAGTTCTGATGGAACTGAGCTCCTAGATTAAAGGTATCCAACTCTAAGGGTGCCTTTATCAGTAGACTAAGCCCTGATGTGGTAAGAGCTCTGAAGAATATTTTTAGTCCCCACATTTTAATTATGATGTGATATATTCTGAACCATTAATTGCATGCATCTGGAAATAAATAGTAGCCACATTTATTAGGTGTTGGTCACTCTGCTTAGCACTGAGAATGTATTAGCTGAAATCTTTCTTTAAAATCCTTTTAAAAAAAAAAGAACTTTTTACAGAAAAAGTTGTATTAGACAAGTGCACTTCTTGGTGCTGATGATACCTGTTGACTTGATCTGCCTTTCCCCCCATGGACTGTGTCCTCATGATCTAGCTGACACATAGGGAGTGCACGGTTGTTTAACAAACAGAGCCCAGAGAGGCTTGGAGCGAATTGCTGGAACTCGGTGAGCTAGGGAGTTAATGGAGCTGATTACTCTGGAGCCCATTTTCTTGGCACTCTCCAAACAACCTCAGAACATTTCCTGATGTATGATTTGAAAGAAAACTGAAAGTTGTGTCATGGTTCAAGCGTGCCTTTTCATTGTTTTGCAGCTTTACCACTCCCGAAGGCCCTAAGCCCCGTTCTAGATGTTCAGATTGGGCAAGTGCAGTGGAAGAAGATGAAATGAGGACCAAAGTTAATAAAGAAATTGCAAGGTATATATTTTAGACCACTTTGAAGTGTCATCTGTGGTGTTTTAAAGTGTATATGAAATTTGAGGCATATCCTAAAGTGGTGGTGGGCCCCCAACCAGTCACATCACAGCTCCTGGGAACTTGTGAGAAATGCGGGTTTTCAGGCCCCACCCCATGCCTGCTGGCTGGGAAACTGGGTGGGGTCCAACCACGTCTTAAGCACGTCTGTTGAGCCTGCCAGCTGACGTTTGCGGACCAGTGGCTTGGCGCTGTCCTAGGGTGGCTGTGGGTGGACAGTTGCTGGCTGGGCTGCAGACAGCTATGGCCATGTACTCTGACCTGCCACACTGGCTGTTCCCACTCCACTGGGGAGTGCGCTCTTGACTGACACCTGCCTCAGGTAACAACTCAGAAGTGCCAGAGTGCAGGGAAGTCCCTGACTTGGGGTCTGTGACCCCTTTGCAGGCCTGCCCAAAGTTGTGTGTGTTGAAGTTCAATTCCAAGGTACGTCCTCTCCCTCAGCTCCTTACAGTTCAGAAGGTGATGGCATTCTTCACCCCTGCTTATCCCAGGATTACATTCTCCCTGGTGTTTTGGGACCTTTCTTCCACTTGATATATGCCATCCAATCCAGTGAATGAGCCTTGAGTTAAAATGCTGTGGCTTGAAATTAATTGAAGTATATTGAGCCAAGAGTCTGTTGGTTCTTAATTCGGATAAGAAGGTCTGTCCTCACTCTCAGCAGGGAAGCAGGGCCACTTAAGTGGTTATGACCACTTAAGGGGCCACTTAATTTCTTTCAGACATTAAAATGTATGTGGGCAGATAATCTACATGGTTAGAAGAGCGAACTGGGAGTTGACAGGCTCCAGTATTTTGAATTAGTTGTATTTATATAGATGTTGATTTTTCTCAGCTGTAAAAAGTTAGGCTGTTTGACTTGGTCTGTGCAGTTTTTGTATTTGTTCACAAGGTTTATAACAACTCTGATCATGTCTTGGTGTTTTTTTTTTCTTTTGACTGTGCTTGGCATGCAGAATCTTGGTTCCCTGACCAGGGATTGAACCTGTGCTTCCTGCATTGGGAGTGTAAAGTCCTAACCACTGGACTGTGGAGCCCCAGTGCTGTGTGTCTTGACCCCCACTGTCACCCCTTGCTAGGGACCGTCTCCAGCGCCTGTTTGTTGCAGGGAGACCCTGTTTGTCTTGACCCTCCTGTTGGACTCCTCTTTGTTCCTCTCTGGAAGTTGTCCTGCCCTTGTGCTGTTTTGGGCCACTCTGGATCACACCCTTTCTGATGGAAAGCTGCTGCTTTTGAGCAGACCAGGTGATGGAGTTTTTGATGGTGGTGGTCTGCCTTACTTCCCACCAGGTGGTGAGGGGTGAGCAGTGAGCTCACTGTATGTCAAGGCAGCTGGCTCACACTACACACCAACAGTCTGAAAATTGGAAAATGGGTTTTAGTTATACCTGAAAGTGAAAGTGAAGTCGCTTAGTCATGTCCGACTCTTTGCGACACTATGGGCTGTAGCCCACCTGGCTCTGTCCGTGGGATTTTCCAGGCAAGAATACTGGAGTGGGTTGCCATTTTCTCCCGAGGATCTTCCCGACCCAGGGATTGAACCCCAGTCTCCCACATTGCAGGCAGACTCTTTACTCTCTGAGCCACCAGGGAATCCCTTATCATACCTGAAAGGGTTCCAGAAAGAATGAGATCCTACAGAAAATGATTTCAGGGACTAGTGTTTCAGTTCTCATGGGATGGCTCTAGATACACAGAAGGAGATTGATTGTCTCCTGGTGTCCAGACTTCACTGGGACGCCCCAGCAAACTTGGGGCAGGGTGAGGCACCAGAATATGTGACATCTTTTGGACCCTAGCATGAAATTCTAGCTAGAGGCAGTTTCCAGGTTAGATTGTGCTGTGTTTTTTGGTTGGTGACATAACTTTGCAAAATTGGGTGTTGGTTGTTGCTGTGCTGGAAAGCAAATTCCCGGTGACATCCACAAGGAAGGAGGTTGGGGGTGGGAAGGTGTGCAGCCTTCCCAAGGTGAGCGGTGCCCAATAGGCATGTGTTTCATTAATGAGTGATTGTGGTATTAGAAATAAAGACTTCATTTCAGCTCACGTTTAGTTTTTCCTGAAGGTTTCAGGGTGAAGAGAAATGTAAAGTTCCATGGTCTCACTACTTAACTGGCAGCAGTAGTTTTCTTTCAGAACTGGTTGCTTTAAGCATCTTGTATGGTCTTGGCAAGTAGCCTTTATCTTCTCACCAGAGTGGTGATTGAGGGAGGTTGAAAAAGAAGCCACCTTACTGTGACTGTTACTTAATCCCCTTACCAGACCGCACCCTCACAGAGGCTTTGTAGCTCTGAAAGCATTGTGTTGATTTCTGTACCTTTGTAAAAACAGCAACATTTATTTACTTTGCTCTCAGATATAAAAGGAAACTCCTCATAAATGACTTTGGAAGAGAGAGAAAGTCGTCATCAGGAAGGTAAATGCTATGTAATCATTTCTTTTCTAATTAATAACCCTGTGACTTACTCATGAAAAATAAGGTGAACATGTGAACGTGAAATGCTGACTCTCAATAGTATTTACTATTTTTTCTGTTCTTCACTGATTTGAAATATGTATCCTGTACTAAATTTCCATATACTCAGAGATTCTAGACTGTTCTGGAGTTAATATAGTTTGGAAATCCAGAGGGCAAATGCTCTATTATTGTGTTTACACATTTTCTTACATAATGATCTTATTTGTGAGGTTTGCTGTGTTATTTTCCTTCTGTTTAGTTCGGATTCGAAGGAGTCTGTGTCCGCATTGCCAGCCGACTTGGAGACGGATGAAAGTGTCCTGATGCGGAGACAGAAGCAGATCAACTATGGGAAGAACACCATCGCCTACGACCGCTACATTAAAGAAGTCCCCAGGTAGTCCTGCGCCACCAGCGTGGGCTGGCCAGGTCACCTGCGTAGGTGGTAAATCTGATTCTGGGTGTCCTTCACCTGCTAAGAGCTGTTATTAATGACCTTCAGGCACTTACATAAAGAATCTGTTGGTGACTGCAAAACCAAGGACATGAAGACAAGTAACGTTTTCATAGTTTAGAATGTTAGGTAACGTTTCTCAGGAATCATAGCTGTCTTATAAATGTGAGACTACTAAAGTACATGACGGGGAAAAGTTAAGTTCAGGTTACAGATTGTAAAGCTTTTACTAGAGAAGAACATGAGCCTTACCCAGTGTATGTAAGGAGCATGCGTCTCGCTTCCCGCACAAGGATACAAAGGGAGCTTTACAGAGCATGGCAGCTACTGGGCTGAATGCAGGTGTCCTTTACTGGAGCGTGGATTGCGAGGGATGAGCAGTCAGCGAGGTAGCGCTGTTCAGCTCATGTTCACACGTGGGTCTAGGTGTGCACCAGGATCATCCCTCTCTCCCTGTAGGCACCTTCGACAGCCTGGCGTTCATCCCAAAACCCCCAACAAATTCAAGAAGTACAGTCGGCGGTCATGGGACCAGCAGATCAGACTCTGGAAGGTGGCTCTGCATTTTTGGGATCCCCCAGCTGAAGAAGGATGTGATTTGCAAGAAATGTACGTCTCTGTTGGAGTCCTGTCCTCCCTGTCTGCGTGATGACAGCAGCTCTGTCGCTGTGTGGCAAGTCATCCTGTGTATCGTGGCTGTGTTCTCTCTGCTAGTGTCTGAAGCTGGCCGTGTGGGCTCCCGGAGGGCTGGAGGGAGGGATGCGCTTCCTGGGTTGGACTTAACTGTTTGTAGCTACGACAAACTCATCTTAGTAGAGGTACATGGGGTTTTGTTTGTTTTTTAAGATAAAACATCTTGAAAAGCTTGAGTAATTGTTGAGCTCAGCGGCTCAATGATATGGAATCCGCTTGCAAGAGACTCCAGCTTGATCCCTGGGTTGGGAAGATTTCCTGGAAAAGGAAATGGCACCCCACTCCAGTATTGCCTGGGAAATCCCATGGACAGAGGAGCCTGGCGGGCTACAGTCCATGGGATCACAAAGAGTCGAACATGACTCAGGGACTAAACAGCAACAAGTATGCATACCGTATGATCGATTGACTAAACTATAACACGAGCTCGTAAAGCAACCATACTCCAATAGAAATTGGGGCTTCCCCGTTGGCTCAGTGGTACAGAGTCCTTCTGCCAGTGCAGGAGATGTGGGTTCAGTCCCTGGGTCGGGAAGATCCCTGGAGAAGGAAAACCTCCAGTATTCTTGCCTGGAGAACCCCATGGACAGAGAGCATAGTGTTTCAGTCCACAGGGTTGCAAAAGGGTCAGATATGACTTAGTGACTGAACAGCAATGTAAAAGTAAAAGGTTTTCCTTTTTTTTTTTTTTTTTTTGCCTATGGAAGGTTTTTATCTTTTAAAACTGTCTCAGGTTGAACTGCCACGTGGTCCGGATGCCAAGTGGGCGGGGAGGTGGAGGCTGGTCTGTGGTTCTCTCCTCAGTTCCCTCGTCTGAACTTCTCCCTCCCTCAGAGACGTGGTTAGTCCAGATGTCTCAGTTTCTGCTCTGAGCTGGGGATGTTTATTAGAAACAGTCAGGTTTGAAACGATGTCTAATACGTCTTTATGAGGTTGGCCTCACCTTCACAGACACACCCTGGTTTCTTTCCAGTTGTCACTATTGTCCCATTCCCTCTGTCAGCAGGAAATTGGACAAATGAGTGGTGATGTGTAGTTGGGTTTGTCAGTGTCTGTCCCCCCAAACCGGGCTTTACTGCCGTCACTTCTGCTTACAGGGATGCTTGTGGGTGTGTGCAGACAGCTGGCCACGCACAGGAGCGGGCAGCTGCCTGTGTGCTCTGAGCATGGTGGACATCCTGCCTGTGGCAGCTGCTGCCAGCTTTCCCCGGGGAGGGCCTGGGCGGAGGAGTGGGGGGCATCCTCTCAGGGCAGAGGCGGTGCAGGGAGCGCACATGGCGGTGTGGGCCTCACTGACCCGGCCTAGCGTGCTTGCCTGTGTCGCGTGCCTCCTGGTTCCCTCACATGGTGACTGACACGTGTGTGTTCACTGCACAGACATCCTGTGGACCTCGGGGAGATGGAGACTGAGTCCGCAGAAAGCAGCTCTGAGTCCCAGACGAGCTCTCAGGACAACTTTGTAAGTGCCTTTCCCTGGGTGTATCTCCACACAGGTGTTTCAAATTTATTGTTTATAACATATGTCCCTTTATAAACTGAACTTTAAGCTGAAATTTGATTCTGATGCTTAGAAGAAGGGGTCCTTACCCCTTTCTCTGACTTTACTGAAATGTCAGATTTGATGGATCCCTATTTTAGATTTTGGGTTCGGTCTGACTAATCAATACCACCATTTTCATTTAACAGTAAAAGGTCTTTTCTAGTTCTGGTATTAGATATAGGCCTTGTCATTAGTGTTAATTTTAGGCTATCTAGTTTGTGCTGGTGAATTGCTGGTATAGGATCACCGGCTAGTTGTCATAAGTGGAGAGATGCTTTGGGCCTAGGGGTTTCCCCACATTTGCCAATTTCTAAAAAGTACATGTTTTAGGGCAGGAAAAAAAAACCTCAGAAGATGAAAAGCAGTGTGCAGAATCCCCCGTCTCTCAGCCTGTGGTTACTGATTGAGTGCGAGTTCTTCAGGCTTCTCTGCATGTGTGCAAGCCACACACACAATAGCACTTCACAGGAAAGGGTGCCTTTGTTATCACAGGGGCTTTCCCAGAGGCTCAGCGGTGAAGAGACTGCAATGCAAGGTCCATCCCTGGGTCGGGAAGATCCCCTGGAGGAGGAAATGGCGACCCACTCTAGTATTCTTGCCTGGGAAATCCCATGGACAGAGGATCCTGACGGGCTGCAGTCTGTTGGGTCTCAAGACGTTGGACATGACTGAAGTGACTGACCTCTCACTTGTTATGAAGGAGACTGCTCCAGTACTTACATGTAGAAATATCCCCTGCCCACTAAGTGGAAAAACAGGTTAAAAACTAGAAGTAAATGTTTTCTTGAAAAACTCAGGCTTTATATAAGACGAGCCTGTACTGTGAACAGCTAAGGAGCAGGTAAAATCAAAGTGCACAGCTGCCTTTGCCTGCCTGCCACCTGTCTCCCTGGTAAACAGGTACCTGTCCTTCCAGTCGTGGGGCCACCTGTACCCCGGGTCCTCTCTGTGAGAGGTGTTAGAAGTAACACACCAGCATAGAGGGATGACAGAGATACTCATGAAGGATACAGCTACTGCAAGTGCTTTTTGAGGACTAGTAACCTGGAAATTTGTCAAATGAAAACAGGATATTTAACCACAGGAGGATCCCAGTTTAGTGGGTATTCAGATGCACGCAGGACTACAGAGAAACCAATGCAAGACGATCTCAGCAAGTGGTGTCCTTGATCTGGATTGAGTGACTCTCATCCCAGCTCAGCAAACGGATTCTGATTGTGTGCTTGTGATCAGACAAGTTGGAAGGGGCGGCTGTGCAGATAGAGGCAAGGGTCCTCTTGGGGGTCCTGGGACCTCCAGGGAGAGGTGATGTGGGGGTGGGGGATGTGGGAGGCGTGGGAGCAGGGGAGCCTGCAGGCCCCCCTCGGGAGCGGGAGCCGGTGGGGAGAGCTGCTCAGCGGAGCAGAGACGCCATAGCATCACTGCTAGAATACCGCTGCCGCGTAAACAGGCTGTTCAGGCTTCCCGTTTGTCCCAGTCATGCCCTTTTCACAGGTCTTTTTCTCTCTTTTGATATGGAGTTTAATCAAGGATTACATGTTTAATAGCCATGTCTCTTTAATTCCCTGTTGTTGAGAATAGTCTTCCTGTTTCCCCCCATGAAATGACTTCTTAGAGGGGTTTAGGCTCCTCGGTGGGCGGTTTCATGTTGTCCCCTTAGATTAGGTTCACGTTGAAGACCTTGGCCCCTGTTTGGGGCTGGAGTGAGGCCATGTCAGTCCAGGGCCAGAGCTGAGGTTGGCCGTCCCGGTCTGGTTTCTGGCTCAGCAGTGCTTCTGAGCCACATCACGGCTCCCACCGCCTCCAGTGGCTGCGGCTCAGAGGACTTAAAGGGTTGCTCCGTTTCTCGTGGGACAGGGTTGGGGGCGGGAATTTGAGAGGTCAGCTAAAGTTTGACATCTGCGAATGTTAAATCTCCCGGAGTTTCCTGCGATCCTGGGGAGTCTTGAGTCCCCAGAAGTTGAGCGGCCCTGCTCAGCGCCCTCCAGCAGCAAGTCCTGTGCCCCAGGGGCCACTGAGACTGTGCTTCTGTCTTGCAGGACGTGTTCTGCGGCACCCCCACCAAAGTCAGGCACATGGACCGCCAGGCAGGGGACGAGTTCGATTTGGAGGCCTGTTTAACCGAGCCGCTGAGAGACTTCTCGGCCATGAGTTCACCGGCACCCCCTGCAGGCCAGCTGCCCGGCATGCAGCCTCGTTTGTAACTGGAGCTTCCTATTAATAGCTTGCTGTCTCCTGGTGAAGTGCTGTTCTTGCCCTGTTTTCTTAAGAAATGTTCATTTTATGTATAGGGAGTGTACTTTGCATGTTTTAAATTGTAAATGGAAGTAAATTTGAGGAAAATGTAACTTGAAGCAGTCTTGCGACAACCTTAATCGCTTAATCTCCAGCACCCTTGATGGAAACCTGGAAAGTGTGCTGTAGCTGGTCTTCCACGGGTTTTGTAGATGCTAGATTGTTACTCGTCAACTAGCTGGTTTGGGTCTAACTGTCTTGGGACCAGTCTGGCGTTGACTTTCTTTTCTGGTATCTGAATGAGTGTCCTCATAATTGGCTCCTTTACTATCTCTGTGGAAAGTGTTAGTGAGTTTCTGGTTGTTTGTCAGCATATCAAGATTGGATTTTTCCTCATACAGAGCACTGAATAGTCAGAGATATTGAATTGAGCTGATAAGTTAATGGATTTTATGTGTAAGTTATACAGTCTTAATTTGGTACTTGTAAATAGCACTAAGTGGGCCTTCTACCTAAAATACTCCAAAAGTTAAGGCAGCAGAGGGATTGGAATTTTTTTTTATAATCAGTTAATTCACTTTGTAAAATGGCTGTAAATGATAATGTGTACAGATTTTCTGTTCGTATATTCAGTTGTAAACTTCTAAAGACTGTTATGTTTCTATTGCTTTTGTATGGAATGACACTGCAAAAATAAAAACCTTCTTTAACTGACTTACTGTGTTGCCAGACAGACTGGGTGATGCCTGTGCTGGGAGGAGCCACGTCAGCGTTGGTCCTGGGCACGTGCACGGGGAGGGTGGACACGGAGACGGTGAATGACCTCCTTTTAGTCGGTTTGCAGCTCTGCCTTGGGGCCCTGGTCATGCTGAAGCCAGGTGCAGACCTTAGGTGTGGAGCCAAGCACATCCTGTGTGTGCCTCTCGGCCCCAGTCTGCGACTGAAGGGAGTGTGTACCCAGCGCGTGCTAGGAGGCCAGGGCCTCAGCTTGCTGCTTGGTCGGCAGCTGGGGCACCAGGGCCTTTCTGTGTCTGGGGACCAGGGTTGTACAGTCCCCCCTGCAGCCCGAGGGGCTGCCCGCCCATAGTGCGTCTCCACGCCCAGGCTCTGCCTGTAGCTGTGGCCACCTCCTTGGAAGTGACACTGAGCTCCTTATAAGCAAGGGGTGGGCTCTTGCCACTGTGTTCAAAGTGCTTTGCGGGGGGCAGAAGCCCTTCCTGGTCCCGTCACATGTGCGGACCTCGCACTGTCCAGCAGCCTCGTGGATGGGGGGGACACAGATGGGCACTGTAAGCTGCACTCAGGTACTTGGGGACAGTGAATGTGGCATCAGGTCACAGGCAGGAGGGCTGCGAGGCAGGCTGGAGGTTGGGAGACACCTGGGTGCGCTGGGAGCCAGCTGTGCTGCAGGAGCCGGAAGCATTGGCCTCAGGGTGCGGCCAGCACAGAGGCCCAGAGGTGGGAGGGCGGTGACCAGGCTGTCCGTGCTCACGAGGGACTCGGCCAGGGGTGCGGGCGAGGGCCTGAGAGATGAGCTAGGGGCGCAGGGTAGAGGGTGCCTCAGCGCCTGGGAGGGTTGGGAGCACTGGGAGCAGAAGCAAAGCGGATCCTTGCTGCGTAGTGGCCGCTGGCAGCTCTGTGCACACAGGGGTGGAAAACACCGACCAATGGGCTGGATGAGGTTTCTGGGCAGAGCCCCAGAGGTGCCTCTGCTTCCTTGGCTCCTGGGGGGGTGGGGTGCTGTCTAGCTGGGGGTGGGCCCTTACAGGTCCTGGCCCACCTTCCCCAGAGACGGGGGAGGGAGGTCCTTAGTAAAGCAGAGCAGGTGGTCAGGACCGTGGAGGTGGAGAGCCTTCCCATCTGAGACGCACAGGACCCTGTCCCCTAGGAGCCCACCGTGGAGAGGGCTTATTCTGAGGAGCCCTCCTGCGTGCCCCCTCTGGGGTCCCCCAGACAGGAGTGGTTGCCGCAGTGACCCCAGGTTCGCCCATCGCATGGGGGGTGTGTGGCGGGGCCTGGGACAGAGTGCAGGTGAGTTGTGTCTAGTCCACATGTCCTCAGACGCTGAGGACCTTCACCTTGGGACCTGTATTTAGGGGGACTCCGTCCATCAGAGCCTATTCCCATGATGGGAACAGCACTTCAGGCTGGTGCTGATGGACAGGGAGACTTGGGGGCCTTGGGAGGACTGTAAATGATCTGCGGCCATAGTGTGGATTGTGCTGGCCGTAAGTGGGGTGAAGGAGGCAGGCTGGCTGGAGTAGAGGGTGAGGGATGTGGTCTGGGGTGGGGGTCTTGGGCGGGAGGCATGATACCTGACTCAGGTTCTAGAAGAGTCACCTGAGCTACCGCTTTGGTGTCACATCTATATTTTTAGAATGCTCTTAAGCACCAGGGAAATCTGTCTTCAGACTTCAGTTCCTGCCTGTTAGCACTGTTAACATAATCTGGTCTTTCCATGTGAGTGTAACAGGTAACCGATCGGCTGGGACTGACTGGTCTTTATTCTTGACTCTTGTACTTCGAACCCAGAGGTGTCAGAACTCAATTACGTTTGGCCAGCATGATTAATTCTTCACCGTTCCGGGCTGATTGTGATCTTGTCGCCAGCGGATATTCATTTTCCTGTCTCCCGCGTATAGACGTGGTCGGCTTATCGGGGTTGTCATCCTCAGCTCGCGCCGCTCCTGCACCAGGATATTGTCTTTCCTGCTGGCCCGTCGGGACCCTGCCATCAAGTTGCTGACCCTCTGCCTCTCTGGGAGGAAGATGCTGATGGCACCTCCCACGTGAGTCAGCAGCCTGCCTGAGCCAAGGGCTGCGCTTCCACCAAGTGGTGGCTCTTCTGGTTAACGGAAGGGTTACAGGAGTGTTTTTGTCCCAGGCAGTCTGACTCGAAAGTCCTCCTGGGTAAAGTCACACGACAGCAATAGGTGAACTGGGAGGACCTTGACGTTAGAGGTTTTCTTGGAACCTGGGTGGGGGAGGGGTATGTGCCTTTTTAATCACCGGTCTGTATATTTTATGTTTAAGAATCTTGAGGAGGGGCTTCCCTGGTGGCACAGTGATGAGGAAATCTGCCTGCCAATGCAGGAGACACAGGTTCAATCTCTGATCTGGGAAGATCCCACATGCGGGGAGCAGCCGACCCTGAGAGACACAGCTCCTGAGCCTGAGCGCTGGAGCCTGGGCACCACAGCTGCCAATGCCTGTGAGACTGAGCAGCCGTGCTCCACAACAGGAGGAGCGCCGCAATGAGAAGCCTGCGCACCACAGCTGGAGGCAGCGCCTGCTCCAGGCAACTAGAGAAGGGCCTGAGCAGCAACGAGGAAAGAAACACGTTAATAGGACATTATTTTTTTAAGAAAAGGAAAAATCTTGGGGACTTTCCTGGTGGTCCAAAGACTGAGCTCCAGTACAGGTGGCCTGGGTTCAGTCCTTCACTGGGGAGCTAGATCCCACATGCCACAACTGAGACCCAACACAGCCAAATAAATAATTTTTTTTTTTAAAGGCAGAGTCGTGAGGGGGACTTCCCTGGTGGTTCTGTAGCTAAGACTCTGTGCTCCCAATGCAGGGGACCTGGGTTCAATCCCTGGTCAAAGAACTAGATCCCACAGGCTGCGACTAAGACCCAGCACAGCCAAAAAAAAAAAAAGACAGTCTTGAGGAATTTTTTGTTTCAGAGTTTTGTTGCTTTGTTGTCAGTGTTTGCTTTGTAATTACATAAAAATATGTAATTTTTATGTAAAAAAAAATATGGTTTTACTGAGTCTAAGCCACTTTGTAAAACTCACACTTTGGAGATGCCTGTGAAGTTTTCCTGGAAAACCCTCGGCGCAGGGTGCAGGACGCACAGGCTCCAGCAGTGGCACTCCGGCCTTATGGCTGGCCTCCCAGAAGGCGCTATGTACAGGGTCCCCAGAGCCCGCCGCCTGGCACTTGCAGGCACGTCAACATGCAGCAGGTGGAATGTGGCCTGTGTCGGTGCCAGCTCCACCTTCTCCAGCTGTGTGACGGGGCCTCCGTGTCCCCGTGGGCGCGACCGGACAGTAGTACCTACCAGCAGGCCAGCCCTGAGGATTACAGGAGAGAGAGCACGTCGTGACGGCAGCTGCTGTGGTGGCCGAGGGCCCCATCTAAGGTGTCGGCAAAAGCGCCACATCCATTAACTCTCCCCGACTGGTCGGGCAGGGTGCTCATCGAACAAAAGCAATAACGCAGACCTTTAGGAAATGGGCGCCCGCCACACAGGCACAAAGCTGCCTCCCGGAGGCTGAGACTTGGTCGGCCTGCCCGGGGAAGGGGTGCCCCCAGAGCCCAGCACTCCTGAGTGAGCCCATGCCACGTGAGGGGCATGCGGCGGTGCAGTTTCCAGGGCCACGCCACGTGAGGGGCATGCGGCGGTGCGGTTTCCAGGGCCACGCCACGTGAGGGGCATGCGGCCGTGCGGTTTCCAGGGCCACGCCACGTGAGGGGCATGCGGCGGTGCGGTTTCCAGGGCCACGCCACGTGAGGGGCATGCGGCGGTGCGGTTTCCAGGGCCACGCCACGTGAGGGGCATGCGGCGGTGCGGTTTCCAGGGCCATGCCACGTGAGGGGCATGCGGCGGTGCGGTTTCCAGGGCCACGCCACGTGAGGGGCATGCGGCGGTGCGGTTTCCAGGGCTTTCTGGCTGTAACGGCCGCCAGCAAGCTCGCCGTGCTCTTCAAGAAAGGGGTGGGGAAACCGCCTCCCTCCTTCGGGCAGGAGTGGTGAGCAGGGCCCTGCCGCCGGCGTATGAGGCCGGGACAGCTGCCTGCTGCTGTTGGACAAGTCGCCACAGGCTGGCTGGCTTAGCGGATGGTCTTTACCGTCCCCAGCTTTCGCGGCTTGGTTGGCTCCTTGCATTCAAGGGGCTGGGATGTCATCTGAAGGCTTGCCTGGGGCGGACCCACGCCCATGGCTGTGGTCAGTGGGCACCCCCCACAGTGTGGACTGGCTTCGCCAGAACGAGTGCACACGGCGTGGGGGAGGCCCGTTGCTGACGCCCGTCACTCCAGTTAGGCAGGAGCAAGTTGCCATCCAGCGTGCCCTCAAGAAGCAGGGCCGTTGGAGCCACAGCCAAACCCACATGTGAGAGGCCCTGGCTGGGCAGCTGGACGTCTGCTGGCACCTCAGCTGCATGTTACACAGAAGTTGGCTTCAAACAGGCCTCAGGACTTCCTTAGTGGTCCACTGGCTAAGACTCCTTTCTCCCAGTGCAGGGGGTCTGTGTTCGACCCCTGGTCAGGCAACTAAGATCCTGCATGACCCCCGGCACAATCAAATAGTGGGAAGAAAAAAAAATGGATCTCAGAGTTAAGTGTAAAAGTGCAAAAATATAGAACTTGTAGAAAACGGGTTTCTAGGTCCAGGCAGTGCTTAGGCTGGACACCAAGAGCGCGCTCTGTAAATGGAAAATTGTTAAACGGGACCTCATGAGGATGAAAGACTTGCTCTGGGCAAAACCTGGTGGCAAGACCAGCCGCAGACTCAGAAAAGATGACTGCCAAGCGCGGACGTGATGGGCTTGCCTCTGGGATGTGCAGAGAATTCCCCCAAACTCACAGTAAGGAGCGGTCCAACTGGAGGACAGGCCGGGGCGTGAGGAGGGGGGGATCGCACTAGAGACCACACGCAGGTGTCAGCAGAGCAGGTGGGGAGACGCCCAGGGTGGCTGGCTGACAGCCCGCGGCGGGAGCCGGCTAAGGATCAGCTGGCCGTAGGTGCCTGAGGTCAACGTGGGGACGCACGGACGGCTGGAGGCGGGGAGACGGTGCAGCTGCTCTGGAAAGTACTCAGACCTCCCCTCAAACCCAGCAGCTACCACTGGAGCCAGCACGGTGCTCCCGGAGAACACCTGTTTACGAGGACCCCACGTGCAAACGCTCCTGGAGGACGGCAGAGGTCCTGCTGCAGGCAGAGCCGGGCCCCAGGGCACCCACAGCGCAGACGGGTCGCTGGTCACGACCCCGCGCTGCGGTTCTGCAAAATGTTACCCTGGGGGGGCGGTGAGTGCTCATGATTTTCCTGGAACACGAGAGCGCTGAAACATCCTGAAAGAGCACGCCATGCTCCTGGGTGTCTTGGCTCAGAATGACCGACACGGAGACACCTCCGGTGAAATGACTGGACTTTAAAAGAAGAAAAAAGATCCTTTGGGCATCTTGGAAAAAGCACATTATATCAGAAAGCATGTTGGACTATCATACTTCTACACTTTTTAATTGTTTTCTACATGTTTTGACTTTTTGTCCCCGGGGTCGGGACCTGTGGGCCTGCTCCTCCTGCAGGGCTTCTCCAACGTTCAGATCCGCACGGCCGCACCCATCACGCCTCCTGGGCTCCGGGATGCGCCTGTAGCGGAGGACAAGGCGGTGTGAGGGCCGGGAGGTCCCCGAACTGCGAGTACCTCTCTGAAGGCTTCAAGGAGAGGAGGTGAGGCTGCGGGTCTGCCAGCCCAGGCTCTGTGGTACAGGGCCACCGTCGCCCAGGCAGGCACCCCTCCAGCGGGCAGCCCGGCCCTGTGCTCACAGCCTCAGGACGGCCGGCACCGGGTGGGGGCGGGGGCGTCCTCCTTCCTGGTCCTTGACTCAAGGCCTCAGACTAGCCTGAGTGCTGGGACTGTCACCAAGGAGGCTGGGTGACTGTGGCTTCCTGTGAGCCAGCACTGGTGGGCGGCCCCGTCTAGGATGCAGCCCGTTGTCCCTGTCTGGATGTGGCCCGCTGTCCCCGTCTAGGATGTGGCCCGCTGTCCCGTCTAGAATGCAGCCTGTTGCTCAGCCTTCTCCCATTCTCCCCAGGTGACTGAATTTTTAGCTCAAGGCCACATTTCCTCAGTAGCTGTGGCCATGTGACTTGGTCCAGCCCAGTGGTCTATGGCCCACTTCAGGTTCTGCCCTAAAGGGAAGGGGTGCCCTGCACTTCCCTAAGGGCACCACTTCCCTATGGCCGGAATGCAGAGGGGATGAGGGGAGCTGGGCAGCTGCCTTGTAGCAGGAGGTAGAGCCTTCCGTTGAATAGGCAGAGCAACGGGTGGGAGGAGCCTGGTCCTGACAAACCCACTGTGCTGGCCAGGGCTCCAGACAGACAGAGCCAGCAGTGCACTTGGGACGGGGGTGTGCCTGTGTGTGCACGTGTGCGCTCGCTTTACTGTGCCTAAAGTCCACCATTTGAATGTCAGTGTCATCTAGAAACATGCTCCCAGCAATCCTAAGGGCACAATGTTTGCCCAAATGTCTGGGCACCCAGGGACCCTGCGAGCAGACACGGACAGTCACCTTTACACCGGCCTCGAGTGGTGACATGGGGGCCTCCTGTTCGGGGCAGGTGGGCCATGTCCTGAGGGGTCCGGGGTGCTGCCCTGAGTTGCTGGGGTGTGACCAGTGCAGCCTGGCTGAAGCAACAGAGGCCTCCTCGGACACTGGCTCCTTGCTCCCCCAGATGCCGTGTTACACGCAGGTCGGGCTGGAGCCACCTCCATAAGCGGAGCTCCTCCCAGCTGGGAGTCCGCTCCTGCCCGAGGCCCCGGCAGACCCGTCTCTGCATCCTCACCTGACGGCCCAGGCGGCCGTCATGAGGCAGGTAGTCCTAGCCAGGCTCCCCAGGGGCTCTGCGGTCCCCCTGGCCAGGCTTCTCAGCCGTGACTCTCAACCCTGCACCCTGGGCCTCACCAGCCCAAGCACAGAGAGCCCTGCAGGCTGCCTCGTGGGGTCCAGACCAAGTCTGGGCTCCTGCTGTTCCCCGGTGGTCACCCCCACTGCCCGTCCACTGTGACGGCTCTCACCCACTGGCCTGTGGACCCTCCTGCCCTGGAGGAAGGGCCTTGCCCCAAGAGCACTGCCCCACAATTTTGGCCCCCAAGTTCCCAGGCCCACCCCACCAGAGCACAGGGCACTTTCTGCCTGGAGCCCTGAGCTCAAGGGTGGTGTATCCAGGAGGGAGGCCCCAGGCTGCCAGGTGCCCGAGGGCAGCAGCAGCACCCGGAACTGACCCTGGGCTTGCTGAACCCAGTGCATCCAGACCACCGCCCACCTGCCACCCGGCCCCTGAGGCTGTCAAGGCTGGTGCTGGGCCCGAGGAGGACTTGGACCCTGGCTCCGAGTGGTGGGTTTCCAGACCCACCTCCAGCTTGAGTTTCACAACCTCCCCCGGGTTTCTATTCTGTGAAGTGGGACCTTGGTGACTTGAGGTGGTCATTATGGGTCCAGATGGATTAGAAAAAACACCCAGCTTCCCTCCTCTGCACAGGTACCCCCAGGGGTCTGTGTCTTGCTCTGCCCTGGGTCACAGAGCTACTAGTCCTGGGGAACCTGGCCAGCGCCGTCTGAATCTTGGATTAGAGGCTGGTGGTGTGGACAACTGCAGCTTTGCCAGACTGCTGTGGACGGCCTGGGCGCCTGCATCACAGTGCCTGTCCCGCAGCCTCCATCCATCCCCCCGGCCCAGTCCCCCACCAGCTATCCTGTTCCCCAGCCTCCATCCATCCCCCTGGTCCTATCTAAAAGAGCCTCCACCCCATCCCTGTCATGCATTGTCTGGCCTCAGGGTCCACAGCAGGCCCTGGTCAGGTGAAGCCCCCTCTTCAATTTCTTCCTGCCCCCAGACCGAGTCAGCACACAGGTGGCAGGGGGCTCTTTCCCACTAGACGCCTTCTCACCACCTGCAGGAAGCTCAGAGCCTGGGAACTCAGATGGGACGCCTCTGGACCACACGGTCCCGAAGGCCTCTCCAGGCCCAGTGACCCCCATCTGCACGTTTTTAATGAGCCGTTTCATTTGAAACAAACAGACTTCCCTTGCGGCTCAGCTGGTAAAGAATCCACCTGCACTGCGGGAGACCTGGGTTTGATCCCTGGGAAAACCCCCTGGAGAAGGGAAAGGCTACCGACTCCAGTAATCTGTCCTGGAGAATTCCATGGACTGTATAGAGTCCATGGGGTCGCAAAGAGTTGGGCACGACTGAGTGACTTTCACTTTCACGCAGGCTCCTAGCCTCAGAGCTGCCCCCTGAGCTGGGGTGCCAGGGCCCCGTCTGCTGCTGGGTCCAGTGGGCCTGTGGGCCTGGGTGAGTATCCCAGCCGCCCCCCAGGATGGAAGGCTAGAAGAGGTGGAGCAGGGCCCCTTCTAAGGGCAGGACCGCTGACGGCCAGCCTCATCTGGAGACCTCTCTCAGGTCCGATCATAGCTGCCACTGGGTTCAGATGGACGAGTGCCCAGCCTTCTCTCCAGCCAGGAGCCTTGGACCACGGCCTCGGGGCCTACGCCGCCGACCTCACAGGACGGAGCTGTGGAGAGACCCGAGAGAGCAGGAGGCCTGCCCAAGGCCGCACAGCCAGCTCCAGTCAGGGCAGCGAGAGCGGCGACGGCGGGCCAGCGCTCCGGGCCAGTAGGGACCCCGGAACTGCCGGCCGGGCCGCCAGCGGGACCGGGCCGTTCGCGCTGGGCAGATCGCCGACCTCGAGCCAAGCGTGCCCCCGCGCCGCCTCAGATCGCCGTCACCGGCGAGCCTCGCGGTCCGGAAGGGGGAACGACACCCACCGCTCGCAGCCGCATAGGCTGGTGGGGCTCGGACTCTGCAGGCGGTGCCAGGGCTGCTCACGCGCCGTTTGCTGGCTCGCCGCGGAAACGCACCCGGGTCTGCACAGGCCCCGCCCATCGGCATAAAAGCCCCGCCCACCAGGCAGGGCCTCAGCGTCACAAACCCCGCCCACCGACGCGCCAGCCCCCCGCCCGCCCGCAGACGGAGGTCCCGCCCCTAACACAGGCCCCGCCCCTCAGGAGCTCGGAGCCGCGCGGCGGCCGGCAGACTGTCGCGTGGGCGCTGAGGCGCCACCTCCTTTGAGGGAAGAGCGCGGCCTGACGGCCGGGGCCTCCCGCCCTTGTCCCGCCCGGCCGCGCTCAGGCGCCGGCCTCAGCGTGGCCCGGGAGCTCCGCACGCTTCGGCGCGCGGCGTTTGTGCGGCTGTCCCCTGGGGACGCCGGGACTGGGGGCTCGCGGCCCGGGGTTGGGACTCCTGCTGCGCGCACCGCCCCCGAATCAGTCCGGACCCCGGGACCCCCCAAGCCCTCTGCACCCCAAGACCTCGCTCACCCTGGGGCCCTCCGAGCCCCACGAATCTCGGGACCCTTGTGCCCCGAGAGCTCTGCGCACCCTGGGATCTCCGTGAGCCCCGGGAGCCCTGCTGCCCAGGAGTCCGGGTCCCCGAGAGCCTGCGGGCCCCGTGCATTCCGCCCGCCCTTCGGCGACCTTGGGTGCCGCCTTTGCAAGCTGCCTCCTCCCAGCGCCCAGACCTGCGCCTGAGCGGCTCCCAGGGCTCCTCCCGCGCCTGTCCTCTGGCAGCGAGAAGCAAGAAGTTGGACGCCATCGATTGTACCTTACGGGGGCCCAAAGGTGGGCCCGCTGGACCAGGGAGGCCAGACCCTCCCGGAGACCTGTGGAAGGCGACTGACTGGAAGTGGATTCCCAAGCCGCTTTCTCTGCCAAGAACAAGGGTTCTGAGTCTCTTTAGGACTTCTACTGGGAGTGCAGACGTGTGTTAGAGGGACGGTGTTTTTCTTATTCTACTTCATCTCCCCCTTGCTGTAAGCACGCTCGCAGGTCTGAAGTTAGTCTGTGTTCAGCTGACCAGTTGTCTGCCTTTGATCATGGGCTACCTTCTCCTCGACTCTCAAGTGTCCACGATCTTATAGTACTTTTCTTTTTAACTGCGTTACTCAGTACTTAGTGCAAGAGAAGTTAGTTTGACTCCAAGAATGGCTTCAGGTTCACAGTATTTAAAAATTTAATTGAGCTTTTAGATGTGGCTTCTTCCTCTGACGGTCTGGGGTGTGTCCTCATTGAAGCAGGTCTGGACAGAGAAGCACAGGCTCGCCCACTGGCAGTAGAAGTCAGGAAAACAGCTTGATTTTGAAGTTCTAGAATATTACCACCAACCCACTGCCCCCCCGACCAATTGAAATTGAAATGCACTTGTTTAGGAACAAGTGTATATTGTCAAGGCTGTATATTGTCACCCTGCATATTTAACTTATATGCAGAGTACATCATGAGAAACGCTGGGCTGGAAGAAGCACAAACAAATCAAGATGACACTACCCTTATGGCAGAAAGTAAAGAAGAACTAAAGAGCCTCTTGATGAAAGTGAAAGAGGAGAGTGAAAAAGTTGGCTTAAAGCTCAACATTCAGAAAACCAAGATCATGGCATCCAGTCCCATCAGTTCAGTTCAGTTCAGTCACTCAGTCGTGTCTGACTCTTTGCAACCCTATGAACCGCAGCACACCAGGCCTGCCTGTCCATCACCAACTCCCGGAGTCCACCCAAACCCATGTCCACTGAATTGGTGATGCCATCCAACCATCTCATCCTCTGTCGTCCCCTTCTCCTCCTGCCTTCAATTTTTCCCAGCATCAGGGTCTTTTCAAATGAGTCAGCTCTTCCCATCAGGTGGCCCAGGTATTGGAGTTTCAGCTTCAACATCAGTCCTTCCAGTGAACACCCAGGACTGATCTCCTTTAGGATGGACTAGTTGGATCTCCTTGTAGTCCAAGAGACTCTCAAGAGTCTTCTCCAATACCACAGTTGAAAAGCATCAATTCTTTGGCGCTCAGCTTTCTTTATAGTCCAACTCTCACATCCATACATGACCACTGGAAAAACCATAGCTTTGACTAGACGGACCTTTGTTGGCAAAGTAATGTCTCTGTTTTTTAATATGCTGTCTAGGTTGGTCATAACTTTCCTTCCAAGGAGTAAGCATCTTTTAATTTCGTGGCTGCAGTCACCATCTGCAGTGATTTTGGAGCCCAGAAAAATAAAGTCAGCCACTGTTTCCCCATCTATTTGCCATGAAGTGATGGGACCGAATGCCATGATCTTAGTTTTCTGAATGTTGAGCTTTAAGCCAACTTTTTCACTCTCCTCTTTATGTTTCTCCTATCTCTCTTCATGTTTCTCATGACTGTCTCTGCATATAAGTTAAATAAGCACGGTGAAAATACACAGCCTTGATGTATTCCTTTTCCTATTTGGAACCAGTCTGTTGTTCCATGTCCACTTCTAACTGTTGCTTCCTGACCTGCATACAGGCTTCTCAAGAGTCTGGTCAGGTGGTCTGGTATGCCCATCTCTTGAAGAATTTTCTATTGTTTGTTGTGATCCACACAGTCAAAGACTTTAGTATAGTCAATGAAGCAGATGTTTTTCTGGAATTGCCCTGCTTTTTTATGATCCAATGGATGTTGGCAATTTGATCTCTGGTTCCTCTGCCTTTTCTAAACCCAGGTTGTTTTTGCCTGAAGCATTACAGGACATTTGTCAGGTGGTGACTTAAAAAATTCCGTCCTTCCGTCTGTGTTTCTGAGTTGGCATTTTCCCAAAAGGAAGAACTTCCTCTCCTCCCCCGCCTTTTCCTTCTTTTCTCAGTTTTTTCTCAGTCTGGGATCGTGGACCATATTTCTTCTGTGGAGTATGCTCCGCTTGCTTCGTTCTCTTGGCGCCTGCCTGGGGCCCTGTCCCACCCTCTCACCTGCCCTGACAGTTGGAGCCCCGGAGAAGCCCCGCGCACCTCCGGTCCTCTCCCCGCCCAGCCCTGGACACCCAGCATCTCTCCAAGGACCGTGAGGTCTGTTTTTCAAATACTAGTAGTTTTGCTATTTATTTCATACTTGTCATCACTGCTGTTCCTTTCTAGGGCTGAGTGTGCTGTGAGCTACCGGGATGGTTTGAGAGACTCTGGGGCGGCCAGCTTGGCAGGCAGGGGCGGTGTCGCGGCTGTCGGGGGCTGGTGAGGTTGCAGCAGGGCTGGCCTGTCCCATGTCGGGCCCTGGTGAAGCCCCTCTCCCATGAGGGGCTCTGGGTGGGGCCCAGGGGGCCTTGTGGGGTATGGTAGGGCGAGTGTTCTGTGGCTGCTCCCACCTGTGGGCTGGTGACTAGGGTGTGGGCACGGCGTGGCCGGCTCTGGTCTGGCTCTTGGGTCCGAAATGCACTGAAATGGAGCCACTCCTGCTGCAGAGCCGCCCCCTGGGGACCCGCTGGCCCTGTCCCACCTGTCAGAGCCTCAGGGCCCCCGACTGTGTTGCAAGAGGTGGTCACCCTGTAGGGGAGCCCGGGGGGTGCCGTCAGGGCTGAGCGTGCCAGGGGCTAAGGACCCCGCGGATGGGCTTCAGACTGAAGTGCGCTGACGGGGATGCTGCGGACAGCAAGCGCCTCTCCTGGCCTGGAACCAGCCCTGGTGGTGGTCGGCACCTGTGGTGGGCGAGCTCATGGCCTTCGTGTGCACATGCTCCTGCTGGCGAGAGGATCCCGCGCCCTTGAGGCCCCCGTCCCTTCTCTACCAGAGGGTGCACCCTGTTCTCACTGGGACGCCTCCCTCTCCCCGCCTGCAGCGATGCTGGCCTTGGGGTGCTGTTTCCAAGTCCTCCAGGGGGCCTGTTGAGACCCACCGAGAGCATGCTCGCACGTGTTTTAGGATCAGAGGGCATCCCAGCACCTGTGGAGGTCTTCAGGCGACTTCTCCCTGAATCTGTCCATGGGTTTTGTGAGGGTGAGTGCCCCTCGTGATCCGCGCAAGGCCCCTGGAGTGCTTCCCATGGGGAGGGGGCTGTGCACCAGGCTTTGGGGCAGTGAAGCTGCCCAGATGGTGACCAGCTGGTTGGAGGTGGGTCCTGGGCCCCTGCCAAGCCCCGGGTGGCCTCGGGGAAGGGGGTCCCCAGGCCCGGTGGCAGGTGGGAACCGGAGTCTGCAGACTCCCGAGCCCTGTCTCCGCTTGCGGCTCAGTCTCTGAGAGCTCTTACTTCCATCAGTGCTTCCTGATCGCGCTTTGTACGTGCGGTGCCTTCTTCCTCCCGCGTCCTGTTTCCTCCCATCGCGGGGGTTTGCCCATCTCTCCGCCTCTGTCTGCGGCTTCTCGGGCTAGTGGCTCTGGCAGTGCCCACAGGTGGCGGTGGCCACGCAAGGGGACCGAGGTGGGTGACCAGCCGCAGGCTCAGGGCCCTTCCCATCAGCATCTGTGGGGCCTGGGCCCCACTGCCGGCTCCTTGTCTCTGCGACCCCCGAGATGCAGACCCCCACTCCGCCTGCCCGGGAGAGACCGCCAGCTTCAGTTGGGGGCGGGGCCCTCTCTGGCTGGGTGCGGTGGGGGAGGAGTGTTTAACTGCTGTGGTCAGCGTTCAACGGCCGGGTCGTCCCTGGAGTCTCCCTGCCGCTGGGCGAGGCCTCGGTTTCCCAGCAGCTCCTCGTGTCCAGAGTGTGGCCCTCTGGCCTCCTCCATCTGGCACCTGTTTGGAGCTGTGGAGGTGGGGGGGGCGCCCTCGCTGGTTCCCACCCTGTCCACCCACCGTCCTGCGATCAGACCACAGCTTTTATTAGGTTTTCCAGGAGAAAGCTCGTGCAGTTGTTTACACACGGGAAGGTCTTGAGGGGTGAGTTTGTTCACCGCGCGGAGCCGGTGGAGTTGCTCGTGGCCCCGTGTGTGTGTGACGGTTTCTCTTTGCCAACAACAGGCATGGAGTCCAGACCATCCTTGGAAACGGATTGCTTGTCTTTAGAACCAAAACACACGTGTGCGGGTTAGCTCAGCGCCTGCAGTGGCCCAGGCCTCCCAAAACCTGATGCTCCAGAAGCCCGGGGCCTCTTGGCACTGACGGAGGGCCCAGGCCCCGGACCATGGTCACTCTCATCACCAAGAAGCTGCAGAGCCAGCGCCTGGACGCCCTCGCCTGCAGAGCCAGCGCCTGGATGCCCTCGCCCACAAGAGCTATGATACTGGCTCAGTGAGCTGCCCACCCCAGGTCAGGGGATGCTGCCCGGGCTGGGTCTCAGCTGGGGAAGGGGACGGGGGTGGGTCGGCCTCTCCCCAGGGAGGCCCTGGCGTCCTCAGAGCTCCCAGAGCCCCCCAAGGTAGTGATAGCGTTCTGGCATCATTAAACCACTGTGAGGGAGAGCCCAGCTCCCCGTGGACACGTGCATTCCTGGGTGCCCAGCAGGCAGACGTCTGCCCCAGTTGGTAGCCGTGCCCAGCGACGCCGCCCTGGCCTCTGGGCACGGCTCCTCCTGAGAGCCCGTCTTGAGTTCTGTCTCCCTTGGCTGGCTTTGCCAGAGGCGGAGCCGTGCTCTAGGTCGAGTTTCCATAACCGTCAGCTCACACCCGCCTGGTCAGGCTGCAGGTCCAGAGGGAGGCGACGGAGCTTGGGGGCGCGGCCCAGTGCTGGGGTCCAAGCCTGCAGGTCTCCCGGGCGGGCGCTCAGAGCCGGCATGCCCTTGGTGCTCTGGGCCAGCTTGTCGCCGGTCTGGCAGGGAAGGCGGTGGGCAGGAGGGTTCACCTACAGAGACGTGGCCAGAAAGTCCTGCCTGTGTTCTTCCCGCTCTGACATGGGGCGCCTGGCCCTCTGCACTAGTGGGTGTGTCGCCAAGAGCCATGAGAGGGTCAGGGTCCTGCAGGGAGTGCACAGATGGGCCTCAGGGCGTGGGGACCGGAGCCCGGGGGGCCAGGAGCCCGGGGCGGGGACAGAAGTCCATGGGGACAGGAGCCCAGCGAGGGGACGGGAGCCCAGTGTGGGGACAGGTGCTCGGCGTCCCCGCTCAGTGAGGACCGGCGCTGGAGCCGAAGCCACAGCCCATGGGGAGCAGGCCCCTGTTTGCAGGCCTTGGTGGGGCCTGGGCAGGGAGCCCTTGGGGGGGTGCTGGGTCAGGGAGAGTCAGCGTGTGCTGGCCTGTGTGGGCGTGGCCTCAGCGTGCTGTGTCCTCTGGGGTGTCCAGCTCTGCAGGTACAGACTTAAGTAGGTAGAGAGCTCAGCTTTGAAAAGCCTTAAGTTTAAAAAATACTTGTTTTGTTGAGGTGTAAGCTGCATGGGCTTCCCTGGTGGCCCAGATGGTGAAGAGTCTGCCTGCAATGCAGGGAGACCCAAGTTTGATCCCTGATTCAGGGAGGATCCCCTGGTGAAGCGCATGGCTCCCCACTCCAGTGTTCTTGCCTGGAGATTTCCACAGACAGAGGAGCCTGGTGGCAGGTCAGAGCCCACGGGGTCGCAAAGAGTCGGACACGACTGAGCGACTAACACTGACTTTTCAGGCTGTAGGCGGTGAAATCGACAGTGAGGTTGTTGTTGAGCGGGTGAGTTCCCCAGTCCTGTTCACACTGACTTTGTCCTCACCACCCCAAACGTCTCTGTTGCCCGCGGAGGTCCCCGTGTGGTTTTCCGGTCCCAGAAGGCAGCAGTGTGCTGACTCGCAGCATGTGGGTGCCCTGGAGTCTGGGGTGCACTCAGCGCCTGCGTCCCTGGGACTCTCTGTGTGGATGGAGCATAGGCAGGTGTCCCTGTGGCCTGCTGGACGGTCCTCGCCTCCCTGGAGCCTGGCCCTCGGGCTGTGTCTACAGCCGACTGTTGGGAGCAATGTCGCTGTCTGCGTTTGCGTGCGGGCCTTTGTGTGTTGAGCGGGTGGCCTGCCCAGCTGTCTGTTGGCACTGATCCTGCTGTGCCTTCTCCCGGGTCGGCTGTGGTGGCGTCCCGGCGCTCATCTTGTGTCTCTGACGACCAACGAGGTCACGGCCATTTCCCGTACTCTTGTGGCTGTTCAGTCGCTCAGTTGTGTCTGACTCTTTGCGACCCTGCAGCATGCCAGGCTTCCCTGTCCTTCACCATTCTCTTGGAGCTTGCTCGAACTCATGTCCACGGAGTCGATGATGCCATACGACCATCTCACTTTCTCTATTTTTCCCTTCTCCCCCTGCCGTCAATCCTGTACTCATCAGAGTTTTTTATGTGCTTTTTGGTGTCCTTTTACTGATTTTTGGGGTTTTTTTTGGGGGGGGAGTCGTGTGTATTTTTCTTATTGGTTTGGAGCAAGTCTTTGCATATTCTGGCTACAAGTCTTTTCTCACCTGTGTATTACACAAATATTTTCTCCTATCTGGTCAGGCTTGCCTTGTCACTCTAGTTTATAAAAAATTTAATTAATTAGTTGTTTTCGGTGGTGCCGGGTCTTAGTTGTGGCACACGGGATCTTTGGTTTCGGTGTCCAGGCTTCCTGTGGTGCCCGTGGGCTGCGGCGTGCAGGCTTCCTGCGGCGCCTGTGGGCTGCAGCATGCAGGCTTCCTGTGGCGCCCGTGGGCTGTGGCGTGCAGGCTTCCTGTGGTGCCCGTGGGCTCCGGCGTGCAGGCTTCCTGTGGCGCCCGTGGGCTCCGGCGTGCAGGCACAGCTGTGCCATGTGGGGTTAGTTCCTCATGGCATGGGGGGGGATCTTAGCTCCCCAACCAGGGATTGAACCCAGGTCCCCTGCACTGGGAGCTTTCCTGGCGGCTCAGTGGTAAAGAACCCTCCTACGAGTCAGGAGCCTCAGGAGATGCAGGTTCGATCCTTGGGAGGGGGAAGAGCCCCTGGAGGAGGGCATGGCAACCCACTGCAGAATTCTGGCCTGGAGAGTCCCATGGGCAGTGGAGGCTGGTGGCTTGGAGTGCGTGGGGTCACGGGCAGATGTGACTTCGCAGGCGCGCACTCTCCACTGCTTTGGAAGGTGCATTCTTAGCCGCTGGGCCACCAGGGAATCCCACACCTCGTCACTTTCTTACTGGTGTCTTTTGATGAAGAGAAATTCTAAACTTCAACGCAGACAAATGTATCAGTGTAAATTATTTACTATCACTATTTTTAACCCTGTTTAAACGGTCTTTGCTAGTCTGAGTCCGGGAGACACTCTCTGAAGCGCAGCCCGAAGCTTGCACCGTCTGAGCTGTCGCGTGTGGGGTGAGGCAGGTGTTGGCTCAGCCGGCCGGCACCAATGCCCAAAACCACCGTCCCTGCCCCGTCAGCGCTCTCGTGGGGCTCCCGTGGGACCCCAGCGGCAGCCCTGTTCTGTGCATCCCAGGGTCACTCCTGTCCTGGGCGGGAGAAGAGGCCTGCAGAGAGGAGCCGGCCTCCCTGGGGACGGACTGGGTGAGCTGGACTCAAGGCCCAGCCTGCCCAGCCCCTGGCTGCGCTCCTGGCCCCTCACTGCACGGGTCATCACCGGGTTCCGCTGTGGTGGAGGCAGACTGAGATGGAGCCTCTGCAAGTGTGGAGGGGCGCCGGGAGCCCACGGAGGCACCAGCCCGGGGCCTTAGCCAACCCCGCCCTGCCCCCTCAACTGCCCCAGCGAATGCCCCCGCCCCCGGGGCACGTGGCTCAGCTGGCCCTGTGCTGGGGGAGGAGGCACACAGCCCGGCAGCCTGGCCCTCTCGCAGAGGCCTGGCCCAGCCTGCTTAGCTCCCTGCCTGGCTCTGTCTAGAACCAGAGCTCCGGGGAGCCTACTCACCAGCCGACTGGGCGGCCTGCGTTGGCACAGCCTGACTGTCGATGGGCCTCCTCCTTCCAGGTGATGAACCCAACTTTTGACTTACTCCCTCTATGAGAACAGCAGAAAAGCTCTTCGTTTTGTCATGAGTTTGTTGTCCTGTGAAACGGTCCCCCTGAGGAGCTGGAGCCCCATAACCGAGCACTGCGTGCTGTGGAGGAGACTCTGGGTGTGGGAGGCAGAGAAGGCTGAGCGCCGAGTACACACGAGGTCTGGGGGGGAGCAGACGCAGGCCTTGAGTAGACGCGGCTCCAACTGGGTCTTCCACCTGCTGGGGCTAAACTGTGGCAGAGCAGAGTTCCATGGGCTCGGGCCAGGCCCCACTGGCCGCCGCAACCCGCAGCTGCCTGCCTCGCTGGACAGAGGGCCCATGTGACGTGGTCGAGGCGGGACCAGCTTTCTGAGGAGCCGCCCTGCTGAGGACAGCCGTAGCGGGACACAGCGGATACGCGTTTCATGTTCTTTGCTCACCTGAAGACCTGTTAGGTATTTAAGTCTTAAGGAAAAAAAGAAAAAAAAATACATTTTGAGGTCCAGGCCTGCTGCAGTCCATGGGGTTGCAGAGAGTTGGACACGACTTAACGACTGAATAACAACTTCTCCTTTTAATCACCAGGAAGGCCATTGCTGGGGAAAAACAGATTTCAAGACAGGCCTGTTTCTGAACTGTTCCTGAATCTGCATGTGTAAACCCACAGTACTGAAACTTCTTTCTCTTCACTTTCAGTATTCTTCCCAGAAACTGAGCAAAAGTGGCCACTTGTCCCGTTTCGAGACTAACAGGGAGTGTTTAAAAGCCCCAGTGGGTTTTCCTGGGCTGCTGCGGGCTGGGACCGTGAGCAGGGCGGGACAGACAGGGTCACTGGCCCAGAGGTGAGGTCGCCCTCTGCGGGCCTTCCTCCTGGGGCAGCAGCGTGGGTGGGGCCCGGGGCTGCCGCCCACCTTCTGGAAGCTGCCTGTAGTGCACAGCTGAAAGGCCCGCCCTGAGGGGTCCTGTGGCCGCTGGTCAAAGGACAGGCGGTCAGGCAGTGTCTGCCACCTCGACTCCAGCTTGCTGGGTGCGTGGGTGCCTGGAGGGCCTGGGGCTGCCGGCCCACCCTGCACTGCATGCCCACACACTGTGTGCCCTGTGGTCTGAGTGGCCTGCCCGCCGGTGTGGGTACTCCGGCCCCAGCGTGGGTGCTCTGGCCTGGATGTGGGTGCTCAGGCCCGAGTGTGGGTGCACGGGCCCGCCCCTGGGTGCCCCCTTGGAAGCAGCCCTGCCGTCCGCTTTGACTGACCGGGTGTGCTCGTTCCCCAGGATCTCCTGGGGCGTCCTGCTCTCCTACACAGGCCCCTTGGGCTCCAGGCCAAGGCCTCCTAGCTGGGGGTGAGACAGTGGAGGCTCTGGTGTTGGGCTCACTGTGCACCTAGGCGACCCCTACAGCGTGTGCTGGTTGGGGGGCGATGTCCCAGTGGGCAGGGCCCCTCAGCCCCAGCTGCCTGGAGGCCAGGGGTGGGGGCCCGGGGACGCGCACCCCTCACCCGTCTCTCTGTGTTTCCGCAGCAGAGGAGCATCCCCGGGAGGACGTCGGTGGAGGATGGCCTGTCGGAAGCCAGGCGGCCGTGGGCCCAGCCAGCCCTTTCCTGCCCAGCCCCCGCGGCCCGAGCATGGGCACGCTCAGCGCCCAAGACCTCAGGGGCAGCGCCCGGTCGCCCTCGGTGCTGCCCACCAAACGGCACGGCCGCTCCCTGTCGGAGCCGGATGAGCGGGCCATTAGCAGGTCCCCGAGGCTCCCTGGCGGCCCCAGGGTCTGGACTCCAGTCACCAAGAGGCGCTGCCACAGCAGCGGTAGCGCCTGGTTGCCCGGCCGCGCCCTCCCGGCCACCAGCGCCGCTTCGGCCCCTGCGCCCTGGCTGCCCTTGGCCAGCGGCAGCCTCCCTGCTCCAGGCCTGGGCAGGCCACCCGCGGGGGCCCGCACACCCTCCCATGATGCTGCCTGTCGCTGGCGCAGGAGCGCCTGGTGCTGGCGGGCGCGGCCCCACCCTCGGCCGGCAGCGCGCCCGCAACCATGCCCGCATCCACGCCCGAGCCGGGCCGCTGCCAGGGCCTGTTCCACTGCTCCTCTCAGCCGTGCGTCTGCGCAGGCGGGAAGGGCTGGTGGAAGCATGGGCGTGCAGAGGCCCTCGACTTCCTGAAGATGGCCTGGGTGAGGCTCCCTCCGGCGTCGGGTGCTGGTGCGCCCCCCCGCTCGTCCTGTTCCCCGAGCTCCTCTGTCCTCGGAGCATTGTGCGAGGACAGACCCATGTGTCCGTGTGTGTCGGCTGCGCCTGGTCCTTGGGGGTCAGCTGGGCCTGGGGCTCCCGTGTGTGTTGGGAGGTGATTCTGGGGGCTGTGCCGCCCCGCGGCCCCTCCCCGTTGGCTCTGGCCCGCCTCCTGGGGCCCTGCCCGCCTCGCTCTCTGTCTGCTCGCTGCTGGAGAACCTTGTCTGTCGGCTGGTCCGGTGCTGGGGGGTGTTTCCTTTGTCCCGCATCCCTCGTTTCCTGCAGACCGTGTCGTCTCGTTTGTCCTCACGGCTGCCTCACGTGGCAGGCGCTGTCCCCAGGTGTCTGGTGATGCTGGGACCCAGAAGCTGACCTCTGGCCTTCCGTGTGGGTGCGGCCTTTCCACCGTGAGCTTTCAGTGGGGTGCTGGGATGCCCCCATCTGCGTCCCCAGTTCTCCAGAGAGGCCTTGGCGCGTGCTGCCTGAGGAGGCTGGGCCCAGGCGGGTGTGACCCTCGGGTGGCCCCTCTGGGTGCTTGTGTCCTGCCTCTGGCAGACTGCGCCCCCCCAGCCCCGTGGCAGGGGACAAGGGCCTTGGGGCCCTCAGGTCAGTGGAGGTGTGTGTGCGCCTTCCCGTGCCCGGAGCCCCGATGCCAGGCTCCACGTGCTCCAGGCAGTCAAGGACCCCTCCCTCGGCTGTCTGTGCCGTGGACTGTGGGCAGGGTCAGCTCTGCCATGAACACGGACGCTGGGCTGTGTTTCCACGAGGGAGAGAGGTTGAGCGTTTGTCTGGAGAAGGCCCGACGCCACGGCTAGGGGCGCGTGTGGTGGGGCAGGTCGGCTCTTGGCTTGCGGGACGGTGTCTGTTCAGGGCCACATGTGGCGGGACAGGTCGGGTGTCCTCCCTGCTCTCGGCTCAGTCTCGGGGCCCCTTGGCTCCAGCCGCTGAGCCTGGGTGCAGCTCCTGTCCGGCATAAGTCGGCCGACGCGGGCAGTCATGTCTATACCGACTGTTTTGCACACAAGATGAGAGACCCCGTATGATTGAGGGCCCCCGTTTCAGACTCAAAGTCTTGATGTTTGATTTTTTGAAAAAGCATTTTTTGTTCACCTGGTTAGATGTAGGTCACCGTCAAACCAGAGCAGGACTGTCCAGTGGCGAGAGTCGTGCGTATCGGTTCAGGTCCCCTAACCAGCTCGGACTCTGTGGATTTGTGACATGCCTTTTTGGGCCGTGAAGAGTCGGTGGTTTCTAGCTGCATGTGGCCTGAGCCAGGAGCGTCCAGAGCTTCCCCTTTCACACTTGAGCTGTAGCTGTGATCACGGCTGGGCTCGTGTGCCGGCTGCAGAGAGATCTCTGGGCCACCGTCTTTCCGCCTCCCGGCAGGTTTCAACCATCCAGCAGAAGGCCCAGCCTCTGTGCTGTGACTTCATGGGTGGAGAAGCGGGGAGGGTCTCGCCAGTTCTGTCGCCAAGTGTGCGGGGCTGGGCCTGCCCTGCATTGGCGGGGGCGGGGGGTGGTGGAGTAGGAAAGTGACCTTGGCTGGGGAGTCCACCTGGATCTTCACGCAGAGGAAATTCTTTCACGAGCCCTCATTTCGTGACCAGAATGTGTGGCCAGCTGTCAGGTCTCTGAAGACTTGATTCTTCAGTTTCACTTCGCAGCGGCTCACTCGCAGCAGAGCAGTGGCCGCCGAAACCAGGCTGTTTGTCTGCTGGAGTCAGCGGCTCGAAAGTGCCGGCTCCAGAGGGACAGCGGGTGGCCCGGGGCGCTGTTCTGGGACACGCGTGTCAGAACCCCAGCTGCGGGGAGCCCGGGGGCGCTGTTCTGGGACACGCGTGTCAGAACCCCAGCTGCGGGGAGCCCGGGGGCGCTGTTCTGGGATACGCGAGTCCAGGACCCTGACTGTGGGGGGCCCGGGGGCGCTGTGCCCCGTAGCCGCTGCCCACACTTGCGGCGCCACCTCGTGCTCTGCCAGTGGCCTGAGAAACCCTGCAGCGTGCCGTGATGGGTCCGGGGGCAGCGTGGGCGGCCTGGAGGTTGCCCTGGACACTCCGTGGACAGCCTGTGGCCCTGCAGGATTCAGGGTGAGGGCGGGGGCGGCGTCAGGGGAATGGGGTGCTGGCCATGCGAGGGGCTGCTGCTGTGTGCACTCCCGCTGCTCCACCCGGATCAGGACCCCGGGGTGGCCTGGGGTGGCCAGTGGGCCTCGGCCGCCCGTGGGACCACCAAGGAGGGGTGCCTCCGAGCGGGTGGGCATGTGTCTGCCGCTGGGGCCGGTGCTTGGTCTGGGGGCACAGACTGGGGATGCGATTGTCGGGGGCAGGGCCGTGGCAGGGAGGAGCTGGCCGTGGGGGGCAGGAGCCCTGTAGAGCCTGTCTCAGCTGGGCGCCCTGGGCTGGGCCGGGAGATGCCCGCTGGCGCAGAGGGGGTGGCGGCTCAGAGGAGGCTCCGATGTGGATTGTGTGTCTGTCTGCAGTTGAAAGGTGAGGACAGCTGCAGGGTGTTTGTGTTGAAAGCGGAGCCACTGGACGAGGGAGGGCTGAGGAGGGGGCTGGGGAGGGGCCGTGGGGGGCTTGCCTGCCTGGAGCTGAGGGGCCCTGATGGGCGCCTCCTGAGGCTGCAGAGGCAGGAGTTGGGTGGTCTGCTGAGCGGGGCAGTTGGATGTGGGCCCTGGGCCTCTGGCCCACCTTCCCCTGAGTATTCATGGGACTGTGGACACAGCTTTGGCCTCGGGCCCCGGGCCCCCATCACCAGTGCATTGGGTCTCAGTGGGACTGCCTGCCCGAGGCAGGGGTGGGTGGGCAGGGCTCTGAGAAGGTAGCCCCCCAGGCAGGGGGGTGTGTAGCGTTGCCAGGGCACCAGGGAGGTTAGCGTGGACTCGGGGACCCTCAGGGACCAGGGGGACGCCGCCTTGCCCGTGGCCTCCTGGAAGCGCCTGAAGCCTGCGTCTCTTCTCTTGCAGACTCTGAAAACTTCAAAAAGCCTCTGCCCTCTCAATTATGAAGACGAGGATGAGGAGGACGCCTGAGTGAGGACGGCCTTGTCCTCCCCGTGGCCCTGCTGTGCGAGGCCCCGGCCTCTGCCCTACCAGCCCCGACCTGGGGTCCTGGTGGGGCTGGGCCACTGGCGAGGGCGAGGGTGGGAGCGGCGGGGACCCCGGTGACTGGGACAGTGCTGGCGAGGAGGGTGTCCTGCCCCTGGGCCCCGGCGAGCTGGACCTGGAGCAGATGGAGAGCAGCTGATGGGCGGGCGGGGCCGGGGGGTGGGTGCCTCACCTCTTCCCCTCCGAGGCCTGGGCTGTTCTGAATGTGACGTGTCCCTCGGATTCAGTCTTTCCTAAAGCAGTATTTTGGATTTTTACATTTCACAGTTCTGAGAAAGCGTCTCTGTTTTGAAAGGAATTTTTGGACGCACGTTCTGTTAACAGGCTCTGTGCACAGACTGGCGTGGCCATGTGTCCTGCACATGGTTCAGCTTCTCGGGACCCCGCAGCACAGTCCCCGCGAGCCAGCTGCCCTGTCTGGAGCAGGGCCGCATCTCAGGCCACTGGCCAGGGGCTCAGGGCTGAGGCCTTGGGCTGGTGAGGACGGTCCGGCCTCTCGTGCCCCTCCCTCGGCAGGTGCGGGGTAGGGTGGGGGCCGCACGGGCCTCCGTCTGCGCCTTCTGAGTCAATAAAACCCTGAGATTTCCACCAAAGATGTTGATCCGAGGAACTTTGGATAAGAGACGGAGTTTGAGACAGCAAAAGGAAACGTTTATGACCTTTGCAGAAACGTCCTTGATTTTCTTTCCTGAGAAATTGTCGTGGGGCCCTGTGGAGAGAAAGGCACGCTCTGAACTAGTTTGGATGTAGGCGGAAGGCAGGCAAAGCGGGGAGGGGGGCTCGTCCTGCTGGAACCTCACCCTCAGGCCTCCACCTGCAAGGTGAGGGGCAGGGGAGTGCTGGGGCCCCTCCTGGGGACGCTGGGCTGCCTGCCAGGCGCTGACCCACCTCCTGCAGGGACCCCGGCAGCGCCCGCCCAGTGGCCGGGAGGGTTTCTTCCCGTTGGCGTCAGAGAGGTCCGCCTTGTTCTGTAACCTCGGCTGCAGCCTGAGTCCTCAGACACGCGGTTTGGCTCCTGGCTGCCCCCCTGGGGGTGGGGGTGGGTGTCCGTGCCCCAGACGGACGCAGAGCGGCCCTCCCGCCTTGCTCTGAGCAGGCCGCCTGTCCCGTCGGAGGCTCCCACCTCTGGTGGCCTCTCTGCGCTGTCACCTGGGCGGCAGGGTTTCGGAAGCTGCTCAGACTTAGCTGAAAGAGGAAAGGTCAGAAATAAGCGGCCGGGGGAGCTGCAGAGCATGGGGTGGGGGGATGGGGTGGAGGCCTCGGAGGACCTCGCGGGGCAGCGGCAGGCCGGTGTGAGGGCCCGCAGCGGGCTGCCTCCTCAGGGGCTGGGTTTGGAGGGTTGGTCTCCTCCCACCAGACGCCTAAGATCCACCTGAGCTCTTGGCCAGTCGAAGTTCAGCGGGTGTTTGCCGAGCCCTGAGCTCAGGGAATAAAAGGATAAAAGTGAAGAAAGAGGAAACGTAGTAAAATAGGGGCAGGAAGGGAGGACGTTGACAAGGCCGCCGTGAGGAGACTGGGGGTCTTGCCTCTGCTGGACTCAGAGGATGGCCGGGAGGGATGACCAGAGAGGGACTGTGGGGGGCGAGAGGAGGGGTGCAGCCCCTGGGGGCCGCAGAGATGCTGACGCTGGTGAGGGGGCGCGGTGGGCAGGGGAAGGGGCAGGGTGCAGACACAGGCGCTGAAGTCAGAGCCCGGGGACCCTGACTGTCCTGCAGAGACCACGCCCACCCAGGATGGCTTTGGGCAGACCCCATGGAACACACAGACGGGGTTCCAGGCAGAGACACGCCCCTGAGAATCGAGCCAGGCCAGGGGACCCTGGTGTGGACAGCGTGGGGGGACCCTGGGGGTGGGGGTGGAGCTCAGTGGCGGCCGGGGTCAAGGGTCAGGGTGGACAAGGTCGAGGGCAAGCAGGGTCCAGCTCCTGCAGCCTCCACACCAACCCTCCAGATCACAGCGGGGAGACGGCCCTGGTCCCAGCAGCCTGGAGGCCCCAAGCCCCTCCCCACGTCTCCCTGGGGCCTCTGACCTTGGCCCCCCACGCTCAGCAGGGCCCCCTCCCGGGGGTTTCTGCTCTGGGGTTCAGTGGAAGGGGAAGTGACCCCCCCACAATCATGCACCTCTTTCTGCTTTTCTGCAGGTTTTTTAGCTCATTTAAAACCTATTTAAGTTGATTTTGGTAATTTATACTGTCTTAGCACGTTGTCAGTTTCATCAGAGTATCCCCCTCTCTGACCTGTCACTCTTGATCGGGCTCTCTGACCCCGCAGGGCCCGCTGGGCCTCTGTGTTCTCCCACTCTGTTGATTAGCCCGTCAGACGTTTGTTTATTTTATTTATTTATTTTGAGGCACCAGCTCGTGGATTTACTGAGGAGTTCCCCCATTTTTCTTGTTTCCAATTCATTAATCCGCCTTTATCTGTACCCCCCTCCTGCCTCCCTGGATTTACTTTATTGTTCTGTTTTCCCTCCTTGTGTCCAATGTTTAGTTCATTTATTTTCAGTCTCTCTTGCTCAGTAATAAAAATATTTAAGGCTGTGAATTCTCCGCCAACTCCTCCTGAAGCTGGCTCCGTGGACGTGCGGTCTCTCTCTCTGTACAGCTGTAAAATCGTCTGTCACAGTAACTTTTATTTGCTCTCTGACCTAGGAGTTATTTAAGAGAGTAGCTTTGAATTTTCAAATCGTCTGGCTTCTTTTAAAGATCCTTTTAGCAATTTTTAGATTCACTGCGTTAACCTAAATAATGAGGGCTATAAATGTTTTATTGCTTGGAATATAGCAAGATATATGTCCATGCGTGTTCATGCATGTGCATGCATGTACCTATGTGTGCACACACGTACACCTGCACCTATGTCTGTGTGCACACATGTACACACACATACCCACATGCACGCACTTGTGAGGACCTGTGGGCCCTCGCATGTGCATGTGCACACATGCATTTGTGTGCCTGCCCAAGTGTGGCTGCATATAAGTGTGGTATGTGTGCAAATAACACACCCATGTACACACACGTGCACATGTGTGTCTGCACCTGCGTGTGCACACATGTCCACACATACCCACATGTGAGCATCTGTGGACTCACGTGTGTGCATGTGCAGCTTGTGTTTTTCTGCCCGTGTGTGGCTGTGTACGTGTGTGATGTGTGTGCATGCACGGCTGTGTATATGCCCCTGTGGGGCTGTGCCCAGGTGCACACACACGCATGCACATGTGTGGGGAATGTGCTGTGGTTTCCGGCTGGGCAAAGGCTGCCCAGACGAGGCGTCCAGGAGGGGACTAAGGCCTCGTTCTCCAGTTTCGTCCACCTGCTCCTGGGTCTCTGGCCGAGGTCCGGGCACTGGAGCTGGGCTCCCCAGGTGCTCACGACGACACCCCCGATCTTGTGCCCCTTGGTGGGTCTAGGTGGCCAGGACTGCTTGTTAACAAGCCACAAAGACACCTTGAAGCCCCACTGCTGGGTGGCCTGGGAGAGGCTTGTGCGGGACCCCGGTGCTGGCGCAGAGGGTGGCCCTCATCCTGGTCCAGGCCTGGGTGTGTGCCGGGTCGTCCCCTCAACCCTGAAACAGGGAGCGGAGCTCGGAGTGGACCCAGGCAGTTCAGACAGAGCAAGTCCAGTTTTACTCCTAGTCTGCTAATTGTAGAAAATCACGTGAATGTTGAGCTTTTCTTTGTCTATCGAGACAATCATGTGATGTTTCTCCTTTAATCTGGGGGACCCTGGGGGGCTCAGGCAACAGACACCTGTTCCCGCCAGTCCCGAGGCTGCAAGTCCCAGGTCAGGGTGTGGGCGGGGCGGGTTCCTCCTGAGGCCCCTCCCTGGCCATGTAGACGGCCGTCTCCTCCCCGTGTCCTCACTGGGTCGCCCTCTGTGTGTCTGTGTCTTGATCTTGTGTTCCTATAAGGACACCAGGCAGAATTGGGTCAGAGCACACACTCGGGACCTCATTTTACGTTAGTCACTTCTTTAAAGACCCTGTCTTGGGCTTCCCTGATGGCCAGTAGATAAGAATCCAGTGCAGGGCACGTGGGTTGAATCTCTGGTCTGGGGAGATGCCACTTGTCGGGGAGAAACCAAAGTCCATGCTGAGCCTGTGCCCTGGGAGAGGCCTGCAGACTGCAGGTGAGAGTCGTTCCCGCTCAGCCCAAACAGAGAGCCCGGTAAAACCAAAAATGATGGATATAAATACACTAATTAATTGTGTTACAGAAAACAGCCCTGGCTCCAATTTTTTGATCGTGGCAAAGTACATGCAACATTCACCATGTTAGCCGGTTAAAACGTTTACTGGAGTCAAGTGGACTTGCAGTGTTGCATTAGTTCAAGGTGTACAGCGAAGAACCTGCTGTGTGTCTCCCGCCTCGTTTTCAGACCCTTCGCATGAAGTTACTGGGTGTTAAGTGTGACGCCCTGCGCTACTCTCTGGGTCTTTACTGTCTGTTCTGTGTGGTAGAGAGATGCTGTGAGCCGTGCTCCATCGCTCAGTCGTGTCCGACTCTTTGCAACCTCACGGACTTTGCAACAGCCCATGGGATTCTCCAGGCCACAATACTGGAGTGGGTTGCCATGCCTTCCTCCAGGGGGATCTTCCCAACCCAGGGACTGAACCCAGGTCTCCCGCATTGCAGACGGGTTCTTCACCACCAGCGAAGCCCACATAGCAGATCCAGCGTGTGCCTGTCAATCCCAGTCTCCTGATTTATCCTGCCCACCTTCCCTCCTGGTAACCACACATTTGTTTTGTATGTCTATAAATCTATTTCTGGCTTTTTAATTATTACTTTTAGTATTTTATTTACTTGTTTGGCTGCGCTGGCTCTTCATTGTGGCACGTGGCATCTAGTTCCCTGACCAGGGATTGAGCCCGGGACTCCGGGAGCGCAGAGTCTGAGCCACTGGACCAGCAGGGAAGCCTCTCTGCTGCTCTGCTCCACACTTCAGTGGCAGTAAGGACGTTCACGTTGCTGGGCAGCCGCCACCACCATCCACTCCGGAGCATCTCCATCTTCCTAAACTGACTTCTGCACCCGCTCAACTTCCCATTCCCCTCCCCCAGCCTGGCTCCCCCTCAACTTTGTCCCCGTGGATTTGACTCTTCTAGGGACCTCAGATGAGAGGAACCACACAGTTCTTGTTTTGTTTTTTGGTGACTGACTTACACCCCTGAACTCAGCACAACGTCCTCAAGGTCCATGCCGTGGCAGGCGTCCGCCTCCCCTTCCTGCCTGAGGCTGCAGCACGGCCGGCTCTGTGGATGGACGCCGCAGTGGCCTCCACCTCGTGCCTGCGGAGAGCGTGCTGCTGTGGACCCAGGGCACCGATACCCCTTTGAGAGACTGCTTGCAGTCCCCTGGGGTGCGTGTCCAGAAAGGGAATGACGACCCTGTGGTGACACTCTGCGTAGTTCTTCCAGGCGCCTCGACGCTGTTTTCCAGCCGCCGCACCGTTTACATTCCCGCCAGCGCTGCACGGGGCTCCAGTTTCTCCACGCCCTGCCCGGGACTCGTGGTTTGTGGCTGTGTGGGTAGTTAGCCTTCCCCACGGGGGAGGGGGCTGGTGCCTGTGGAGACTGTTTTCTATTTTGTTAGTGATATTTAACTTTCCCGCATGATAGTAGGAAATGTATGGAAGTTTATGGCTTGACGTAGGGCCAATTTTTATAGATATTCTGCCTGTGCTTGAAGAGAATATATATTCTGAAGATGTAGCATTCTATATACGTCTGTAAGATCTAGGTTTATTGTACAAGTCTTTGTCCCTATTGAAATTTTTTATTTACCTGATGAATCAAGTCTTGATAGCGTGTTAGATTCTATGATGGTGGAAATGTCTGTTTCTCCATGTAGCTTCATAGGTGAATTCACATTAGAATTATATGTTTCTAATTACTCTTTTCTAAAAATAATTTTATGTACGTATTTTTTTTTGGCTGTGCTGGGTCTCTGTTGCTGCTCAGGCCGCTTACCTTCTAGATGTGGGGAGTGGGGGCTCCTCTCTAGTTTGGCACACAGGCTTCTCTCTGCAGTGGCCTCTGTTGCAGAGCACGGGCTTGAGGGCGCTCAGGCCTCAGCAGCTGCGGCCCGCAGGCTCTGGAGCACACGCTCACTCATTGTAGGGCACAGGTTTAGTTGCTCCGAGGCACACAGGATCTTCCCTGATCAGGGATGGAACCCGTGTCTCCTGCATTGGCAGGTGGATTCTTCACCATTGAGCCACTGGGGAAGCCCCAAAATGAATCTTTTATAGTTGCAAATTGACCCTCTTTGTCTCTACTGATAATTTTGATTAAATTCTATTTTGTGTAATATTAAAATAGCTATAATATCTCCCTTTTGATTGCCACATTCAGCACTTTTTGATGGCCTGCATTCCTTCCAGTAGATCTGAGTTTTCACTGGGTATCATTTGTCTTCAGCCTGAAGACCTCCCTTTGGCATGTATTGTAACTGTGGGGTGTGATGGCTCAGCTTTCATTTATCTGAAAACATCTTCAGTTTCCCTTAATTTTTGAAGGATAGCTTTGCTATGCGTGGAATTCTGGTTTGTCGTCTTCCTTTCTTATTTTATAAACTTGAAATTAAAAAAATTATTTAGTTGTGCTGGGCCTTAGTGGCAGCACATGGGACCTCTGTTCTTCACTGCGGCATGTGGGAACCTTAGTTGTGGCATGTGGAACCTAGTTTCCCAACCGGGGATTGAACCTGGGCCCCTGGACAACCAGGGAAGTCCCTCCTTCCTTCTTCAAAGAAGCAGTTCCATTGTCTTCTGGCTTGCATAGTTTTCGGTGAGAGGTCAGAAGTGGTTTTATTGTCACACTGTAAGTAACCTGTCTCTCTTTTTTTAAGAGCTCTTGAGAATTTCTCTTTAGTGTTGGTTTTCAGCAGCTTGATTTTATTGTCACACTGTAAGTAACCTGTCTCTCTTTTTTTAAGAGCTCTTGAGAATTTCTCTTTAGTGTTGGTTTCCAGCAGCTTGATTTTATTGTCACACTGTAAGTAACCTGTCTCTCTTTTTTTAAGAGCTCTTGAGAATTTCTCTTTAGTGTTGGTTTCCAGCAGCTGGCACTATCTAGGAATGGTTTTTCTTTGTATTCATCTTGCGTGGTTGCTGCTGTTAAACTGGCTTCTGAACATAGTGGGCTGTTAAGACTTTTTCCTGCAGTCTTTCTCCTGCCCTTGGGGCCTCTGGCTCCTTCTCTGTTAGGTGCTTGATAGTTTGGGTGGTTGACCAAGCCGTCTGAGCCCCCATCCCCGCGGGCAGACCCCCTGGGCCAGCCTGGCACCGGCCCTGGGTGTCCTCGAGGACAGGCTTGCTCTCTGCAGACTCCAGTTCTTCCAGCACCCCAGCTCTGACTGTGACGAGTTGTCTTGTCATCGGGAGCTGAGGGCTTCACCATCCTTGGCCTTCGGACCAGAAGGGGATGTCACCAGGAGTATATTTTTACATCCTTCTGTGTTAAATCTTTTGGTGACCTTGTTTGGTAGGTCTTTGGTGAACAGAGCAGAGTGGTTTTCGTATCCCCGCCTCCAGCCTAACCTGGAGAGACGTGTTTTTGTTTTTCTTTTTTTTCACTGACTGTCGATCTTCGGTCCCCGGGTCCTGTGCCCTCTGTCGCCTTCTCCTGGTTGTCACCCCAGGATGCCTGTTTCTGCTCTGCACATGGGCACCCCACTGCCATGACAAGCATCCTTGTCTTGCAAAGTCTGAAGGTCACGCAGGTCTTTGCCTCCCCCGCAACACCAGGGCCTCGGCCAGTTTAGTCCTGGCACTGCCCTCTTGGTTTCCGCCCCCTTCTCCTCCTCGCCCCCCAAGGAAGCTCACAAGCGGCGGGCTCCCTGGGCTGCCCAGCCCTCTGCGGCCCCCCATGCTCCCTGTGAGCCCCGGAGGTGGGAGTCGTTGGGCATCTCAGAGGCTGCTCTCTGCCCAGCATACGCCTCTTCAGCTCAGGCAGCATTCTCTGGCTCCTGTGTGTGCCCCGTGCTGGGGCCCCTCCCCAGGGAGCTCTCTTGTTCAGCTGGGAACTCGCTCTGGGAGCAAGAAGCTGTGGTGACAGATGACAAATGAGGCCCACGGCACTGCACAGACTGTATCAGGGAGAGTGTTTGTGGTGCCCGGGCTAAACGCAGGCCCTGCCAGTCCCAGGCAAGACCCAGGGCACAGGCACCCCTGGGAGGCGGGGTGATGCAGACCCTTACTGAGGCAGCGCCGGGTGGGGGGGTCACATCACAGCCCCTGCACAGCCAGGACCTCCCTGGGGAGAGGCTGTGGGGAGCTTGGGCAGGCACAGTGGGTGGGCACACGGCGGGCACAGGTGAGGAGCCAAGGCCGGGTGGACATGACAGCCACAGGACAGAAGTCTTACCCCTCTGACATTATTATCTTAAAAGTCTTACACAATTTATTGGAGACATCTTTTTACTCTTAGCATATGGGATTTATTGATTTGGGTGTTAATCGCATATATTACTATACATTCAAGCTATCTAATTGTCTTTTTAAAACTTGTTTTTGAGGTGAAATGCATGTTACATGAAGTTAACCATTTCAAAGCGACAGTCTGTACCCGGACGGGACTGTGCAGTCACAGCCTCCAACCCCTTCCCAGACATTCCACCCTGTGGCCCTAGAGAAACCCCTGTCCTTGGCCATCACCACTTCAGCCTGCTCTGGTTCTGTGGTTTTCCGCTTCTGGACTTTTCAGGGAAACGGAATCTTACAGCAGGGCCTTCCCAGGGAGAGAAAGAGACCCCCGGGGAGGCGGGGGGACGGGTTCTGGGCCGGGTGTCCCAACACGGATAAAACTCATTCTCCTGATAGCGTGGGCAGGGGCCCGGGGCCCGGGAAGCAGCTGCGTGTGCCCCTTGGCTCCCAGCTGCCCTCTGGCTGGGCCTCCGGGGTGCACGGTCCAGGATGCCGGTTGGCTCCTGGAGGCCCTTGGTCCCGCGCCCTGCGGCGGGGCTTTCCTGCGGCGGCCTGTGGCTCCACCTGCGCTGCCCCTGACAGCCACTGGGTGGCAGCAAAGATCGCCCCGGCAGTGGCTGAGCCCTTGGCCTGCCTCGTGGCCGGTGGGCAGGCCTGCAGGGGTCTGGAGCACGGGGGTGGGTGGGGGGGGGGGCAGACCCTGGAGCCCGAGTGTGGCGGCGATGGTGTCTCCCATCAGGCTCAACCACTTCAGTGCCTTCAGGCTTCTGAGCCTCTTTCTCCTTCCTAAAGACGGCTGGGTCTAGGGAGGGCATCAGTGCCACTCCCTGGAGTGCTGGTCGCCCTGGGGGTGTAGACAGGATGGGATGCCGAACCCCAGGGAGGCCCAGCTGTCTAGGGGCTTGTCAGGGGAGCAGGAGCCCCGGGTGGGGCGGGGCAGGCTGAGTCGTGAGTGTGGCCAAGTGGGCTGTGGGTGTGGCCGGCTGGTCTGAGGGTGCGGCCCAGGTGTGCTGTGGGTGTGGCCCCAGTGGCTGTGGGTGTGGCCCAGGTGTGCGGTGGGTGTGGCCCCAGTGGCTGTGGGTGTGGCCCCAGTGGCTGTGGGTGTGGCCCCAGGTGTGCTGAGGGTGTGGCCCCAGTGGCGGTGGGTGTGGCCCCAGTGGCTGTGGGTGTGGCCCAGGTGTGCTGTGGGTGTGGCCCCAGTGGCTGAGGGTGTGGCCCAGGTGTGCTGTGGGTGTGGCCCCAGTGGCTGTGGGTGTGGCCCCAGTGGCTGTGGGTGTGGCCTCTGGGCTTACTGAATCCAGGCCTGATCCCTGGGCAGTGCGCTTCACAGATGCGACTCCGAGCCCAGAGTGAGCGGCTTGCCTAAGGCCATGGGACTCATGCGGCCCTAACACTCAGGGGCCACTGCATGCTGAGTGGACTCCCAGAAGGGCCGGGGAAATCGAGGTTCAAGACCCAGGCTCCCACCGAACTGCTGCTTGAACTTGGGAGGAGCCGCTCTGCCAGGTGGAGATTCTGGGAGCAGCTACTCTACTGGCCAGCGTTGGGGGTGAGGGCCTGGGCCCGCTTCGCCTGGCTCCCCCCACCCCATGCGCCCTCTGCCTGGCCCCTCCCCCACGCCCCCTCTGCGTGGCCCCTCCCCCACGCCCCCTCTACCTGGCCCCTCCCCCACGCCCCCTCTGCCTGGCCCCTCCCCCACGCCCCCTCTGCCTGGCCCCCCCCCCCAACGCCAGCCTCGGGGGCCCCTCCCAGCCCCTGGCTCAGCCTGGACACTGGCCCTGTCTGATCAGTGAGTTTGGCACATGTGTTAGGAGGATACGTAGGAGGGGACCCAGGCCCGATGGGGGTGAGGGGAGGCCGGATGGGCCCTGCAGTGTCCTCAGTCTGGGCCCCTGGAGCCTCGATCCTTCGGTTACTGGAGAAGGGACGCTGGCATGTGCGTGTCCTGGGGTTTCCCTGGAACCAGCTGTCGCTAATGGCGGGAGCTGGTCAAGGGCAGTGCCACCAGCTAAGCAGCTGCTGAGGCCTCGGCAGGGCCCTCCGCTCGAAGGTGGAAGCGGTGTCTCCTCCGCCTGCTGGGCCCTGTGGTCTCAGGACGTGGCCTGTGGGGACCTGGGTGGCTGGGAGCACAGGGCGGGCTGGGCGACTCCCCAGCTAGGGGCTGGCCGGAGGCCTGGTGAGGCAAGAGGCAGCAGTTGGGTAGCAGGATCCTCTCAGGGTCCTGGCTGACAGTCCACGGGCAGACGTGGCCCTCACCCTCCCTGCCCGTGGGGGACGGGAGGCCTCCCTCCCGCATCAGACCCGGGGGAGGCAGCGGGCCCTTCCCTTGGCGGGGGGGCGGGTGCGGGAGACTGTCCCGGCCTCCCCGGAGCTGCCGTAGTGCCCAGTGCTGCCCCCAAACCCCACCGGCACCCGAAGCCCAGCCCAGCCCCCCCGCTCCCCGACGCCCGGCCCGACATGCTCACCCGGCCGTCCTCACGTCTCACCCTGACGCTCCCACCCCCTCCTGAGAGGTCACCTGAACGTGGCGCCAGGAGCCGAGGGGGTTCCCTGAACCCCGTAATGCTGACGTGAGCAGAGATTCACCTCACCCCACAGAGCTCAGACCCTCGTCAGGCCTCCAGGAGGTGCGACCCCCTCCTGGCTGCCCGGGGGTCCTGCTGCCCCGACCGCCAGCCTCCTGTAGGCTGAGAGTCCAGCTCCCGTGCGGCTGATGGGCGCTGGAGCTGCCTGGTCCTGGTTCTGGAGGTGGGGCCGGGGCCGGAGCCGGGGCGGGGGCCGGGGGCGGGGCCGGGGCCGGACCGGGGCCGGACCGGGGGCGGGGCCGGGGCCGAGGGCCGGGGCGGGGTCGGGGGCGGGCCGGGGGCGGGGCCGGGGCCGAGGGCCGGGGCGGAGCCGGGGCCGGGGGCGGGGCCGGGGCCGGGGGCGGGGTCCGGGGGGCGGGGCGGGGCCGGGGCCGAGGGCCGGGGCGGGGGCGGGGGCGGGGCCGGGGGCGGGGTCCGGGGGGCGGGGCGGGGCGGGGCCCGGGGCCGGGGTCCGGTTACCAGTTTCCTCCCGTTCTTCTGCCCCTCCCAGCTCTGCTCCAGGCCGGACCTCAGCCCTAACTCAGCGGCAGGCGGCCCCTGCCCTGTGGCGCCTGTCACCCCGAGGCTGGGGCAGGGCCTGAGCCCCAGGGGGTGAGGGAGAGGCCGAGGGAGTGTCTCTGCTCACGTCAGCATTATCGGGTTCAGGGACCCCGCCTCAGCCGCCCTGAGGCCTCTCAGCCCTCCTGGGCGGCGCTCCCCATCCCCACCTGGGTCCGTGAAGGGTCTCCCGAGCCTTCCCCGGGCTGGCCTCGGCCCTCCCTGCCCTGCGTGTCGGTCAGCTTTCCGTTGTGCTGCTGCTGCGTGAGGAATGGCCCAAAACCCAGGCCTGGGGACGAGTGTCTCCCTCTGGGTCAGCATAGACCACACAGGCCCCAGCACACGGTGCCCCTCACGACCACCGGTGGGTGCCTCGCCCTGAGTCTTGGGGGGAAGGGCACCCAGAGGGCTTGCACTGCGGGACCATGCCCTGGGGGGCAGAGCCCGGTCCCCAGCTCCAGCTTCCCGCCTCCTCTCCATCCTCGTGTTGCCCCGGGGAGCCCTGGCCCTGACCGCACGGACTGAGACCCTGTACGCTGCGTGCCTCTTGGCCGCGGGCGAGACGCTCCTGCAGGAAGGGCACTGGGTGGATCCTCCCTGGCGTCTGGGAACAACCCCCAGGGCCAGCCTTGCAGTGGCGAGATCTGCAGGCGGCCGGCAGAGGGGCCAGCCTGGCTTTGTCACCGTGACCTCTCTGGAGGGCTATGTTACTGCTCCTGAGGATGCAGAAGGCCCGTCATCTGTGGGGGTCTGCGGTGGGTGTCTCCCTGAGGGTCCTGCCTGGGATCCCGCTTCCCCTGGCCCTCCCACCCCATGGGGCAGCTGACTGCTCTGCAGGTGCCCCCTGGGCCTTAGGGTCTGACTGTCGAGCTCCGATCCCCAGCTGAGCAGCAGGTCCCTCTGGGTCCCTTGAGCCCTGCTGTCTTGTTGCCTGGGGCCTTGGAAGCCTTTCCCATGGTCACTTGGCTGAGAGGGACGCGGGACGGTCTCACGTCCCCAGAGGCTTTGCCATCTGGGCGTGGTGGGCCACACACTGGGGCCTGCCCTCTCTCTCTGCACCTCGAAGACAATTCCCTGACCCTCCCGAGGGGCCCGGGGGCAGTGGTCGCCCTCACCCGCTTTCTCGGATGGGAGGATGGGGCCTGGCATCCGGGGGCGAGCTGACCTGAGCTGTGGGTGGCTCTCCTGCCTGCCCTCCACCAGCCCCGCCCCGTCCCGCTGGGCAAAGCAGCATCTCGGCTTCTGGGTTGGGGGGGCCTCTGGCAGGAGGCGGCCTGCTGTCCCTGTGGGCAGGCAATCCGGACGGTGGGACAGGCGGCCCGCGGCGGAGAGGCCAGGCCTTGCACCTGGCAGGGGTGGTCCGGGATCCTGGGGGTCCCAGGAGAGGATGCCTGTCTCCTGGGCTGGGGGCTGCGTCCCGCTGGGCACCAGGCTTCTCGCCGCCTGCTGGAGATGGGCCCGTCAGTGCTGCCCCCTCGACTTTTTTCTCCTCCCCAATTAATTAATTTAAATTGACCATTAAGTCAGCCGAGTTTTTGATTGATATTTTCATTAGCAGCCCTGTCCGACGCCCCAGGAATGTATGGTAATGTCCGATCTGCGGCCGCGCTCCCCCCGCCGCGCTGAGTTATGGCTGGCACCGCGCGTCTCCCAGGGTAATTTGAATTCAGATGAGCTGCCGCAGTGTTCCGGAGCCTGGCGGCCGGCCGCTGACGGATGGCACTCGGGTTATCACAAGGTCACCGGCGCAGCCGCCGCCCGCCGCGGGAGGGGCCGGCGGGCCTTGGGCGCCTTGGGGGGGAAGGTGGGCAGCAAGCGGACCCCTGAAAAGTGTCGGACCGAAGGCCATGTGTTCGGGAGAGCGTGGCCACCAGCCTCACAGCTGTGGTCCCCGGAGGGAGATGGACACCCGCCCGCCCTCCCGGGCGCCTGGCCGCCCCTCATAGTGGGGCGGGGGCCCAGGCCCCGGAAAGCGCTGACCAGCGCTGGGCTCAGAGCTCGGAGGTCCGCGGAGCTGCCTGCGGGTGAGCGTCCCCGCCCTGGGCGCCGCGGTTCCGCGAGCTGGACTTGCTCAGTCCACGCGTCTCAGGGCGGCCGGGTTGTTGCGGGAGGCCGTCCAGCGGCAAGGCCGTGGCAGCTCACCTCTGCTCAGCCTCCCCGTTGGTCCCAGGGGAGGACATGGGGCCTCCACTCTGGCTTGGGGCCAGGGGCCCTGTCCTCTCTGGCTGTGCCCTAAGGGGGGCTCCTGCTGACCTGTGAGGTGGGTGGGGGGATGGGCTCTGACTGACCCCCTTTCCTGGGCGCTCTGGGGGTGCTGCCTGCTGACCCCAGGCCTGGGCGAGGGCTCCTGGGGACCCTCCATGGAGACCCCTACTGCTGGTGTCCGGGCTGGACCAGAGTGAAGCTGAGCCTGTGTGGACGCGATCTGTGAGGCTGCCCAGTGGTCCAGTGTTCGGGGAGCAGGGCAGGGCTGGGGGCCGAGGAGCCCCACTGAAGGGGTTCTCTGGACAGATCGGCCTCCAGCCCAGGCATCCGGGCTTGAGCTTTGCCCATCACAAGGGCTGGAGAGAGAGACCCGAGGCTGTCATGTCCTGAGCGACTGCAGGGGGTCGGCAAGCCCTCGCCCCCAGTCATGGTGACAGACACTGTCGAGGCTAGCTGTGTGCCCCCATCTGTGGATCCTGCTGGTCCCTGAAGACCCTGCTGGGGTCCTGGAACTTCAGAGGTGGGGCCTCGGGACCACCAGGAGGAGGGCCTGGGGTCCACCCAAGTCCGGCAGGCAGGAGCAGGTGCCCGTCTGTGTTCCTGGGCAGGGCTCTGGGGGGCTCATCCCAGGCCCTGTTCTCTCGTTCTGCTGGGTGGGGGCAGACTTGCCCCCCAGGACTCCCATCCCAAGCTGCTGCACTCACTTGTCCCAGCCAAGCCAGACATCTTCCCTGGACCCCCGAAGTTCCTTGCAGCTGTGTGTGACTGTACAGTGGAGACCTCCTGAGGGAGTGTGAGAAGAAGTGCTGGACAGGGCTTCGGGAAGGCTCCTTACAAGTGGCTGACTCAGCTGGGAAAGATGGAGGGCAGGAGGAGAAGGGGGCGACAGAGGATGAGATGGTCGGGTGACATCGCTGACTCAATGGGCATGAGTTTGAGGAAACTTGGGGACATAGTGAAGGACAGGGAAGCCTGGCGTACTGCAGTTGATGGTGTCACAAAGAGTTGGACACGACTAAGCGACTAAAAAACACCCGGGAAAAACACTTCCCTGTCCTTTGCATTTCTTTTTTTCCCTGCTTCTTGAACACAGATGTGATGGTTGGGACTCTGGCAGCTTTTTTGAGCCACGAAGCTGGAAGCCATGTGCGAGGACATGGAGCAGAAGGACGGAGGTGCCTGGGTCTCTGACGGCTGTGGACCCCCAGACCACCCTGGCTTGGCCTTCTCCAGCTCTGGTCTCATGGGAGGGACATGAACACTGACTTACCAGTGCTACTCACGGTGTCTTGGTGGCGTTGGTGGTGCTAGAGGCACAGTTCCTGGGTGAGGCGGGAGCCAAGGAGGACCCACCGTGTGTGGGAGCAGCTCGTTGTTCCTGGACAGAGCAGAGGGGCTCAGGGCGGGTCCCGTGGGCCTCACTGCAGCAGGAAGGGCCATCCCACATAACCGCCACGACCAAGGTCACGTGGCCCCTAGTTTACTTCAGGAAAACAAGGTGGCTTTCATGAGGCGCTGACGTGGTCCGTGACACAGGAAGGAGAGATGAGGGGTGGGAGACGGGCTGGTGGGTGGGGAGGGCGAGAGGCTGGGCTGACCCTGAGCCGCTGGGGAGGGCGGGGGTCTCTCTGCCCCAACGCCAGCTCGCCGTCTGGGCTCCCTGCAGTCCTGGCCCCTCCACGGCGCCTCCCTCTGTGTCTGGCTGCGGGGGCACCCGTCTCACCATCCCTTCCTCGTGTTTGGGCGCTGAAGGGAGGGGTCATCTCCGCGGGGCCACCTCCCCTCCCGGGAGAGCACTTCCAGGGTGGTGTCTCCGTGCTCAGACGCAGAGCCAGGCACGGTCAGCCTCAGGACAGAACAGGGTGAGAGACCGTCACGCTGGCTGCTGCCCTGGACAGTGGGCTGAAGGAAATCCTTGAGACAGACGCAGGAGAGCGGGACCTTGGCAGGGAGGATGGGCCAGCAAGGCCAGGCAGACACAAAGGTCCCCGTCCCACAGCCTCTGAATTCTGGGCCACGTGGTTCCAGCGAGCGGAAAGGAATCAGTTTGTAATGACTGCCTTAGAAACGGGGCAGGAAAAGGGGCCAAAGGAAGGCCAGGCTTGCACGTGTCTTGCAGATCCCCTGGGTTCTAATCACCCCCAGGGAGCTCCAGAAACGGACCCCTGACCACAGACTAGTCACTGCGGATTAGTCTCTAAACAGCCCCTGAGTCCCAGAGCAGCCGTCCTGGGGTCTTCAGGACTCGTAGCCTTGGCTTTCATGTTGAGCCATGACCTGTCATCTGTGAATCTGGGATGTGTTACGAGGAAGCAGGGCTGTCCCTCTCTTTCCAAACACTGACTCGCTGGTCCCGGCACCGTGTTTAAATTCCTAGTTTATTCACTTATTTTTGGCTGCGCTGGGTCTTGGCTGCCGTGCAGGGGCTTTCTCTAGCTGCGGCCGGCGGGGGCTGCCCTTCCCTGCGGTGCCGGGCTTCTCACGGCAGTGGGGCCTCTCCTTACGTATGGAGCGCAGGTCTGTCTGGGTCTGCAGGCCTCCGTAGCAGCTCTCGGGCTCTTCAGCACCCGCTCAGCAGCTGTGGAGCGCGGGCTTAGCTGTTCCACAGCATGCGGAGCCTTCCAGAGCCAGGGATCAAACCTGTGTCCCCACATCAGCAGGCCGATCCTTATCCAGAGCACCGTCAGGAAAGTCCTCGGCACCAGTTTTGGAAAAGATGTTCCTTCCCCCGTCAACAAGCCCTGATGTCAGAAAGAAACAGACCACGTGTCTCCACGCCCACTTCTGGACTCTGCTCTGTCCTGCTGCCTGTCGGTTCAGCTGTCTTACTGCAGTTTTACAGGTAAGTCTTTTTAAAAATGTTTATTTATGTAGTTGGCTGTGCCAGGTCTGTTGGCCCGCGGGGACCTTTGTTGCAGCATGTGGGATCAGGTCCCTGACCAGGGATCCCAGCCAGGCCCCCGGCCTGGGGAGTGCGGAATCCGAGCCACTGGACCCCCAGGGAAGTTCCTACAGGAAGTCTTCACATCACTTTGTGTAAATCCTCCAGTTTCTCCTTTCCTTTCAAAAAACTGAGGCCAGGCTTCAAGCATTTTTACCAAAAAAGGCTGCTGGCATTTTGATTAGGACTGTGTTAACTCTATAAACCAATTCAGGAAGAATTTCCATCCTGATGGGACTGAGTCTTCTGATCCACACAGTCCATCTCTCCGTCATCTATGTACAGGTCTTGCACAAGTTTAGTTAAACTTATCCTCATCTATTTTACTTTTGGTGCTAATTTAAACAGATTTAAACATTCTGTTTCCTAATGATTGACTAGTAGCAGGCAGAAGTGAAATTGCGTCTTGTGTATTGACTTAGTATCGTGGGATCTTGCTAACTCCACCTGGCAGCTCCACCAGCTTGTCTCAGAATTCCTGCATGTGTTAGTTACCTGTGGCCACATTACGAATTACGCCCAAGACTTCCTTGCTTTAAGCTTGTTGCAATCCCGTGGCTTCTGAGGGTCAGTAGTCTGTGTCACTCACCCGAGGCCTCAGGCTCCAGGGCTCACGAGGTCGGCGTCAAGCCAGGGGACTGTGGCCTCATCAGACCCGCCCCTTCCCACTGTGGCGGCTGCGCCCAGGGTGAGGGCCGGTTCAGAGAGGGGGAGGCCCCATCTGCTCCCTGCTGGAATGCTGACGTTTCAGCCTAGAATGGACCCCGGGGAGGAGAGGTTGAGGCTTAGGAACGGCGCCCAGCTAGATTCGTCACCATCCACTGTGCAAAGGCTCTCTCCAAATCAGGCACTGAAGAAGCCAGCACTCACGCCCTCGGCTCAGCTGGCCGTGCTTCAGGCTCAGGCCTGAGCCGTCTGCAGGCTCAAGGGGGGCAGGGTCTCCGGGCGCCTCGCTGCCCTGGTGGTTCCCGTCCACGGGGGCCTCGGAGGCGGGAGGCCGCCTGCTCCTTTGCTCTCTGGCCGACGAGTCCAGGTCGCATCCCAGGGAGGGGAGGGAGGTGCTGCCTCCAGAGCAGGAGAGTCTGTGGGCCTTTACAAATGTCCACAGGCCAGGTACAACTAAAGGTGGAAAGTGTGAGAATGGAGAAAGACACACTTCTTTGACACGAGGCAGGCTCCTCAGTGGGGCTTCCCTGGTGGCTCAGTGGTAAGAAATCCCCCTGCCAGTGCAGGAGACACAGATGCCTCGGGTTCAGTCCTTGGGTCGGGAAGATCCCCTGGAGGAGGAAATGGCAACCCACTCCAGATTCTTGCCTGGGAAATCCCATGGTCAGAGGAGCCTGGCGGGCTACAGTACATGGAATCACAAGAGTTGGACACGACTTAGCGGCTAAACTACCACCACCAAACTCCATGGTGAAGAGATTGAAGACACTAAGTTTTATGGGAAGAACAGTATAGTATCAAAATATTGAAAAGAAAAATCTTCCAACAGCATACAAAACACAATAGGATCACAATTGTGACGACAGTCTTTGAGCAGATCAGGGAATAAATATTCACATGTGTACATAGGATTTGAACAAACCTATATGGAGAGAATTGAACATAGCCATATATGCATCAAACTTCCTACTTGACATTCAGAAGACCCCTACTCTAAGCAGTTGTATGCGTGTTTGCTAAGTCACTTCAGTTGTGTCCGACTCTGTGCGACCCTATAGGCTGTAGCCCTCCAGGCTCCTCTGTCCATGGGATTCTCCAGGGAAGAATACCGGAGTGGATTGCCATGCTCTCCTCCAGGGGATCTTCTCAACCCAGGGACCAAACCCAAGTCTCTTAATCTCCTGCTTTGGCAGTTGGGTTCTTTACCACTAGCACCACCTGGGAAGCCCACTTTAAGCAATTAGGGAACATTTACTAGAAAGAGGTATCAAGTGTCCCACGAAGACTATCTCTATAAAATTTTCAAACAGAAGTCGCCACTTTTTAGGCTCTGGCTACAATGCAACAACAGCACCAGGTGTCACTAACAGAAGCAGAAGGGAGGAAACATCCTCAGCCATCAAAAAAATCTCATCTCTTTCTTCCTTAAATATACATTAACTCAAAGAGGAAACAAAAGTGCATCATTAAGGACAGGAGACTCTTGAGAGTCCCTTGGACTGCAAGGAGATCCAACCAGTCCATCCTAAAGGAAATCAGTCCTGAATATTCATTGGAAGGACTGATGCTAAAGCTCCAATACTTTGGTTACCGGATGTGAAGAGCTGACTCTTGAAAAGACCCTGATGCTGGGAAAGATTGAAGGCAAGAGGAGAAGGGGACGACAGAGGATGAGATGGTTGGATGGCATCACCGACTCAATGGACATGAATTTGAGTTGGTGATGGACAAGGAGGCCTGGCATGCTGCAGTCCATGGGGTCGTAAAGAGTCAGACACGACTGAGCGACTGAACTGAACTGACTGAAGGACAGTTTGGAAAATAGCTCCACTGAGATGTTACACCTCAAACTCAAGAGCTCGGCTTGTCCTTTGGACCTTAAATTACACAGGAAAGGACAGGAAGGAACTGCCTCTGAGCCCCGCCGTCTGCCTCCCCTGCTGGCCCGGCGGGTCCAGGCCGCGGGGCTCTGCCCACTGCCCAGTTCCTCCCCTCGCGCCCCCCCTGCCCAGGGCTCTTCCAGCCTCAGACTGGAGTTGAGCGAGCGCCACGCCCTTGCAGTCCCAGGAGCTTTTCCTTCCCGAAGGCGGAAGGCCTGCCTCCCGTATTTTACTTTACTTTATCATTATTTTGTCTTGTTTCCTTTTGTCTCACCATCTCCTGACACCCAGTCTGCCTTTCTTCTCTCTACTGGCAGAGGCCCCGAGTCATAGCCCGTGGCCCCTGCTCTGAGGATCTCCCCGCCTTCCTGGGGGCCGGGCAGGGAGCCCCCAGGTCCAGCACCCCGCGAAGGGTGGGTGGCAGAGCCAGCAGCTGGAGCCTCGAGATGCAGTCAGCTGGTCTCTGCCAAAACGCCAAACGGACGTCCTCCAGACACCGGCGGCCGGCCGCTCCTGCCTCTCCGCCGGGGTGATGGTGGGCTCTGAGGAGCAGGGTGGGGCGCGGTTTGTGGACCGCGGCAGTCTCCAGTGCGCGAGGGTCCTGTCTCTTCGAGCCCATCTGCTCGCGAGGCCCCGCTTGTCCGTGCCGTCGGCACTGGGGGGCCAGCGAGGGCACCGCAGATGGACGTGCGCGGAGCTGCGGGAGCGGTGCCCCCACCCCCACCCCCGGACCGCCACCCCCGGAAGAGCCGGCTTGCTGCCCCCGCGGTGCGCATCTCCGCTCCGCTGCTTCCGGGAGTGACTTTGCGGCTTTCGTGGCCCCGCCAAGAGCTCATCACACCCCGTGACCTGCGCGCAGGAGGCCGGACGGGCCCCACGGGGGGAGCCCATGTGCCGGGCGGGCTCCGTCCAGGCCATGCGATGGCGCTGCCAGAGGGGTCCGTGAGGCCGAGCCAGCAGCAGTGCGCTCAGGAAGCCATCTTTAGACACAGCCCACGTGAAGCAAGGTTCCGTGTCGACCTATCAGCAAGAACACGGTGGCCAGAGGCTGCAGGAGCAGCCCTGCATTTCCTGGGGAGTGGCGGGCACAGTGAGCCCCAGCTCACAGGACGATAACGGAGAAGGGACGCTTGGGCTTGGCCGTGGCCTCAGCATGTGTCCCTCCCTCCACTGGCCGTGTGGCTGCATACCCCACACCCATTCTGGAGCGTCTTCCACCCCCTAACTCTTCCCCTGGTGGCAGGCACCTGGCCACCCCGACCTGACTGCTCCCAGGATGAGACGGCCCCGGGTCGGAGCCCCCAGGACCCTGGCCATGTAGGCCCCAGGTCTGCACGGGTTCCGAAACCTGCTGGCCAGTCTCTGCTAGCATCGGCTCTGAGCTGACCTTGGAACCCACTGCTCTGCAGGGCAGGAGCGTGTCTTAATCTGCATTTATCTGATTCCTGGCGGGGTCGACCTCCTCTGAATGGGCTGGCCTATCGGCTCTCCCCTCTGTGATTTGCCTGCTCATTTCTTCTGTTGGGTTCTCCAACTTTTTTGCATCCATTTCCAAAACTTGCTGATGTGGCCTCAACCCCTACATCTTTGCATTCGGCCTAAGCTGGGGAGGCAGTTCTATCTTTCTCTGTGTAATAATCCAATCCCCTTTCAAGCCTAGTTTTTAAGAGATTTAACAAAACACAAATAGATGTTAGACTCACCAAACACACTTCCTGATCTTTGGAGACACTCATGTCATTTTTCTCCCTTTGGCTCTTGATGGAGCTGAGCCATGTTGACCTAGGAAGTACAAGCTGTCATTAGAACACACTGCTGGGATCAGTTAGAAGTGTTTTATTTAAAATGAAAATGTACTTGTGGTACACACATGTGTGCCTGTGTGTATACAGACACCTGCACATGTGCACACACACATGTACACACAAATCTGTATAGGCACACACATCTGTACACACGTGCACACACAGACCTATATACCTACACCTGTACAAATGTGTACACACATCTGTACACAGAGCTATATATGCATACATATCTATATACAGGTGCACATATATACACGACTGTATATGTACATGCATACACATGTGCCTGCACACACATCTGACCACACACGTGTATACACACAGCTGTGTGTATGCATACACATGTTTCTCGTCCACGTTTGATTTCCTCTCTACCGTCTGCATGTGCTCATTTTGGTGTCCAGGCAGCAAGGTGGGGCCTGCCCTCTTCTGCTTCTGGAACAACCTGTGTTGGGCAATGAGAGAGGCCTGGGGGCTTTCTGGGGCCTTTCGTGGGGGAGGTGGTACTTTTCAAAAACACTCATTTGGATGCATTTTCTGGATGGTGTTTTGAGCACTTGCTCCAGGTGCCATGGCCATTGTGGGAGCCCAACAGGGGTAGGTGGCCGGGGGGTTGGTGAGGGGGTGGGCAGGGGGGCCTGGGAGGGCTAGCTTCGGCGAGAATCAGCCTGGGGGGCTAGGTGGCATGCTGGTGAGGGGTGGGGGGGGGCCTGGGGCCATTGGGTGTGTGCACCTGAGCTCCACAGAGCTGCCAGCAAGGGCGGAAGGCCCTGAGAATGGGGGACGGGGCGTGGTGCCGGGGAGTGAGGGACCCCCGTCCAGGCAGGCAGGCAGGCAGGATGGTGCTGCACCACCAGGACGCGGAGGGCGGTGGGAGCGGGCTTGGGAGAGAACAGGGAGGCGGGGGCAGCGCGTGGCCTGGGGGCTGACTGGAGGGATAACTGTGCCGGCCCCTCTGCGGGAGGTTCCAGCCCCTGGACGAGTGTCCGCAGCTCTCGGCCCTCTCCCCAGCCTCAGTCTCCCCACCTGACGCTCCAGACACTCACCTCGCTGGGAGGGGCGGCTTCGGGGCCCTTCCTTGCGGATTCCCCGCTGCCGGCAGGCAGCAGAGCCCCTCCCAGCCCAAGTGGTCAGCTGAGGGCTGGGAGTCCTTGAGGCTTGCCCGTGGATATGGATGGAAGCCAGGCACAAACGGCCCGAGAGAGTTTCCGGAAGGTTCGGTCCACGGGAGACGTGCCTGCTGGCCTCGGACCCAGACCAGGGAGGAAGACCACACTCATCCCCTAGGCTCAGCACTGGTGCCACCTCCCCCAGGAAGCTTTCCTGGATGCCCCGCTGGCATCTTTAATGACTCAGAGGCTCCTGGTGCCCGCCCTGGCTCTTCATGGAGGACAGGTGGGTGTGCAGAGGCCGGAGGCACCTGGATGTAGGTGCCAGGCATGGGCAGCATCCTGGAGCTCAGGACATGATGGGGAGGCTTCTCTCGGCTCCTGGAATCAGGCCACGGTGCTGAGAAGGCCCCGCCGCACAAAGACAGCCCGGCATGGCCTGAGACCCTCGGGTCCTAGGCGAGCCTTGAGTTGAGTGTGTGTGTGCTTTCTCATGTTCGTGGGTGTATGCATGTGTGTGTCTGGTGTGTCCTCAGGACAGCATGCGTGCACATGGGTGCTCACTCTCACGTCTGTGTGTATACAGGCAGGAGTGTGTGATGGTGACATGAGGGGTGATGTGTGCGTGTGTGACTTGTGTGTGTGTGTGAGTACCACGTGCATGTGCCAGTGTGTGCATGCTTGTTCGTGTGTGTGCACAGATAGGTGTGCCTCCCCACCCTCTCTGTTCACCTGCACAAGCGTGCGCGCATGTAGGTCCCTCGAGCAAGCTCAGGCGCTTGGGCGTGTGTGCACTGTGTACATTTTCTTGTGTGCATGCAGGCACGTGTGTGCACATGAGCATGGTCATGTGCACGAGCGTTGAGGGCCTGGGCTGTTTGCAGTGGTGGGCAGCCTGGCTGGGCTTCGCCTCCCTCGCTGTGTGGGACCCGGCCCCACGGCACAGAGACCATCACCTTCACGGGCAGTGTTGTCAAGGGCCCCGCGCGACCTGGTGTAAATACAGCAATCCCCACTTCAGATAAATACAAGATGCATCAAAAGATTTAAGGCACCTGTTGTGTATTTAAAAGAATTATATCTTGTTTATGGTTCAGTATAAAACGCATAGCTGATTTATACAGCGGCTGGTCCCTCGCAGAGGAAATCTCATTTCAATCATAAATGGCAGGATTTGATTTAAGAATTCATTCTTTAATGGGTCTGCAATGTTCAAATTTAAACCCATTCAATTCATCAGCCAAATATTCAATATGGGGCACAGGGAACTCATTTAGGCAAACAGAGACTTTTAATATAAATTTTCCGGGAGATTTCTCCATTGATTCCGCAGTTTAGTGCAAAATGATTTGTGCGATACATTCTCGAGGATCAATGCTGCCGGTCAATGGCTCCTATAAAGCGCCTCCCCTGCCCCCGGGGGTCAAGGAACTTTGGTTCTCAGGGAACTGCCCCGACACCGGGCAGCCGATCTGCCTCTGTGCCCGCCTGCCGCCCGTGTGCCTGCTGGGCTGCCTTCCCGATGCGCTGATCCAGGCAGGCGCGGCCCTCATGGCTCCACACTGGCCTGCTGTCTGCCACGCCGATGAGACCAGGGCTCCGATGACACCCAGGGCTCCAAAGACACCCGGGGTCCCGATGAGACCCAGGGCTCTGACGAGACCCAGGACCCCAGTGACACCCAGGGCTCCGAAGGCATCCAGGGCTCCAGTGAGACCCAGGGTTCCAAAGACACCCAGGGCCCCAGTGACACCCAGGGTTCCAAAGACACCCAGGGCCCCAGTGAGACTCAGGGCTCTGCGCCCAGGCCTCCTCACTGGACCTGGTCCACCTGGCGTAGCCACTGCAGCTTGGTCCCCAGCACCCGGCCGTCTCTGCTAGTGAGAGTACATTCGGCCAGGGAGCTGGTGGCCCTCTCAGATCCAGGGCACCCCTGCTGGTGGGCCTGGGGGCCACCACCCTGGGAGCTGCCTCCTGTGGCCAGTATCTGGGTCTGAGGGTTGGCCTCCGGGACAGATGGTGGGGGCAGACAGCCTGTGGGCTGCTAGGCCTCAGGCTAGGGCGCCTGGATTTGAGCCTGCCAGCGAGAAGGTCTCGGGGGCGCAGGGTCCGACCCTGCATTCCCCACACCTGGGCCCATCTGAGCAAGCTCACAGGTGCCCCCTCTGCACTCCAGGGTGGGCTGGGTGCCGGCCTGCTCGCGGGGTGGCTCACCTGCGTCCCGTTTCCCAGGTGAGGTGCTGGGCCTCAAAGACACCCAAGGTCACAGATGGGGGTCAAAGTCACGCCACTGGCACCAGCAGGCAAGGCCAGGCCACGCTTGGCGGCATCAGGAGGGGCAACAGGGGCGGTCTCAGAGGCTGGTACGGGCTGGGGCTCTGAGAGCCGCCTGCTGGATGCTGCGGCGCCGCGAGGGGGACCGGGGACGGCTCTTGGGCCGGGCGCTGGTCATGACGGGCTGGGGCCACAGCTTGGCACGCAGGGGGCCGCAGGGTGGGTGGTTAGGAGGCCGGTCCCGGCAGGACTCTGGGGAGGCTGGGGGTGGGTGGGCCGGAGGGGCGGCCGGCTCACGGCGCCAACTCAGCTGAGCGTGCGCTCTGAGCTGAGGCCCTGAGCCCTGCGAGCAGCTCCTCAGGCCTGGCCCCCACCCCCTGACCTGCCCGACCCCACAGCGTGCTCCCTGTGCTCCTCCAGACCTCTCCCCAGCCTAGTGCTGGGCTGTGCCTTGCTGTTCTGGCCCCCAGACCGGGGCTCCCATGGGTCCCCAGGTCACGGTCTCCGTGGACCCCGGGCGGCCCTCCTGCCTTTCCTGAGCAGGCTGTTGGTCCGTCTGTCCCTTCACTCCTCTTCGCTTGCTTGCTCGCCCCTCACGTGTACCTGCTCCCCTCTGCCCTGGGGCTTCCCTCGGGCAGCTCTGGGTCAGGAGGCTGGAGCTGCAGGACTAGCCCACCCCTTCCCAGGCAGAGAGGACAACTGGCAGGCTGAGGGGGGCGGGGGCTTCTGGGGCGCAGATGGGCGCAGCTGCCCCTGGGCTGGGGGTACTAGGGTGGGCAGTGGACCGGCCCTGAGGGTCCTGGGAAAGGGCGGGCCCCTGCGCGCTCCAGCAAGGAAGGCTACCGGGGGCTGACGGTGGACAGGCTGCCGGGGGGCTAAGGGGCACGGTCTGGGGGTCACAGGTGACCACAAGCTCAGTGAAGCCACGGGGGTGTGGCTGAGCCTCCGCCAAAGCCCAGGCTTCGAGGGAGGCTGGGCGCGTGCAGACCTGGGCCTCCCCGTGAGAGTGAGAGACGCGGGGAGAGGGGCCTGCGTCCTGGGTTGGGGGTGCAGTCTCTGCAACGACCCCAAGGTGAAGGTGTGACAGCCGTCCTCCCCTGAGGCGAGGCAGTGCTCCCACTGCCCCAGAAAATTCCGGGAGAGTGAGTGTAAAAGTCCGGCCGGCAGATCGGCGGCGCCCCCGCCAGAGCCCCACCACCCTCGGTCACCTCGGTGGTGTCCCGGGCACGGGGCACTCCGGGAATGAAAAGCAGAGCCCGTATTGATTTCATTTCCAAATTATTAATCAACTTCACAGCTCAACAGAAATATTGTATTGTTCAGCTTGGGCAGATCTGAATGGCTCTCCCTCGGGCGAGGAGCAGGGCCCGGTGAAGGACGCGGGTGATAAACGTCCCAGCCACCGCGGAGGCCACGGCACACCCACCAGCCCAGGTGAGCACCAGGAGGGGCTGGGGTTCGAGGCGTGCAGGCGGCAGAGCCTGACCCCGGCTCAGACCCCCGCCAGGGCCTTCCGCCGGCTCCGGGGAAATGGAAGGGTGGGGGCAAGGCCCTGCTCAGTGCCTGCACCCAGAGCCTGGCCGACTGCCCTGGCGACTGCCTGCACCCGCCGCCCTCCGTGTCCTGCCAGGCTCCTGTGCCCACCCTTGGGGTCCTCTCTGTCTGCCCGTCTGCCCGTCTGGGGTCTTGTCTGCTTGCACCTCTCGTCCTGGCCTGGGATTCTCGGAGGGTCAGGGTGCACCTGCTGCATGTCATCTCAGACCCCTGCCCCTGGGCTGGACTCACTGTCTGCCCATCAAGCCCCCTCCCCAGGAGCCAGGCCCCCGTCCCCGACTTGGAGCAGACAGCAAGTGGAGGGGCAGGGGTGGTGGGTGCAGCCGCATCAGCAATTCAGGGTGTGACAGGCTTGGGCCGTGGGGTGGGGAGGGCAGTGGACTTTTGTTGTGGAGGTGTGGGGGTGCAGGGGTGACAGTGGGCTTGAGGTGACTTGATTTCCCCGCCGCCTATGAATCAGAAGACATGTCGACGTCGATGGAGGCCTCACTTAGGCTTGATGTGAACAAACCAGGTACCGGGAAAACACCAGTCTGCCTGTTAGGGGTTAGCGGTGGTGATTTTTAGGGGTTTTGTTTTGTTAAAAGTCTCCTCATCCTTTAGAAATAACACGCTGAAGCACACCTGACTGAAAGGGTTTGTGTGAAGAACTCATCCTCAGATTACCTGGGGGTGGGGGTAGAGACGAAACCAGATTCCTGAACTGTTGAGGGGCAGTGGGTACTTGGGTCCTTTGTACGGATCATCTTTTTTGTGTGTGTTAATATCTGCAAAATAATGTAAATAGACGCAAGTCAAAACCCCTCTGAGACGCCACCTCAAACCCATGAGGATGGCCATGAGCAAAGACAAAACCCGCCCCCCCCAAACAGGAAACAACAAGTGCTGGTGAGGATGTGGAGAAACTGACACCCTCTGGCACTGTTGGTGGGAATGTAAAAAGGTGCAGCCATTGTGGGAAACAGGATGGCCGGTCCTCAAAAAATTAAACACAGAGCTATCCTAAGATCCAGCAAGCCCGCTCTTGAATTTATACGCCAGAGAACTGAACTTGAAGAGGTGTTTGTGCACGCATTAGGCACAACAGCTAAGACAAGGAAGCCACCGAAGTGTCCGGGGAATATTATTTAGGCTTAAAAAGGAGGGAGATTCTGACACCTGCCACAACACAGATAAACCTGAGGACTTTCTGCTCTGGTATCCAGGGGGGTCAGTTCACAGAGACGGAAAGTAGATGGTGGGTGCCAGGGGCTGACAGAGGGGCTAGTCAATGTATTAGGTCGAGTTTCCAACAAGATGGTGAAAAAGTTCCGTGGCTGGAAGCTGGTGACAGCCGAACCATGTGAATGTATTTCAGGCCACTGGATTGTGCGCCCAAAAATGGTTATGACAGTAGGTATTACCTCAATTAAATAATAATGTAATATATGTCTGGTGAGGTGGGGGAGGGGCGTCTGTCTGGTGGGCGGGGCGCCTGTCTAGTGGTGGCGGGGCGTTTGGTGGGGCGGAGCTCTGGTGAGGCGGGGCGTCTGTTTGGTGGGGGCGGGGCATTTGCCTGGTGGGGCGGAGCTCTGGTGGGGGTGGGGCGTCTGTCTGGAGGGGTGGGGCGTCTGGTGGGGGAGGGGCATCTGTCTGGTAGGGCCGGGGCGTCTGTTTGGTGGGGTGGGGCGGGGCTCTGTCTGGGGGCGGGGCGTTTGGTGGGGCGGAGCTCTGGTGAGGCGGGGCGTCTGTTTGGTGGGGGCGGGGCATTTGCCTGGTGGGGCGGAGCTCTGGTGGGGGTGGGGCGTCTGTCTGGAGGGGTGGGGCGTCTGGTGGGGGAGGGGCATCTGTCTGGTAGGGCCGGGGCGTCAGTTTGGTGGGGTGGGGCGGGGCTCTGTCTGGGGGCGGGGTGTTTGGTGGGGCGGAGCTCTGGTGGGGGTGGAGCCTCTGCCTGGAGGAGTGGGGCGTCTATCTGGTGGGCGGGGCATCTGGTTGGGGCGGGGCGTCTGTTTGGTGGGGTCGGGACTGTCAGGTCACCTGTCGCGCGGCTGCAGGAGGTTGTCTGTGGGCGTGGACACTGTCCGTCTCCCCAGGAGGCAGGACATGTTACTACCCCTGGAAGCAGGTGGATTGACTCAGGGGCCCTCCCAGGTCCTCAGAAGTGAGAGCACCCACCCTGGCCCTCCTGGGACACTGTCCCCCCCACACTCAGAGGGGCCATGTTGGGGTTCTTGGTTGGAGGTCTCTGCCTCGGCCAGTGTCAAGCTTGGATATGGGATGACCCAGAGCGGCTGGACCAGCCTCTGAGCTTCTCCAGCGAGGCAGGACTTGGTGCTACAGTGGGGCAGCCACTGCTGGCCTCGTCCAAGATTCCGGCCAGAGCCTCTGTAGCAAGTGAGCCGCAGGGGTGGGGTGTCACCCCGCAGTGGACAAGGGATACCACAGATGAGGTGGGGACAAGAGAAGGGGGTGGTGGGGTTGGGGGGGATGTCTGCACACCAGGAGGAGGGGTGATGAGGAGATGGGGAGGTGGAAGGAACCAGACTCTCCCCTGGAGCCCCAGGAGCAGGTTCAGACAGAGGGAGGCAGTCTCACCTGGGCCTGGAGAGCGTCAGGGGTCAGGCATGGGTCGGGGGTCAGGGGTGTGCATGGGGGGTGCTGTTTGGGGTTGGGGTGTGTGGTGGGTTGTGGGATGTGGAGGGATGTGTGGTGTGAGGTGTGGTTGGGTTTGGGGGTGGTGGGGTGCAGGGTGCGATGTGGAGTGGGGGTGTTGGGTGGGGTGTGGTGTGTGGGATGTGGGGTGCAGTGTGGCAGTGGGGTGCTGGGTGCTACATGGGGTGAGCCTGGGTGCAGGGCTCACTCTTGTTGCTTTAGGTGAATATTCTAGAGCACGTCTTGTGCTTCCTGGGGTCTGGAGGGGAGGTGCTGGCCCTGGGGGGATGCTTTCTCTGCGGGCAACCTCAACCTCCTGAGACGAGCCTCCCTGCCAGTCGCTCGGCACGCAGGCCCCTCCCCTTCTGCCTGCAGTGACCTCCATGACCTCGTCCTCGTTCATGTGAATTTGGGGCTGCGGCCCCCTTGACTCCAGAGGCCCTTTCCAGGAGAGACCCTCTGCTGTTGAAGGCCCCGGTTTGGCCTTGCCCACCCCTGGCAGCAGGGTGGGGTCTTCCTGGAGGACGTGGGAGGCAAGGATGGTGCTGGGTGCTGGGCAGTCCAGGGTGTGTGGCTGGGGGACACACCTGCTGGTGTTGCAGTCACACCCAGACCCCCGGGAACTGGGCTTCCTGATCCTGTGGGGACTTCACCTGGGCCGTGAGAGCCCACCTGGGTGGTGGCAGAGCTTTCCGTAGGCAGGAGGGCCGGAGCTGTGGGAGGCCACCCCGGCCCTGCCCCTGTGGTTGGGTGAGCCTGGGCATGGTCCCCGAGCACTGGGCTGGAAGGTGCCCCCTCCCCTGGGCCTCCCTCGAGCCCCGGGGAGGGGCAGAGCTGGGGGCTCTGAGCCACACAGCATCATTCACTCCCCCACCCCCGCCCCGTGGTGAAGCCAGTCAATTTTTTCAAACCACATTTGCTGTCTTATTGTTTATTTTCGGGCAGCAGCAGCAATTTTCGATACCCACCTCAGATATGGCTCGGGTCACCTGTCATTCCAGAAAGGTCAGCGATTCATTTAAAGTTCCATCACTCTTCACATAAGCAGGCAAACACCATTTCATCTGCCGCAGCCTTTGTGTGGGCTGGGGCCCGGCCTGTCGGCTCCTTCCAGGCCCAGGAACGGACACCCATGCCCCACCCCAAACACATTCACTTAGAGGCAGTTCCGGGCCAGGCCCTAGCCTGGCCCTTCCGCCCCAGCTCTTAGGATGAAATCACCCAGTTGTGAATGGTGGGCCCCCGCCCCAAGGCAGGCCTCTCGGGGAGCCACTCCCTAGGAGGACCAGCCCTCCATCCACAGACCAGATGTGACGGGAGGCTGACACAGGTGGGACTGGGGTCCAGGGCTCCAAGGGGTCGTGGGCACCGGCCCCCTGCTGCCCAGGGTGCCCAGTGGGGGCCTGGCATCATTGCGGCGTCCGAGGCAGGACTGGTTGACAGCCCACAGCAGGATGAGCATGGTTGTGGTCTCGGGTCCCAGAGGACAGACAGCCCTGAGCCCCCAGGGCCCTCTTCCAGCTGCTCGCAGGTGTGGCTCTGGGGGGTCCCTGGGGGTCTTTGGGCTTTCCTGCCGCTGTGGGCCCCCAAGGGCAGCGTTAGGTCCCGGGGTCCATGTGTCCAAGGGTCCACACAGCCTGAGCCGGACAGATCTCTGTCCGTCTGTCTTGTTTCCACCCACCTGCTCCAGGAGGACAGCGCCAGGCAGGAAGATATGAGTACAGTGGTGGGTGCGGGCTGGGCAGGGGGAGGAGGTGGGGGCAGGGTGAAGAGCACGGCTGGAAAGCTGGGCCCAGGGCCTCCCCGATGCCGGGACAACCTGCCTGGGGCTTCCCGCCGGCCTGACAGGTGACAGCCTGGTCCCCAGGGCTGCCCAGTCCCGATGGCCGGAGGCCGGGGTGCCTGTTGGCAGGGCCTGCCCCCCACGTCCTTCGCTGAGGTCATCCTGAACTGGGAGGGCCGGGGGGTGTCCTTTCCCGGCCCTTCTGTCTGCAAAGGTGGTGTTTTTGGCTCCTTCTGGCTTGCGGGTCTGCCATGCCCACCTGTTCGCACAGAGGGCCACCTCCACAGGCTCCTGGGAGGGTGGGGTGCGCACACAGCCCCTGCCTGCCCTCCCCCTGACTCTGCCCCTTCTGGGATGCTGCCCCCACCCCGTCCCTCCTCCTCGCCCCAGCTTGTGGCTCCCTGACACCCCAACAGGGGCACAGCCCTCAGCTGGGAACCAGCCTGTGTCCCTCACATGCAGGGTCATCCTCTCACCCCTAGGCGTCCTCAGCTGGGGTCCCCCCCACCTGCCCAGCCCTGGCTCCTCACTGCCGAAGGGACCCCACGAAGCTCCTCCTTCTGGGGGAAACAGTGGGAAACTCGGGGGCCCAAATAGCTGAGGGCAGGATGGACGTGTGCCATCCGCAGGTGGGGCACGGGGCTGCAGTGGGGAGCCTGGGTTTCCTGAGGGGGAGGCCTGGTCCTGTGTGTGCGGGAATGGAGCAGGGCCCTACACGAGGAGGGGAAGGTGTGTGTGCCTGGCGTGTGCGTGTGCAGAGCACGGCTGCCAGCTGGCCGGTGTCACGCGAGGCCCCTCGGGTGCTGCGGAGACACAGCGAGACCCCAGAGCCGGGCTGCAGGGCTTGCAGACATCCCGCCACAGCTGGGTCTGCGCTGGCTGAGGCTGTGGGCTCCCTGCTGCCCTCGGGGTCCGGGCCCCGGGGCCTCCTCTCCACGTCCATGAAACAGGCGTGAGTGCACGTCAGCACCCCTCTGCAGCCAGAGGACCATGGAGGAGGAGGGTCCCAGCTGACCGGCCCATCCCCCAGGGCTGGAGCTTCCAGAAGATTCCAGGTACCACACCCCCCAACTGACCCTGCCCCCACCCTCATCTTTGCTGTGTGACCCTCTTGGCCCCTTCCCCACAAAACCCGCCCAGAGCCCCTGGATGCCCTTGGCGGCCCCAGCGGGTCCTGCCAGGCTCCATAGTCCCGGAGCCCATGCGTCCAACTCCTCAGGGGCCGGCAGAAGCCCAGAGCGGGCGCAGGGCTGCTGTGAGACAAGGCAACTCCCAGAAGTGGGGGGGCCAGGTGAGACCCCAGAGGAAGGGGGTGCCCTTGGGGGGACAGGCCCGGCCCCAGGGGGGGTGGGAGCCACGCCTGGTCTGAATCAAGGCCCCCCACTCTCCCCGCCCCTACACGGTGGCTCCCACGCCTGCCACCCCCGGTGACCCTCCATCTTCAGGGGTCCACACATGCTCCTGCCACCCACCCACCCAGAGATCAGCCCCCACCCTCGTACTCATCTGTCCATCAGTGAGTCCATGGCACACACAGGATACACGGGCCGCGGGCGGGGCACTCGGCCCCAGAGGCCGGTGCAGGCTGCGGGCTGACCTCACCTGCACAAGCAGGCGACAAGCGGGTGGAGGGCGGGACGGGGGCCCCGTCTGAGCATCTTAATTCCGCCGCAGGGCGCTGCCCCGAGGCCCACATCCCCACCTGGGCCGCCCCCAGAGCAGGGCAGCCAAAGCCCATCTGCCCCCTCCGCCTTGCCGGCCAGGCCAGTCACCCACCTGCAAGACACCCGCTGGGGGTTAGGTGGCCGCCTCTGCCCCCGGCCCTCCAGACCCTCTGGTCCTGGGGACGAAGGGCCTGCAGGGTGAGGGGGTGGGGAGACAGCAGGGGCGCAGCCCAGCGCCCGCACACACCCCTGCGCTCTGCACAGAGAAAGATAAGTGATGGGTAGTATTTTAAGGCATATTAACCCAATTACAAGTATATTTTTACAATCGTGGCTCCGACATTTATCACGCGGCGTTATTAGCCCCCGAGCTGGGCTCTGTCAGATGAAGGCTATGAAACAGGAGCGTTTTATTACGTTCTGCCGCGCCAGGCTGCAGCCCGCGACTCTTAAACCGCGTGATTTTATCAAAATCTTCGGAAATTGAAGCAATCACTAAAAGGTGTCGGGGAATTAAAATGTTCTGTCTCGGTGAAAGAGATACACTTCTTGTAACATATATCAGGGGTCTTTTTTTAAAAGACACATTACTATGCAGAGAACAGGCATCTGAGCGGGAGGGGGCGTTCCAGAAGCATCTTGCGACAGCGATTCTTCACGCTTAAAAATGGTCTCTGAGGGACGAGCCGCCAGAGCCTCCTGGGGCCTCTCTCCCTGCGGCCTTCTCTGCTCTTGTTTGTCGCCCTCCTGAGACGGCTGGGGGTCACGCCAGCCCCCGTGGGCCTCAGGGCTGAAGACTGCACCCTCCGGCCCTGTCTGCACGTCTCCTGGCAGGGGAGGCCGGGGTTTGGAATGTGCCCCCGGATTTCTGACACACTCAGCTGCCCTTCTGGGCTGAGGTCCGTGGGCAGAGCGGTGACTGGGGCGCAGAGCCAGGCTGCCCCCCTGACCGTGTTCCTGAGCTTAAGGGGGACACGGCGGGGGCCACCCCAGGGCCTGGAGGGCCCCAGAGCCAAGGAGCGGCCTTGCTGGGTGCCACCCTGGATCTGGAGGGCGTGCAGGGTGTGGGGGACCCCTGCAGAGGCCAGGCCCACGGGAGGGACGGCCGCTCACTCCACAGCACCCCCGAGGTTCCGGGCTGAGGGGCTGTGGGCAGGTGTCCGCACGGGGCCTGGTGGTTGGTCTTCGAGGAAGAGCCCAGTGCTGGGGGGGGCGGGGCTGGCGGGGCCCCCTGACCTCACGGACATCAGGGCCCGGCAGTCTGCGACAGGGGCTGGACCTGGGCAGGGGAGGAGAGGCCTATGGCTAGGCTGGGGGCGGGCAGGGGGACGGGAGGGGCCTCGGGGGGCCCCTGGATGCAGCCCCTCCGGAGCCCGCAGGGCCTGGGCCTCGCCAGGCCTTGGGGTTGACCGGGGACTGCTGGACCTCATGGCCCTAGGGGGTGGGCGGGTCACACACCCAGCACCAGGCGCGTGGGTGCTCGCAAGGAAGGAGCCCCTCTGAGCCTTGTGACGGCAGTGGACACGGGCCTGGGACCTCGGGGCTCCTGCACCAGCCTTCCCAGCTCACTGACCAGGCTTCTCTCTCTCCTTTTAAAAGCAGGGCTGTTTGAGAAGCAGCGCGATTGAAAAGCTGGGAGCCCCCACGTCCTCCAGGGGCTAAAGGGCCCCACACCGTGGGGAGGGGCTTCGATGGGAGCCCCTGGGAGCAGGCAGAGCTGCCAGTCCCTGGGGGGCGGGGCGGGGCGGGTGGGCGTGCTGAGTCGTGGCCGAGGGGGAGTCCTGGCTGGGATCCGCTGCTGCTTTGGGGCAGTGGGAACTTGGGGTCTCTGAACAGCTTCTGACCTCATGTGACTGTAACTTTCTCAAAATAAAATGTTCGAGTAAAAACAAGTAGTTTCACAACAGTTCTGAGAAGAAATTCCAGCAAGGGAGGACGCAGAGGGAGCATCAGCCCCTCCTCCACCCCTGGGGGGGCCTCCCCGCCCCCTGGGGGCTCTCCTCCACCCCCGGAGGGGCACTTCCTCATCCCTGGGGCCGTCCCCACCCCCTGGGGGACCCTCCCTGGTCACTCCCCCCCCCTCCCCACACCCAACTCGGGCCAGGCCTGACCTGTCTGGGCTGCCCGAGCCTGTCCGTCCGGCTGCTGGGGGTGCTCTGCTGGGGGTGCTCTGCGGGTGGCTGAACCCTCTGGGTCTGACGGGGACTCTGGGCTCCTCTCACCCCTCCCCCGCTCCTGTCCAGGAGGACAGGACCTGACCCGCCCCCCAGGTCCTGGCCGCCTGGACCTGTTTCCTGGAGGCCCTGCGGGAATCCTAGAGGGGGCAGCGGTCAGGCTGGGGCAGCGGCAGCCTCCGGGCACGTGCGGTGGGAAGGGCCCAGCTCGGAGCCCTCCCGTGAGGGGCGGACTCTTGGGTTTCCACTTGGGCTGCCTCCGGGGCCTGCCGATGGACAGGAGGGGTGCCTTCTAGGGGAGCACGCGGAGCTCATGGGCTGGACAGGTCCGCTGGAAGAGCGGGTGCAGGCCCCGGAGGGGCGGGGCGCGGCTGCCCGGTGGGCGGGGCGTCAGGCCCCAACCAGCGCCCAAGGGAGTCACTCCCGGGACGCTTCTGCAGGCTGGGCGGGGGAGGCCCTGAGCCGCCGGGTGTCCTGCCTCCTCTGGTCCCTCTGTCCCCAAGTGCCCCCGGAGCCTGGCTCGGGAGCAGGGCCCCAGGCCACAGGGACTGCAGGCAGGCGAGGCCAGCCGCCCTCTCCTGTTCCTGGTTGCCCTTGGCCTGGCCGACCTGACAGTCACCAGCAGGCATGACCTGTCCTGGCTGGGTCCCCCCGGAGCGGGGCTGTCCTTTGCCAGGTCACGGGAGAGGAGGAGACAGAGGGCCCGAATGGACCAGGCGGGGGCCCGCCGAGGCCTCTCAGCTCCTTCCTGGTCTGGCTGGGCTGGGTGGGGTCCGAGCTGGCTCCTGCGGGCTGCCCACCACCCACCGGGGCGCACGTTGAACTGCAGGGCGCTGGGCAGCCTGGCGGTGTCAGGGAAGGTCGGGCTCGGCTGGGGTCTGCTCAGGTGCCGTGAACTTACATTGGGGACCGTTTCCCGGGGCCCTGCCTGCCTGTCCTGCCCCACCAGCCTCTTGGAACACCTACTAGTTTCGCGGTACGGCAGCACCTCTGGACGCGTGGTGGGGGGCGGCTGTGGGGGGCGTCCTGTGGACGGAGCTCTGGGGTGACTGACCACCCACAGCCCCGTCCTCAGCCTCCAGCACCACCGTCCCCGTCTCTGCAACCCGAGCTCTCCCACGTGCCTGCCCTGTCCTCTGACCCGACGTGTGCGGGGTCGTGTGCCCTCACCCCTCTCCACCGTACAGAAGGGAGGGGCGTTGCCTGGCCAATGAGGCCACGGTCACTACGTGGACACTGGGGGAGGAGGCGAGAACCTTCCGGGCCTCACACCGCCCACAGTGTGGAGTCATGCCCACGGTCTGGGCAGTATGGGGAGGGGAGGAGGGACCCTCGTGATAATGGTTGCAGTCACAGCCCTGCAGCCCCTGCGGCCCTGGGGCCTGGCTGCGGTCGGCCTTTTGCTCACGACCAAAACGAGCTCAGTCGTTGGCTCCGGGACCAGAGCCCCCAGGGGCCCCAGGTCCCTTCCCTTCCTTTGCTCACTCTTACCCCACCCCATCTGTCTGCACCTCCAGGCCGGCACCTCCGCCTCCAGGAAGCCTTCCAGGCTGTGCTGTGAGTTGTAAGTTCCTGCGTTTGTCTGTCTATCCTGCCTCCGGAGCCTTGTATAGAGAGTCCCTGGAGGCAGGGCCACCTATGGGTCCCCAGCCGACCCACCCCTTAACCAGGACCGCGGGAACGAGGGGACACACCCTGGAGGGCAGCCTGGAGGTGGTGTTCACCGAGCTGCGGTCCTGGGGTCTCCAAGGCGCCCCTCCCTCTCAGGCCCCGAGAAGCGGCAGTGGCGGGCCACCGCCAGCCAGGCTCTCTCCGGCCCGTAAATTTCCAGTGGACGGCAGTCCTCCGGAGACTGTATCTCCTGCTTGTTGGTGTCAGAGACTTTGCCACACTGGGGTCAAGAGTTATCCTGCCCGTCTTTTGTGTTCTAAATTTAATTGTTGCACTCCTTTTCTCCCTTAAAAAGATCAGTAAAAACTGTTAATTTGATCAATACTTAATTTTTTCACCCGGAGCGCGTTTCTTCTGCTGGCCCGTGATAAGCAGGCGGCGGGGCAGAGGGACAAGTAAATTGTCAGGAATTTCTCCACTCTCCCGCGGCCGCTCCACCACTTAGAGCCGTGTAATTTATACCCCGGCAGTCGCTCTGCAATTACCCTGTCTATTGCTGTCGACAGTATCGCACTATCTTTTAAATAGATCCGGCTTGGCTGGTCCGGACGAGCCAACAGGACAAATGACGCCATCCCTCATCCCGCGAGCCCTAAAGAGATAAGTCCCTTAAAGAGGGGCCCATTTATCAGCTGATACAAGCTGGGTACTTACAAGCCCACTCCTTTGTTTGGGCTCTTTTCAGATTTCCAAAGCTATTGATCTACCTAGGGGGGCCAGGCTGGGGCGTGCGGTGGGGTGCCGCGGGGCAGCCCCGGGCCCAGCTGACCCGCAACCCTAAGAACCCCGGGAGGGGCCGGGTGGCTCCCGGCCGCCTTGTGGGCACCCCCCGCCCCGGCCAGGCCCATGCAGGTGCCGCCCTCAGCGGTGGGGACGAGCTTTCCTCCCTTGGGCAGGCGAGCAGGCATGTGGGCACCCTTTGATCCTCAGGCTTGCAGGCCAAGCCAACCCCCAGGCACTCTCTGACCACCACAAGGCCTGTGCTGGGGGCTGGGAGGGGCTGGCCCCGGCGGGAGCCCCCAATGCAGGCCTGCTCCCACCTGGAAGAACACCTCCATCTGCTCAGCATCTGGGGTGTGCCTGCTTGGGGCTCGGACATGGGCAAATGGCCCCCTGGGGTCTGCATCCCAAAACCGCTGGGACTTGGCAAAAGGAAGCGGGGTGACAGGCCGGTGCTGGGGGCTGCG